AATCGGCATTTGATCGCGCTTGATAGCACCGATATCCGACAGAACATGAGACCTTGCTATCATACAGGTGGCCGACTCCTCCCAGGACTAGAGATATTATCGGCGCAAGACACCCAGTTTCATGGTGTCTAGAGACTGGTTGGTTGGTCTTCTAAAGTTGGTTTCGTTTCTATTATGCCAGCCATGGCGATAGGTGGGGCAGCAGAAGCTAAAAGAAGATATCGATACAAAAGACAGCATCACAGCCATGGGCTGCAGAGCTGGGAATCTGTGTACATTGTATATTGACCAGTGATGTGGCTACTGGGGATCGGTCTATGCCAAATTGAAGGATCTAGTGGAGATGGTCATAACTTGATGTCCATCCAACAGAAGGCTACGTTCTAATGAAAATGAACAAAGTGCAAGATCATCAGGTATCTATTGAAATGCGGAGCCAGAACCATTGGACTGATTTGGAACCGTCACGCCTGATTATACAGTATGCTTTATTACATTGGATTAGCCGGATGTTATCGGGGAAATCTTCTGTCATGAACCATAGCCAAAACATGGGAACGGAAACATGATACCGTTCACGATTATATCAGCCCAAAATGGCAGAGTATATCAAATATTGAATATATTTCGTCCTTGAATGCCGCATTTATAGATGCTGTAGGAGAAACATGGAGTAACAACTGAAGAATTGATGGTATGCCACCATACTACTCGGCAGCATTTCCACCTCGCTTGCCTTGTCTGTAATCTTGAATTCATCCACATCTCATCATCACAAGTCGCATGAGTGCCATTTTCTCTAGCCGTACTAATTTTCCACGATAGCAAGCGGCTGATCCGGGCTATTAGGATCAATGTCAGCATCGACGATCATACAAATATGGACCAACAATCGACTAAGGAGACGCGCGGAGGGGAATGCAAGCTGAAACCAATACCATCAATGTCGTGTCCGGTTGGTAGGCACGTATTTGCCGATGATACTATTTCACACCTTGGACAGTCATGAAAACGCACTACTGGCTCAGACCCCTTCGCTGGGCTGCCGTTTGGGCCACGAGCAGCATGAGGGAATTTTCCTTTGCATGCAGCAGCCAGCGGCACACAATAATTGTCGATGTCTCGTTAACCTCGACCGCGATGGCTGCCATTATCAATTGAAAAGTACAGCTGTGGGACCTACACCAAGCCAGGCATTGATCAACATCAGCTCACCACAAGGCTGCCGTGGTGGGTCTGGGTGCAAATTAAATCAACCACTATCGGGATGGAGGCCCATTAAGCAGGCTGTGTGGGATTTAGCGTTCCTAAATTTGGCAGGTGTTTGTCGCTACTCGATACCCACTAGGCGCAACCCCATACTATCCTCACAGGTCATTTTCCCACAGCCTGGCGTGCTAAGAACGCTAAGGAACATGACAACACAGCCCCCGAAGACTAACCAGAGTGTTTTCTCATTTTGCTAGATTCTTGGCATGCTTTTAATAGTCCTTTTCCAGGCGTAACGGGTCTTGATTCGCTCTCCCGTGTTTGATCTGCCGTTACCAGTAGACAATGAACGGGTCCACAGGCGCTGGGGAGCCTCAACCTTCCATAAGCGACTTGGTAGGGGTTACCCAGTCCTCACTCTCGGCCTCTCGAGCAGCCCGAGCCTCAGCCGGGGCTGTGAGGTCAAGATAATGAGCCGATGAGCTTATTTTCGGTGGAACATAAAGGCAAGCTTCCGCACCGCTCGGTAGAGGGCATTCTTTCTGTCTAATCATCACCATCCGTTGTACTCAGTCTTTTGTGTTCGACCATGCATTTCATTGGAGGCACTCTGGCATTTGCGGCTCTGGCTGCGGCCCGGAGCTCATCTGCCATATTCCCCCCCAGTCACACATTATCTAGCTCTGCTACCCCATCCGCTTCTGCAACACCCAGCGCGAACGCCTGTGCCAAGGTCGCGAAGATCGTGGGTGATGGTAACGATGTCCCCCCAAAGCTGGCCTACCAGTGCCTTAGCTCGGTGCCGGTAGCTGTCGAGGAGAATAAGGTGCTCATTGACCAACTCAAGATGATGTGGGAGTGGCACTCGGAGACGGGGTGGCTAAAGAACCCCCCTTCGACATGGGATCGCGGCCCGTTGGATCTCATAGGCGAGTTGGATAAGATCAAGCAAGACATTGACTCCTTTGAGAGCGAATATCACCTTCATCTTGCCATCCAGAAGCTCACCGTGGATACTGGCAACTATCATTTCAGTCACTCCGCGGACATCCTCAATATCTTCGGTTTCCAGCGCACAGTCCAACTCGCCACCGTGTCCCCAGACGGCAAAACCGACCCGAAGACCTACGTCGCCAGCGACCTGCTCGTCCAGAATAATCACAAGAACATCTCCATCTCCCCGATTACCAAGATCAATGGACAGGACCCTCAGAAGTACCTGGAGGACCTCGCCTCATGGGAGCAGTATTCCAATGCAGATGCCCGCTACAACAGCCTCATGTACAGGGGCTCTGGCAAGCTGGACTCTGCGGGGGCTTTTTCCTTCAGTCCTATGAGCTTCATGGGCCGGTACGACGGCCCCGAGACCGTGCTCATATTTAAAAACGGCACCAGGAAGTCCTTCGAGAACACTGTCAACGTAGGAGATAGGGATTTCGAGGGCGTCACGAGCGGCCAATTGTTGTTCGACAAGTACTGCCGCGGCATGCTCGGTGGCTACAGCCCCAAGACCTCCGAGCGTAAGAGGGACCTGCCGAGCGAGTGCCTGTCGAGCACACAAGGAATTCCCGAGGACGGGTACCCTGAGCCTATTGCCAAGGACTGCGAAGGCATCGTGGCGGGTTACATCGTCGACAACCCCAACGGTGAGGCGCTGGGAGTGTTAAAGATTGCGAGCTTTGAGCCAGAAGAGGATACTACCGACACGAAATTCCAAGACGTGGTGAAGAAGTTCGTGGCTGCCGCCAAAAAGCAGAACGTCAAGAAGCTAGTCTTGGATTTGCGCGAAAATGGCGGCGGTTCTGTCGAGCTCCTCCTCGATACCTTCATGCAGCTGTTCCCAACCCTGACACCTTTCAGCGCGCAGCGCTATCGCGCACAGAAGGGATACACTTTAGTTGGCGAGGCCTACGAGGAAATTCGAAATAACGAGACGGCATCCGATCAGTTCGGCAGTCCTGCAGATCGCGGTAAGTGCATGGCACCGCTCCCAGAATCCAGAGTAGTCAGTGGATGAGTAAGTGAGCTGATCAATAGCAGAAATGAATCTTTACAACTGGCAGTACGATAATTTCTTGGACGTGAATAACAAGCCGTTCGATAGCTGGGACGCCTGGGTGGGACCACACACCTTCAACGACGACCAGTTCACGGCCACTAGCCGCTACAATGTAAGTGTGTCATGGGGGGGATCCTATCACCCGGGAAGAAAGCAAAAGGAAAAGCCAGAATTATCAGCTAACAGCCCACGAAGTTATCGAATAGCAACAAAGAAAGCATCCTCGACGAAGACTTCGATTTCTTGAAGGGACCCGCCCGCTCGTCCCCTTTCACCGCGGATCAAACGGTCATGCTACTGGATGGTCTCTGCGGGTCGTCGTGCGCCTCTCTACACGAGGAGTTGAAGAACATCGCGGGGGTTAAGTCCGTCGTCGTTGGCGGTCGTCCGCGCAACGGCCCCATGCAGGCCCTCGGTGGCACCAAAGGGGGTTCCCCGATGGAACTCAACAAGATTGTTTCCGCAGCGGGCGGCATGTACAATGCCACCGAGGAGCTTGGGATCGCCGGTTACGATGACCTGAAGCCGTATCTCTGGCCGCAGCCGTTGATGACCCGCGTCGGTGATGATTGGTCCAGTATCCAGATCCAGGACCAGATCCGCAAGGGCGACCCCTCCCAGACTCCCCTGCAGTTCATCTACGAGGCCGCCGACTGCCGTCTATTCTTCACCCCCAGGACACTGCTGGACCCCGCCGCCATGTGGGCCGCCACCTGGGCAGCGTTCACCGACGACTCCAAGTGCGTCCCGGGCTCCACCAAACAGAGATCAAGCATCAGCGGCGGCTACAAACCGTTCGGGAACGGCGATCTCCATGGCACAATGGATGAGGACAGCGCTGTCCCCTTGACCAACGGAGCGGCTGTAACTCGTCCTGCCCTGATGGCTGGTGCTGCTGGCGCTTTGATCAGCCTTTTTATCTGAGACCTGGGATAGGAGCGCGAGGGGTATTCAATTAAACCGTCTAGATAGTTGTTTTGCTTACTTTAAATTGGTTGCTTGCACATCATGGTAGCATAGCGAGGGATTGATTTACTGGTTAATGATTATAATGCTTAAAGTGCCTGCTACATTCATTTTATCATTTCGCATAGAATGCATCAAGCACGTAGGACGAGCGTTGCTGATTAGGCTGCCGCATGATCATTATCACGAGGACTGCGTCATGGTGCATATAACTACAAATCTAGCGCGGATACCAAAACCATACGAATGCTCACCGACCATTAACCCGTCGACAGATCGAATAATCTTTCCCTCGGAAAAGGGAAGCGCGTCGACAATGGGACATATCAGATTCTCCACTGCCATAAATGTGATATAAGGTTTACATTGGGCAGAGCCCACTGGGCATGATCATGGAATGCAGGAAGTGCGATGACTGGAGGGGATGTGGCCATGTGTCACTGCATGTGCATGCTCTATTGGGAGTTTAGCAAGTTTCTGTATGGAGTCAAGCGAAATTATCTGTGGAGTAATACCAAAACAATGGAATAGCCACCACCTATATCATCTTGCTGCTCAGCTGCATGAAGTTGCATATAATCAGTAATCAAGCAGGACAGCCACATACCTCGGACAGCCACACAGGAGCTTGGGCAGCCGGGCTTTAATCGGAATAGGGCTAGCAGCCCACCATCATCGCAGGAGGCATCTATATAACTGGATTCGTCCACCGTTGAAATTTCTCATGTTTCGTGGACAATAGCCAAAAGACCGGTCAAAATCCCACATATATCCTCCCTGGTGACATCTATCTTGGTACAACCTATAGCATATCAACATGGCCGCCCAAAGCTACTACGGCAACCCCACCGGGGCCCCCTTCCACCCCTCTCCCGGCGATCGCCCAAGCGGCTACCCCGCCAATCCCTCCCCCCGACCCAACGACTACCCACCCCAATCAGGTTGGGGAACTCCGCCCCCAGGAAACCATGGTAGTCCGCCACCTAGACAATCCTACCCGCCTTACGCCGAGGGCTACAACAATTACCCACCGGGCCGATCCAACAGCCCCTACCAACAGCAGCCACCCCCGGGCGGCCAATCCTGGGAGTCCACCCCGCGGCCCTTCCACAACCAGCAACAGCCCGAGCCCCCGCGCTACTACGGTGGTTCCCCTCCTCCCGGAAGCCCCTACCAGAACCAGCAAAATCAACAGGGGCAACCGCCCCAGTCTTACCCCTCTTCCTATCAGGGCCGCAACAACAATAATAACAATCACGATGGCTACCCGCCCCGTCCTACCTCCGCTTCGCAGAACCCCCAAGACGACGAACGAGGCCTGATGGGCGCCGTCGCCGGTGGCGCGGGCGGCGCCTGGGCCGGCCACCAAGTCAACCACGGCATCCTTGGCACCATCGGTGGGGCACTAACAGGGTCTGTCGCCGAAGATGCGATCAAAAAGCAGCGGGAGAAGAAGCACAAAGAAGAAGAGGAGGAGAGGCGACGAAAGGAAAAAGAAGAGCAGGACAGACTGCACTGGGAGAGGATGCAGGCGGAGGAGCAGCGACACAGGATGCATGCTAACTCCCATCCCCTCAAGGGGAACTTCTCTGCGTCGGCCTCCGATGTCGCCCTTGATGGTGTTACGCTGTCCGCGTCTTGTCGGGCTTTGTCTGGTGCGAATCGTAGGTCGCGCATCTCGCTGGATACTGTTTTGTCGAATACCTGGGGTGAGTTTACTTGGCATCGGCAGGGTAACTTCTCGTCGAGTGCGCGCCACGTGCGCTTGGCCGATGGGGGGAGGGTGTTGGAGGCGGAGTTGTCGGATGGGAGGGGCGGTTGGAAACAGGCTTGGGTGAGACTTGATGAGCGTATTACCAACCGTGATGGGAAGCTGTCATTTGTGAATTGAGTGGGAGACTCGTTGTTTATATCAGTTCAATTACTCCATTTCCGTTTTATCTCCGTGTTTACTCGTTGTTGAAGAGTGGCGGGGATGTTCGGGGCAAATCTGGACATAAATGGCCAAGGTCATTCCAAGACCACGTTTGACAGTGAATGAAATGCTACGGTACTCTGAAATAAACGAAATTACTTATATTGGATAATCTTTGACATGGATATCATTGAGGCTTGGACCTAGTACCTACGAGAACCATGTGCTGCATGTGAGTATCACACGAGGCTGAATCGAGGCTGAATCGAGGCTGAGGCCAGGCAGTCCCTTATATTATTCACATCTGTTCTCATTTTCGGCCTTCGACTCTTCGCATGAACACTCCTTCTGTTACATATTACATCCAAACGTTACATCTACCATTCTAAGGTTGAGTCACCATGGCGATAAGACCACAGGGATATGCGGATTGGTTTTTCAGGCCCTGCAAATCCCTCGAACTCAGAGTGATGCTGGTTGGAGAGAGCTCGTCCGGAAAGAGCACACTACTACACCAATGGAAAGATGGTAAATTCATCGACTGCCGGCCCCGGGTTATGTTCGGGTCTGAGGTGGACACCTTCGAAATGGAGACCTTCGAGTACCCCCAGAAATGCTCCTGGACTGTGTGGAACGTCACACGTAAGACCCAGCCTTGCTTTCCTCCCTACCCCTAAACCGCTGGTCTTCTTTTAACGAGACAGTGGGTTCGAATATTATCAAGCCACAGTTGCGACAATATTTCCGGGACACCGACGTGGTCATCTACGTCCATGATTGCGATCCGCGGTTGGATAGCAGCTATGATCGGACCCCATACCTTCATCTGTGGGTGGATCTAATGCTTGAAAGACGCTGCCAATTTCTCTATATTGTCCCAAACAAACAAGACTTGTTATCGCCTGACCAGGCCCGAGACTTTGCCATCAATCTGCCTAAGCTCTATGAGAAGGAACTCGCGAGATACGACCTGGGAATACAGTGGAGAATAATCGACCAGAAAATCAGCGCGAGAACGGGGGAAGGCGTTCAGAAAATACTTAATGAGATTTATCATGAACATTCCAGGAGGGAGCATCCTACATCGATTGGTTCTCCGTCGCCACGACTCACAATCTCCAGTCCCTGCATTGAGGGGCGTATTCGACGAGGAAGTTCGATAGATCCTCCCGATGCTGCGGCCTTCTGGGCGTCGCTCATGAGTGCGGATATACCCTCATGGGACCATCACGTTCATCTCAAAGCCGCATATATTATCGTTGTAGAGTACATGAAGCTCAGGAAAAGTACGTTTGCGATGGCGGATACCTTCCTCGCCCATCTTCGAATATTAAGGCTCATCCAACCCCAAAAATTCCCATCTAAGGAACACCGGTAAGCCGATGGTTGTCGACCAACGCGGTCCATGCTAAGACATACAGAACCGTGACGATATTTTGGCTCGTTCAACTCCAAGTAGCAATCATAGACTACAGTCTCCACAACGACTTGGATCGGTATCCATGTTGGCACGACTTTTACGACATTATATTCCACCAATCCGCACTACAGGACCCTCGTCTGTGGGAATCGTACTATACAGATGGTAATCTCTTTTGCGGTAACCGCGCGTGGAATGACTGGGTGTCTCCCTCCCGTCAACCGCTGCCGGCTCTAGCACCACCGCTTGACCAACCTGCTAGTCTGCCACTCGTCCATGGAGGATCCAGTCGGCTTCCACGATTTGCGTTTGCTCTCATGCAATACATATGTGAATCATCTGCAGATGAAACAGATATTATCGCCCGAGCACTGTCCACCCTGCAAACCACCACCGTCCGCATGCGTGCCATGGGCGCCGGGCTCCCACCATACTCCAAAACACACGCCTGCTTTTGGATCCACATGGTCCGAGCCTGTCTGCTGTCGTTGGATCCTTTGGAATTTGGCCAAACGATCAATGCCTCCCAGTTGACCTTTAACGACTTTGACGGCCTTTTTCAGTTGCAGTCGACTTCATGGGCGGATTACTACTCCCAGGCTAATTGGAATGCCCTCGCATCTCGCCTTGAATTCCTCGCGCCGGACAAGAAGCCTTTACCGCACGTAATTAACGTAGCCGGCTGTGCTCACCTCCAGAAGTTCCTTGGTAAAGAGCTGGAGAATAACGACGGAGAGCAAATCTCACAATCTCTGGAGGATGTCTTGTCGGCTGTTCTTACGGAGTGTGGAAAGGTCGAAATTGATACCCCGTCGTGCTGCGCTGGGTCGGTGGATTGTGACTGGGGTATTTCTACAATTGGGTCGAAAACCACCAACTGGGATGCTTGATGAATTGTTGTTCCTCATTAGGTTTCACTACAAAATATCTTCATATCAACAAATTCTCTCTCGCTTCCGCACCGGTTACCAAAAGGTCGATAATCTGCGCCTATGTGATTCTCAGCCTGTTACTGGAGATAACGCGGGCGACTGATTCGAGAGTTAAAGAGACACGCATCCAGTTCGAATTCATCATCGCTCAGGCTTGAGACAATTCAGGCGTGCTAGCAATGGGGATATTGCTATCCGTATTATGTCTTAGTTTACTGAACTTGGCCTGTTCGGCATCCTCCGTTGTGAGCAACAAACGCGATTTCACCTCTAAACTAGTAGAACAGCATATCCGAGCTTTCCAGGCCTTAGCTAGCTTTGTCTGACTGAAGAACCCAGTCCATATGTGATATAATGTCCCACCACTAAGCCCAGAACACTGCTTGGATTTTTAGCTTAGCTCGGAGTCTATATGCAGAAGAATATATCGAGAGACACAAGATCAAAAGCTATATAATTACCTATTGATACCTTTCTTGTGTATATCCGCTCGTTTGCAACCAATTACCCGTGCATGTTCAAGGAATACGGAGCCGCTTGTCTCTAAGATACTCATAGTCTGGCATTGCAGCCCGGACACAATTCGATATCACATCCTTCAGCTCGTCTCCAAACTCTTCCTTCCACTTTTGCTCTAGCACAACCATATTCGGATCAACAACTGCTTTGTTCTTGATAACACCAGTAGACGAGTTGAGAGTGCGACGGAATATGTTTTTTGATTCATCGGCATATGAATAACCCCCCGAGTCCCACGTGAATTGGACCTTGGACTGGTCCAGCCCTAGCTTCTCGGCGAGTGCAAAAACAAGCCGGGGTTCGTTGATGAGGTCGGATGAATCGAGGAGAACAGGGCTTGTTGGGCTTGCGCCGTCTTTCTCGCCCATCTCGCGGAAATAGTTGGTATACCAATCGTATAGACACCGTGTGTAAGAGAATGACAATTGCTCCCGTAGGTGCTTGCCTATCTTCATCCTGTCGTGACAGAGAGTACTCTGGGCGGCGGCCTCCAACGCACCTCGACAGAACGAGGGAAATACCAGAGCGGGGTGCCTTATCAGAAAGACGGGTATCCAAGAGCCCAGATACCCGTCTGGAAGGATTGTCGGGTTCTTGACCGTCGTTGCTTCGTCGACTACTTCATCGGGTGGGCCAACGGTGAAGTAAGGATCCCCGGGCGCGGTGCTGCGTTTACCGTCACCAGCAGCCGGATTCCACATTAGGTTGCAATGATCTTTTGCAAAGACAATCTTGTCTCTTGTCTCTCCGTCACGGAGGTACCGATCTAGAGCATCGAAAGCCTGTTGGAAGCCAGCTCTGACGCGGCTTTTTTCATCAGCTGTCCACTGTTCCACCGGTTTATCTTCCAACTCAATCAAGAGCCCGGCAATTGGTGCAAAGACGGAAACACAAGATGGTTCCCAATGAACACGCGGCTGGCCCTTGAGGCCGAGCATTTGAGTCAATAGATATGAGGTTGTTCTGGGCTGCGCGAAAAGAAAGATTCGGCGATGGGAACCTGGTATCTGATTTCTTTCGTCCATCTTTGGTGTTCCTAGTTCTAGTTTCACTGGTCAGTTAAGAGGAATAATAATTGAGAAGGAACAAATATATTTGACGTACAAAATCCTTTCAGGGGCTGACTGGGTAAGGACGACGAATGGTTGTACTCTGTATGTTCCCACACTCTAACATGAGACTATCAATAAACATCAGGGTTCTTTTTTGTAAAATAGTATCTGGATGGAAGCAAATCTTAACGCCCAGAAAAATCCCGCTTTTATTGACGGTGCGAGATTGGAGATAACTCACAAGGACAGATACGCGGCTAGCCACTAGTAGTATCTACCTGCGGTCTATGCATAACATAAGACCAAATTGATATGACTGGTATACCTACATGACAGTATCTATACATGATGTATCACATTAGCGATTGCCAATGACACTGTTTCTACATTCTCCTGCTCACCACTCTGGGATGCGTGCACTACAAACGAGAGGCAAGGGTGGTGAGATTCTTCTTCGTGGTTCCTGGGGGGGATTTAACAGACTTTGTATAGCCTGACACATAGTCTTTCTGTTCAGTACGTGTTTCTCTTCCCTTGGGTTTCCTTTTCCTCTTTCCCGTCTCTAATACCAACCCTCCGATAAGATGTTGCAAGATCTGAGCCAAATCCTTCTCTTCTTGTGCTGAAAGGTACCGCATCTACATTCTCTGCCCAAAAAGGAGATCCCCTTCTGATGGTCACTCTCCCCGATCTTTCGGTTACTAGTCTTAATAGGCGGTATGTTGGAGATATCACATCTTAGTGGGTGCAAGCTCCACTTGCAGTCTCACATACCAGGGTCATTATCATTACGGGTCAGCCTTATTGGAGCATAATGGGAATTTTTCGAGTATTGGGCTTGCCAGGTTGCCAGGTCGAGCTCGCGAGTTTGCCAGGTGATGAAATACTGGCAAATCCTATATTAATCAATGGTTACCTTCAGCTTACTAGAGAAGCTATAAATGCTTTGAAACATTTTTAAGTTAGCCTGATAGTGACCATTAACATATGGTCTACCGCCTGGGGACTTGGCAACCGGGCGAGCCCTGCAGTCAAACTTATCCATCCTCAAGTTATATAGATTTACAATACGGTGTAGCCACTGCGATTATGGTACAAGGGGTATTTCGTCATTCGTCATTTCCATAAATCAAGACATGCGGGTTGTTATACTTCAAAGGATCTGGGTGTCTTCACTGAGAATTTGTGGGTGTTGACCCGCGGAATATCGAGTTGTTCGCGATGGCAGACCACTGTATGACTGCGCTGTTTCCACTTGTTGATCGTGCTACTAAATGCCTAAACAAATTGGTTATTACACTGATCTGGGATAGCGCTCCAGAGCCCCATGACCACAGACAGATCTGTGTGGACAGCTACAGAAATATGAACACTTACGAGATCATGACACTACCAACCACCCACGCAGTGATGCATAAAGCATCCAATCTGCGGGTTTGACCGCTTCCCGAGGTTGTATGCAGCCCAGGACACACCGCTACGTCTGGACTACGGCGATATATCCGCAGCAATAGACATCTTCTCTAGTCCGCCTTGTTTGTGAAGAGCTATACATAGGGTGCACTCTCAAAACCTCGGGATCATTGTATCCACAAATGCGAACCAATAGTGGAATGACTTCCGCTGTCATGGGCTGACGAGACTACAGCCCTCACCAACCTATAGGCATGCTTCTTGCGGTGGGTGATCCGATTGTTTCCCTTCTTACTACCCACATTTACATCGTTGTTCGTTGCCCAGACACGTGAGAGAAAGTGTGCCAGGGGATATCTGCGCTGGGACATGAACAACCGACTATACGCAGGGAATGGAATTGAACCACAAATCATGGGTGATGAATGAATATATGTCACCTTTATTCTAGGATTCTTTTTTACCTCCCAATGTGTTATTTCATGCTTTCTTACATGATGTTCACAGGATAGCTTATTTTAGCCCTGCGGTTATATCCATCGTCTCCGCATGACATCAGGCGGGCACTTGAACATGCATTTTTGCCTACCCAAGGCGGTTCAGACAGGAGATCTGAACTTTTGACAAAAGTCCAATGAGTCTCTTAGGTCACATACACTTCCAGCATCCCCAGGGTGGATGCAAAAGGGTCCGTGTCAGAGAATGGGAAGACCTGAAATCATGATATGGATATATATCCCTTGTCTCGTTCAACAGTTGACCCTGGTGGAAGCTGCCCACGCCACTGCCAGACTTCCCCGGCACTTTGCTGGGGCCGAACCTGGTGATACACGGAATGGGAAGACTTGTTGACCATCCGTGACTAGTCAACATAGACTAGATGTTGTCCGGTATCCCGAATGCGAGGTGACAACGTTGGTATTTGTACACATAATGCTGTACCGAGTCAACCAGGTTGGCCCACAAAGCGTTGGAATTGTCATGTCTTCCTTGTAGGTTGCATCTAGGAACCTGCGAGTGGATATATCGCTATCCGAATCGGAACGCGGATCCGGTTGGGCCTCAACCCCAGACAACCATGTGAAATGACTAGGGACCGGGCATGATTCTCCAATCACACTTCCTTACCATACCCCAGCACACCCACTCCTAAATATGTCTAACCATCCAGTGGTCTGACGTGCTCGGTAAACCCCGGGTATCAAATGCCGTCTAGCCAACCGAATCCACCACCGTGACTAATGAAAACAAACCCCGTGGGAAATCCACCACGCCATGATCCACAGTGGGGACGTTCAGGGTCGGCGCCCAGAAATTTCCGTCCATCATACAAAAGGCGAACGACCTCTCGGCGACATCTCCGTGTGGTGATCGTAGATTGAACGCCTTGGTTGGAAGATGGGAACTCCAAATGAGAAATCCTCCGTCGCGTCTGCAGCTGAAGATGGATCGCAGGAAAAGGGGGAGACCCCACCGGCGCTGCCTATCCCCGACGGTGGACGCGATGGCTGGCTCAGTGTGCTGGCTGGATTCTGTGTATTTGTCAATTCCTGGTACTTCAATCGTTGATGTGGACCCGTGTACTGTATTCTCATACTGACCAGAGTGTAGGGGCCTGTTGAGCACATATGGCGCTTTCCAAGAATACTACCAGACGACGTTGATGCCCGATCAATCACCCTCCAACATCTCCTGGGTGGGTAGTATCCAGGCCACCATGATCGTTATGGTCGGCGTCGTGACCGGCCCTCTCGTCGACGCGGGATATCTCCGGCCGTTGATCATCGGCGGCAACCTGATGGTTGTCTTCGGCATGATGATGACCAGTCTAGCCTCCCAGTTCTACCAGGTCCTCCTAGCGCAGGGCTTCTGCGTCGGCATGGGCGGCGGCATTGCCTACATTCCGGCCCTGGTCGTCATCTCCTCGTACTTCACGACCAAACGGCCTATCGCCATTGGCGTCGCCGCCATCGGATCCAGCGTCGGCAGCGTCATCTTCCCCATTCTGTTCCGGCGTCTCCAGCCGCAGATCGGATTCGGCTGGTCCGTCCGCATCATCGGCTTCATCAACCTCTTCCTCGCCTGCGTCACCGTCTCCATCTTGTGTCGCCGTCCCGGCCGGCGCACCCGCGCCCGCAGCCTTATCGAGCGCAAGGCCCTCACCGAACCGCCCTTCATGCTTCTGTCGCTCTCCCTGACCTGCGTCATGATGGCCTACTACGTCCCCATGTTCTACTCTCCCGCCTACGCCCGCACCCGCCTACACACCGACCAGAGCCTCTCCTTCTACATGGTCGCTATCATCAACGGCGCCTCCGCCTTCGGCCGCACCGTTCCCTACCTCGTAACTCTCGTCATCCCCCACGTCAAGCCCATCGCCATCCTCACGGCCGCCACGGCCGGCTCCGCCCTAGCCATGTTCACCTGGATCGCCGCAACTGACACAGCCGGATTTATCGTTTGGGCCTGCTACTGGGGTTTCCTCAGCGGCGTGCTCGTAACGGGCCCAACTTCCATCGTCGCCCATCCGGCTTTCTGCCCCGACGCTAACTTCCTGGGTACTAGGCTCGGCATGATGTGGGGGATTAGCTCATTTGGGGGGTTGGCGGGGACGCCCATCGCGGGTGCGCTCGTGGATATGGCTCATGCGGAGTTCTTGCGCGCGCAGGTCTTCGCTGGCTGTTTGATGCTGGGCGCTGTCGCGTTGCAGATGTGGCCGACGATTGTCGTGTTCCGGCATGATCGGCTGGGGGGGAAGTAACTAGATGGCAGGAAGGAGTCGTAATAAAAATATATAAATGGGTTAGACTGTACATATTTGTTGTATATATGGTGGTTAGTTAATTCAGTGAATGGAATATTCCTTGACGCACTTAGGGTTAGGCATGTCACTGACCCTCCTTCTGTCACACTCTCATGGGACGTGCCCTAAATATAAAGTCATTGGTAACAGTACCTAGATTGATACGAGTGATATATAGATATAGATGATTCCAGGTCTGTACTGTGCTCAAAGATAATATTATAAACATAATCTCTATCCAAACCAAAGCAAAAGGTATCATACAACTCCAGCCACGCCATCCATTAAAATCGTCATGAGCTCTCCACAGACTGGGTCTGATGTCCCTCCTGTCGCTCCTTCCGTCGTCTCCCCCGTCCCAACAACTTCGACTTGGACTGCGTATACGCCAACTGCCGCACACTAATATTCGCCACATGCGCCATCGCCACCATGCGCCGGACCCCAGGCAACCCGGCCGGAAAAATCAAATATAGCGCCGACTCGCGACTCGCGTCAGGCCGAAACTTATCGTGGTGAGCCTTCTTGCCTCCAACAGGCAACCCACGCACACTGTGGGCATACACCGACCGCGTCACCTTCTCCAGCGACGCCCCCATCCCACTCACCTCGCCCAGCTCCCCCATCGGCTCGTATCCCAAACTCAGATACGAGACACCCATCTGCCTCGCCAGCGCCATTGCCGCAAACAGCAGAAGATCACTCGTTCCCTTCGCTGCCCCATCCCCCGCTATACAGGGGTCCACATGGTACCCGCCGCAGGCCCCGATCCACCGCAGCGCCGCAAATCCATTGACAACCCCGTCCGCTCCCCGCGTGTACACGAACGTCATCAACCGCGCGTAGTCGAACAGCTCGTAAACCGTGATAAACGCCTGCGGCGTCTTCGTCGTAGCTGCCGGCTCGTTCCGTCCCGCTCGCCACCCGTCGTAGATCTCCTGTAACTGTGCTTCCAGGGCATCGTCTCGCTCGCCCCCCGCCGTCCGCGAGTACACTCCCAGTGTAGTCCCGCCTTTTTCGGGACACAGAAGCTGCTTGCACTGGCTGACGATGCGCTTCCCTGCTCGCTCGGCTAACACCTCGTTCGTCGTGGGATCGACGACCCGCTCGACACCAAACTGCATTGTCGTCCATTGCTGCTGCTGCTGGTGCTGTGTTTGCGTTTCCATGTGCGACAGGAACCCCACGCTGCAGCCCATGAACGCCAGACTCCAGTGGGCAGCGCGCCTCGCGCGGTCGAACTCGCATACCACGGAGGCGAAGAGTGATGGATCACATAGTGGGTCGCCAGTTACGACTGCGACGTGGTTCTCGAGCTTGTAAGCTAGTGCGCCTGTGCGTTGTGCGTTGAGAAAGACGCGGTAGCTGCGGTCGAGGAGGCCCATGTGTGAGACGCGGCCGTACCGCGAGGCGAGGTGCTCTATCGCGGCGTGTGCGCTGTGGTCGGATGCGGGGACGCTCGTTGGGGCGTGTTTCAAAGGTGGTGTAGGTTGTTGTTGCGGGCGAATAGGGGCGTCGCTGAGGGAGGTGTCGGAGCTGGCGGGGGTGGCTGAGGATTCTTCGGCGGCTTGCGAGTTGAATCGGTAGAGAGAGGCGTTGGATGAGCTGGATTTGTAGTCGTATTGTGTGTTATGGCTGCTCGTACTGCTGTTGGAGGGGTACATCGGACTGTCTGGGAGGAGGCTGTTGTCCGGGGAGTGGGGGTCGGTGTTGAAGAGTTGTCGGGCGAGATCACGGCCGATCTGCTCTGCTAATGTCTCTTTTTTGGGCGCATTGGCCTTGCCACGGCTTTTTTTGCCGGCGCGGCCTTTGCGCTTCGTTTCACCTGTGTGTTTCGACATGTTGGTAGGGAGAGGTATGTATGTCCCATGTAGTATACGGGTGTTCCCTTGGGGGTGAGGATCGAGAGAGGTTGACAGAAGGTAAATCTCAATATCTGTGGCGGTATTACGGACAGGGTGGATCGTAGATCGTCAGGAAAGGATCCTTTTATTGCGGACGGTACAAATATCCCCATTCGAACGAAGTGGCTCTGTCCGGGTATGATCCGGAGGCGACAACATTGACGGGGGCGTTCTCCAGTCGGAGGTGCATCCCCAGGTGGGGTTTCATTTCATATAAATCCTTACGAGAAAAGGCCGAGTGGACGCAACCCAACAACGGAAGATGACGGACTCCCTCGCAGTTCAGTTAGGGTTCGTGCTGGGGTCGGTGCCATGGTTAAGCACGAACTACGCCCACTGACTGGTCCGTTGTTCGCATACCATCATGGTCAGTCATGTCTATGTGGTTGGACAGTGGCGTGCGTCTGGACGCTGAAGGCAGTGCATTGCCACCAGGCAGCTACGTTCCTTCATCATATCCTATCAAGTCTCGCCCATAATCAGCAGGGGATAAGGGGTGTACTGAAATAGATTAGACCCGAATGAGGGGAGATCCCCTGAGATAGACGGTTTTCACGAAATAGACTAGGGTCCGTTCACAGGATGCGTTGATCACTGATCAGCATGACCATGAGGATTACATCATCGGGGGCAAATGCATCACCTCAATTGTGCTTCGATTCGCGTCCTATGGAGCCATGGCTCGAAATCAAGCCTTGGGATCGTCAGACGGTTCGCTTGGCATGCCTTTCTTGGAGAGAAAAATGGGGGTGTGGATTCACTATGGGCATTGTTGTTTGGGATGACTGCGGTATTTTCAAGCCTTTTCATTTACGGCGCAGAAATTGGATATTTTACCAGTACCTTGGCCAGCTTTTCGTTAGGTTCATTGGACTGTGTTATATGTTCTGATGAGCAGATAGAAGTGTATCAATTGATTGGTCGTGATGTCATCCTGCGCCACGACCGGATGTCCACTTCGGGGAAGCCGCCTACATGAAATGACATTTTCTGGATTTATTCTAATATTGTTCTGATTTCCTTCTAATTTCATATTCAAATGATAAGTACTTATGCTGTGTACCGTCACAATAGAATGAACCTTACTGTTTCCCAGCTTATTACTGCTGGCTACTTGGTTCGGTTATCCATCGATGCTACAGGCGTCTGCCCATTTGAACAATCCTGCATTGGCAAACATATCCAAACACCATAGACTGTTTGACAGTGTCTCCAATTGGAGCATATCCGGTAGGGCAGATATCCCTTAACAACGCCCTGCGGCTGGGACACCGCGGGATTATGGTTGGCTGACGGGTACGACACCGCTCTTGCTCCCACCTTGACCCCAGGTTAGGTCGAAAGATTTCATCGGACTAGAATAGTTCCACGGGTTACATTTGTCCCGAATGTCTGTCTTGGATGTGATGGTTTTTCCAATTTGAGTATATTGCAAATCCCCAGTGGCAACATGCTTGCCACCTAACATGCGCGTCGGGAGCATACGGATATAGAAGATCAGAGACTTGGGCCTGGACAGCACTGCTGCCTAGCCCTTGCATTTTGGCTCTGACAGTGACATTTCCAAATGTGTATACGAGAACGACTTACACGGTCAATCTCAGAACTTAGCGCTAGGTTGGTATATGCTGTCTGATTGAATTCAGGCTCAATATATTTTTCTGTGGTGGTTTGTTCATGGTATATAACGGGAGAACTATACTCATGTACACTCGAAGGTATTTGTATTAACAGAATTGACGCCAACATGGAATGATATAGACATACTTGATCATCTTAAATTGTCACCGCATCAGTCGGGGCATCCTCATTCCAGGGTTCAACCGAAGACTCCCAATTCCGGACGCGTATCACCCGATCCATCGCGCCTCGTATCCTGCGCACTTCTCCCCGGCTCACATACGCCTTCTTGCCCTCCAGCGCCGCAGAATGAAACGCATCAGCCTGGACCGAGCGATAAATCCCCGACACATTAGTCGACCGTACCCCCCCACCGACAATAATCTGCGGAATGACCGTTTCAGACTCCGAGTTCTGCTCGCGCCGCTCCTGCTGCCGTTGGACCAGTCTCCCTAACGGCTCAACGCAGTCGCTCGCCTTCTTCCCTGGAGGGCCTCCACACGTAAGAATAGACTGGAACCCACACGCGGCAATGTCATCCACGGCACGCTCCCACTCTGCCTCCGGGATCAGGTCAAATGCCCGGTGAAAAGTGCATGGTCGTCCGTCAGCGAGGTCAACCAGCATTTTGTTCCTGGATATGTCGACCAGCGGGCTTCCTTCATCTGCGTCTGTTCGTCGCAGAATCCCGAAGACAAACCCATCGGCGCCCGCCTCTTTCATCTTCGCCATCGTGGCTTGCATCTCTACATACTCGACCTCCTCGTAGAAAAAGTCCCGCGCATGAGGCCGGATCATCACATACACCGGAACCGTAACCTGGGCTTTCACCGACGCGACCGTCTCCGCTGACGGTGTCAGCCCCCCGGATGCGTAGTCCGAGCATAGCCTGCTAGGGGTTAGTTATTTGATACCTCTGGGCTACTGGTCACCACCCCGCCGCCCCTTACTCGGCAGCGAGGGGGGGGAGGGGAGAAAAGTAAGGAAGAACCACGCACTCAATCCGATCGGCCCCCGCCCTCGCAGCAATCAAAGCCGACTCTCCGCTAAAACAAGCGATTTCCAACAGCGCGGAGTTCGACATGGTGGTGGTAGTCGCTGTCGCGTCGTCCAAATCCTTCATTGACCGCGGACGGTGGCGCGCGTCTTTGTCCCGAGGCGCCCATCGCGGTGGGGAGTCGTCATCGCGCAGCCGCCGTCGTCCCCGCTGCTGCACGTAATGGGCGATTAATGCTGCGCCTACGTTGTATGCCACCGCCATGCCTGCCGCCGCAGCCGCGGCGGCCATTACGGCGCTTCGCCGGTGCAGGCGGATTGGGGGCATCTCAGCTTGGTCTGGGGGGTTCCATCTTGGAGATGAAATGGCTGTTCTCCACATGATCGGATTGTGGGTTCAGGGGGGATTAGCGTGGTGTTTTCTCCTGTGCATAGTGACAAAGCTTTTTTTAATGCAGAATTTGAACTGCTCTTAGTGGCTGTTATGGGCATCTAGCTTAGTCATGATGCATAAATTTGATCCTTGTTATATACACACACACGCGTGTCGGAGAATATACATTCTGCTTCTTTTGTTGGTTAGGGTACTACTTCTTCAGACTTTCTATTATCTATAAGTAATTGGGTTGTCTTATCTTATTACTCTTCTACGATATATTACTATAATTGTACGTGTTCTGGATCTATCTATTGGACAAATTTTCCTAATCGTGTCCATATATATTTTACTCACAGGCGCCAGCATACTTGACCAAGCAGCCGCCCTTTGCAATGTTCACAATATCTGGGTCTTGGTACGATCTTTCACCAGGTACATTTCCTTGTAGTGTCAACCAATCCTTAATTACATGGGCACTTCCTCCATATGTACATATCAAGGTGTTCGAACACCAATTTCGGAAAGCCTCCCGGCACTTGATGCTATAATTCACAAAACTTCAATCAAAGTACATCCATATGCCCTCTAGATAGCTTTTTCGAGGTGTCAATTTGGGATCTTCCTTCACAATAGCAAAAAGCTCCCTTGGTGTCACTGTTTGGCCAGCAATATAGGTGAACTCCGCCTAGGGAGTATGGTCCGCCTGCAGAAGCGCGACTGCCGCCTGAACGATGTCGCGAGCCGATGTCAAGGTGATCTATTGCAGCCCATCCCCGTATAGATCGAAGATTCGCTCTTCGTGATTCATAATCCACTCATTCCCAATATCTCCTTAATAACGCTTTGACGCTGGTACAAGATAGTCCATGAACCATCCATTGCAGATGAATGACCATTTGATTGTAGCTTGCTTCCGTAAACGCTCGAGGACGGCCGTTCGTGACCTCGAGAGATATAACTCTTGATCCGGGAAATCTTGCATATTGATCGTCCACGCCGAAGGGATATAGCGCTTGCATCTGGGAGTCAAACGGGAGGCTTCGAGGATCGCGAGAAAGCATGTGATATTTTCATCGTTGGATCCATCGAGGGTAGAAATGATAGCATCAAAATCGTCGAGCTTCTCTTTCAAGTCATCCACCGTATAATTGGTAGCTCTGACTTGAACATTGGGGACTTGAAATGATTTTGCGGCAGATCGGGTCAGCATCACAACCTCATGTGATGATTTACTGAGCTCCTCAATGAAACAAGCTCCAAGATCTCCGACAACGGCAATTGCGATCTTCATACTGGGCCGCAACGTGTGTTCTTTCTCAGACTTGGACCAGTTGGGCATGGATGGCGCTTGGAGACTCGCATTCATAAATACCTTGTTCTTCGTGTTGAATTATCTGACCGGTTAAGACCATCAACCCATAATAGGGCCACTAGAAACATACGGCAGATCGCTCAAGATGGAAAGTGTGAATGAGAGTGGATTTACTTGCTGCATATGTCCGCGCCAACTGGTATCCCCATCGCATTTTGACTGTTTTAGGCAAGTCTGATCAAGTGCGGGGAGATAAACATCATACGCCACAGGCACAAGCTAACTTTTGGAGAGACACAGGAAAGCCCAACACCATAGGACCTTGGGAGAACGATAGGATGGTATTGACCATTTTATGCCAGTCCTCCCATATTCACTTATCTATGATTTGTGTGCCAATGTCAGCTTGGGTCCCCCTCTAGCTCAAGGGGTCGCCAGGTGACCCCGCACTAGGAACCCCACACTTGAAGTAGATATTCCCTTTTTGGATTATAAGCGAAGCGCTTTTGTCTGATGTTGTTGCAGATGACTGTACAGTATATTTGCTACTCACATAGCCAAGACGCGTCACTCAGGGATGACCTTGTATTCGGGAGATCCGTCTGTCACATTACATTTGAATAGGAGACGCCATTGAAAGAGACAATTGTCGTCGTGGCGCGACACGGTGAGCATTCTAACGTGGAATTTTGTGTGAGGTAGCCGAGGCAAAATCTTCAACCAAAATAGTATCCTATACAGAAGCAATGCCTCAATTCGCGATACGTAGGTGGTTGGATCGTGGTGGTGGGGCCTGACCGGCTCGCATGTGCGTTTCATCCCTTACCACCTTCCAATTCTAGGTGCGAAGCGATCGGGAACAGATGCAACATGTGTATGGGATGCGAAAGGCCATCCTGATGTTTATTTAAATAGAATCATGCCAGCCATTGGAAAAAAAACCAAATACCCCCATACGATCACTTTCGACGAGCCTCCAGACAGCCTTCAAACCGGCCAAGTGGCTTATATTCAGAATGGCGCCCTCGACTCCGAATCTGCATGGGTCCCAATCCCCCGCGTCTATTCCTTATGGTCCTTATACCTCGTTTCCTTGGGAGCCGTTGCCCGAGTATGGCGGCTCCAAGTCGGTGATCTACCGCTCGGAAGACGGGAATATTGTCGCTGCTGCTGCTACAGAATCCGGAACCGCCACTCTCACCTACCCGTGCGATGAATTTTTCTACGTGACTGCGGGGTGGGTTAGAATGAATGTTCATGGTGGTGACCATTTTGTTCTCAATGCGGGGCAATTCATCTACTTGACAAAGGGTACAACGGTGGATTTTGAATTCGGGCCGAAGTTTGCCAATATCGCTGTTTTTATAGACAGCAATCGTGTGGACCTGTTGTGATGGGAGGTTGAAGAGTGATGCATGGGATTATTCAAGAATATTCAACAAAGAATTCTTGCATCTAGCGATAGTTCACTGCCAGTCCAGCGTCATTTCCTGGTCGTCCAGAATATGATAGATCCGGAATTGCATAGAAAGACTTGCGAGAATCCCCCTTTCTTGTTATCTCTCTTCTTCTTCTTTTTTGTCTCGCTCGGCAGGTAGTTAAAATGAGGTAAGCTCGGGATAAGTCTCTATATTGTAGACTCCTGTCTGTCCGCGGATAGCGTAGCACACCAGTTAGGGATTATCAAGAAGTGGGGACCACGCTTTGCGAGTAGTTTCCTCTTCTGACTTCTATCCGAGCCGGTGGACCCTGGACCCACCTAATCCTCTGGAGTTTACGTGCAAGATAGTGTACTTCGTACACTGTACCTAGGTAGCTGAAAGGCCTGTTTTGACGAATTCAATCGTCAAGTGTATGTTCCTGTTAATCGAAACAGCTGGAACCCACTAAGATGGAATATGTCATCTAGGCGTTGAATATTGGGGTGGACTTATGCATCTACTTGTTAAGGTGGGCCGATATTGCCGATGTGTGATCGAGTTTGGTCCTAGACTCGAAAGTTCGAACGAGAGCTGGATCTTCAATTGTTAGCATGGGATCCCGTTTCTGCCCGCGTGGAAGAGACTTTCTCAGAAAGAGTCTCAAGCATCATGGCTTGATAAACCTCTATCGGATCTTCGGAATAGCAAGTGATTTGTGTGAGTTTTTAGGAGCGGGGATGAGGCAAGCACCGACAGTCCCCTCTCCGGAGATAAAAGATGTCATTAGATAGTACACCCTGTAAAGAGTCACAAACTTGAATCAGATATCTATTGGTAGCTAGATTACCACTTTGCAAGCACTATCACTTTCAGCCGCTAGTTCTTATTGAAAACCGCCAAGTCTTCTGGAAGGGACTATCAGAGAGTGTGAGAATACCAGCTGAGATGGGGTATCCACGCCCCTGGGACACTCCGTTAACGACTCGAGTTATTTGATAATACAGGTCCAAATGGGCAGTCAATTGTATCAAACGCTAGATATTCCGTGGAGATTGATGGCACCCATAGAGTGATTCAAAGATGAAAAGCACCTTGAAAACAGATTTAATAGCACGTGAAATTTTTAAAGAAAACGTCTGTCAAAGAACATGAGCAGAAGCCCAAATTTGATGTAAACAATGTTTTTCTGTTCTCAAGTGATCTCCAAACTTGACCAAAGTGTGTGATATTCTCCGTCTGTGTAGAAGGAAAGTTCATGGCGGGCGTGTAGATTCCAACCTGTTGCTCCGAAAGTGAACGTTATGCCATATAAGACGGTAACATAATTCATGTCTTGCGAGTCAGTAGGCTTCAGATTGAATGGAAGGTATTTCGCTGGAGAATTACTTGAAGCTGCGACAGGTTTTCCATAAAAGTTGGACAACTAACATCATGGATCATGGTGGAAAACTGCAACTAGGGCTAAGACATGAGGCTGTGTAAATAGCCAGCAAACTACCTTTTGATGGGAAGATGAGTTTAGCAGCAGACAAACTAGCTATAACATTGTCATATCATGCAAAACAATTATGAAATGTTCCATCTAACTGTCAACATGCTTCAACACCACGTGTCCACACTTCCCTGACCAGAGATCATCACCGCTAGTAGCTAGTGATTTTCTGCCTCCATTTGTTCTAATTTAGCCACCCTTGCGGCCTGAAACGCCTTAAACTGCCCATGACGACTAACGGAAAATTCTCTGGATCATAAACGAAGGAGGTATCACCATCTTGACCAAGTGGAGGGGAAGACGCAAGATGAGATAAGTGCGGGGAAGGCACCACGGCATGCTTCATGTCATCAAGATCGGTAGATACGGCGGCCCAACCTATGCCTCTGGGAGCTGATGTCCCTCCTTCTACACCACAGATTCATGCCATCTAACCTAGCCGTCGTCTATAGGCAACTACTCATCCATTCAACTCCGCAAAGGAGACCCCATCATGTCCATACGTCCGGTTATCGCCATTGCCGGCCTCGCCTGTGAAACATCCACGTTCTCTCCCGCGCGAACCAAAACCCCGGGTGCATTCCATCCCAAGCGTGGACAGGAAATTATCACCGAGTATCCCTTTTTGCAAAGTGGTAGGCCCCTCGGTGATGCTGCCAGCTGGCATGGCGCCCTCATCGGCCACGCCCTCCCAGGGGGCGTCGTCGTGCGATCGGTGTACGAGACCCTGGTCGAGGAAATTCTGAACCGACTGGGGGAGATAGTCGCGTCAACAGCTATCCATGGCCTCTGGCTCGATATCCATGGCGCCATGTGCGTCCAGGATCTCGATGACGCGGAGTCAGACCTCCTCGGCCGGGTTCGGTCGGTCATTGGCCCCGACGTCCTGGTCTCTGCCTCCATGGACCTCCACGGGAACGTGTCGCACGATCTAGCCCACCAGACGGACCTGATTACTTGCTATCGGTCGGCACCGCACGAGGATGAGCTCGAGACCAAAGAGCGTGCCTGTCGCAACCTCGTCGATCTATTCAGTCGCGTCCCGCCAATCCCCCGACCGCTGAAAGCATGGGTCCCCGTCCCAATCTTACTTCCCGGGGAACAAACATCCACCCGTGTGGACCCCGCCAAAAGCCTCTACCAGCTCGTGCCTCAAGTGGAGACCCTCCCGCATGTCATCGACGCCGCTATCTGGGTTGGATATCCCTGGGCCGATGAGCCGCGCAACCGCGCCGCCGTCGTGGTGACCGGATGGGACTGGAAGACAGTGGCCGGTGGTGCTGAGAAACTCGCGCAACACTTCTGGGAGGATCGCGACAAGTTCCACTTTGTTGGTCCTGCGGGGTCTTTCGCCGAATGTATCAACACGGCGTTGGCTTCTCCCGCGCGACCGTTCTTTATCTCCGACTCGGGCGATAATCCCACCGCTGGTGGATCAGGCGACGTCACGTGGGGGTTAACGCAGCTGTTGGCGTTCTCTGAATTTCAGGGTCCTTCCGGTCCGACTGTCATCTATGCTAGTGTGCTAGGGCCCAAGGCGGTGCAGACTATGGTCGAGGCAGGGGTGGACGCGACCGTGACGGTCACTGCTGGAGCCGAGGTCGACGATTTACACGCTGGCCCGATCACCATGACCGGACGGGTGCATGCTATCAAGCACGGTGACCGAGATGCTATCGTCGAAGCTGTCCTCCAGGTGGGCACCGTCTTCGCGATCCTGACCCAACTGCGGAAACCGTACCATCATGAGCACGACTTCACAAACCTACAACTGCACCCGCGTTCGGCGGCCATTGTGGTCGTTAAGATCGGGTACCTGGAGCCTGAACTCCACAATATGGCGGCAGATTGGATGCTGGGTCTGACCCCAGGAGGGGTCGATCAGGATCTGGAACGGTTGGATCATCGTCGTATTCGTCGTCCTATGTGGCCGTTTGATAAGGAATTCCCCAATCCTCCAAACTTGTCGGCTCGGATGATTCCTGCTTCTAATGAGCCGGCGAGGGAGCCTGAAGATTGGGTGTGGGTTTAGCACCATAGACTCGTCTTTTTGGATTGCATATAGGCCCTCAAGACATTGGAAATTTGGTAGTTGTGATAGAAATGAGTGATTAATGTTGCGATCGGCACAAACTCGAGGTTGGGATGGATAGGGCTTCGACGATCACCTGCTCCGTCCTGCTACCATACATTTCCATACTCCTGCAAATATAGTGTAATTACGGAGAGACGTCCTTGCGCTCGCGGTTGTAATCACCATGTCTTGGATTGGGAGACAGCTAGTCTCGTGCTACAACACTACAGTAGTGCGAGAAGACACCACCATGGACTTCTTCGAGACTCGTATTGTGTTGCCTCGCGAATTGAATCGTTAGTATGGTTGTGGCTTTGGCAACTGAGGACATACAATCGCCTTGACCTGATCTGCATTTGTTTGAGTTCAAACACGAGACATTTGGGTAACAATGCGTTCATCAATATATTTATAGATATTGGGATGGATCTCCGATGGACGCCCATATCAAAACACGAGATCAAACATCCACTATCACTAGACCGTCTCGTATATACGACCGTTGAATGTAACCTCCCTTACCGATTGAGGCCATCCCCACGGCGGCAACACCCGCCACCGGAAATAGGGGCGGGGAAGCAGAGTACATAAACAATGATCAGGAACGTCGCAGGGAATAGATAATTTGCAGTGATCAGCCAAGTATAACATCACCATGCGTCTAGCCAAATCTCTCCTCCTCGGAGGTCTCCTACCACAGATTGGCGCCGCCACCCGCCATGCAGACGATACCTTGCACCCCGGGACGCCCGAATCGGTCGGTCTTCTCCCGGAGGCCCTAAAGGATATGCAGAAGAACATCTCGGCGTATGAGAAACCAGCCAACTATGGGGACTCTACGGACGGTGAAGTCCGGCCCATCCAGCCGTCAACCGCTGTTATCGGTGAGTATGCCTTCACAGTAGATGGGTAGAGGCCATGCTCATTCACCCCAGTCGGCCACGACAACACCATCGTATCGCATTTCGCGTCCGGTCAGATGCTGCTATACGCAGACATCGATGGCACGAAACTCCCCGAGTCGGAGCAGATCCAAGCCGAGCCAGACACCATCTACGACATGGCCAGCCTCACCAAGATCTTCACCACGATAGCAGCCTTGCGCCAGCTCGACGCAGGCACTGTCGCCCTCGACGCACCCGTCGCCTCCTACCTGCCGGGTTTTGCAGCAAACGGCAAGGAAGACATCACCCTCCAGATGCTTCTCACTCACACGTCGGGCTTTCCCGCCGACCCAGATCCCCCGCTGTACGACAAAGCATACAAGACGGTTGAGGACCGCAAGGCTGCCGTGGTCAATCACACCCTGACTGACACCCCGGGGTCGACATTCCTCTACTCAGACCTCAACTTCATGACGGTCGGCATTCTCCTTGAAACTGTGACTAGCAAAGGTCTCGACGAGCTCGTCAACGAGTATACCGCCCCGCTGGGCATGCGCGACACCTTCTTCAACCGAGGTAACGTCGAGGGCTCCGCCTTCGCTCCGTATCCCCGGGTCGCGGCCCAGGAATTCCAACCCGATGACGTCATGGGTCGCGCCCAGCCCGTCCGCGGCGTCGTCCACGATGAGAACGCCTGGTCGCTGGAGGGCGTGTCGGGCCATGCGGGCTTGTTTTCCACGGTCGCCGATACGGCCATCTTCTGCCAGATGATCCTGAATGGTGGTTCGTATGGGGGTTTCGAGGCGCTGAAGCCTGACACCGTTGATCTGCTGTTTAAGAACTTTAATGAGCGCTTTGAAGGCGATGAGCATGGGTTGGGTTTCGAGCTCAATCAGTACTATACTGCTGGTCCGATGGCTAGTTTGGAGGTTCGTCATCTATTTCACCCCGAGTGTTGGGTTTGTGGTGGGCGGCGCTAATGGAATTGACAGACGGCGAGTCATACAGGCTTCACCGGCACGACGCTCGTTATCGACCGCCCGACAAACACGTTCTTCCTGCTATTCGCAAACCGTGTCCATCCAGACCGAAATTGGTCATCGAACAATATTGCCCGAAAGGCGCTGGGCTACTGGGTTGCCAAGGCACTGGGGAGAAAGGTAGATTTTCCATCTATGTAATTTGTAACTACATATATCCGTCTCAGGAACATCTCCGGGCAATGTACAGGGTCATCGTCATCTCATAACAAAATTCATCGTCCGTTCAGTTGCTCGGAACAGGCGCGTCGGCCGCGTCAACCCCCGCGTTCCAGCGGTACTTGGACGCAGGGTGGTCCGCCGGCGGGCCACTCTGTCCAGGTCGCTGGAACAAGTTCTCGCGATAGGTGCCCTTGGGCGCGGCGTAGTCGTCCCAGAAGAGACCGCGACGGCGCAGCTCGGGAATCAACAGCTCGATAACGTCGATGAACGTGCCGGGTTTGATCGCGTATGCCTGGTTGGGTTAGCGTTGTGTTCTATTGCGTAGATATGAAGGGAATACGTACCAAGTTGAAGCCGTCAATGTCGGCTTCGTTCACCCACCGCTCCATCACGTCCGCCACTTGTTGCGGCGTGCCGACGGGCGTCGCGCCTAGCCCTCCGACCGTGATGTGCTGACCCACTGTGCTCTTGGTCCATTTAGCGTGGCCAGGCTCAGCCTTGGACCATCCTTCGACCGCAGACCTACGCTTGTTAGCTTCTTTCACTATAGATCGCGACAGTGAGCAAAAGGAGACCCACCGGATCGCATTGCTCTGCACGTTCCGCAGCTCCTCGTCCTCGGCGTACGTGTCGAGATCAATCCCCGTCCACCCTCCAAACAGCGCCAGCGCCCCGTCGATGGACCCCAAACTCCGGAAGTACTTGAACTTCTCGACGGCTTCCTCCTCCGTCTTGCCTAGAATCGGGCACAGCAGCGCCAGGAACTTGATGCTCTTGGGGTCGCGACCGAACTCGGTCTTCGCCAGCTCGCGGATCTCCGCCACGTTCTTGGCCACCGAGGCGGGGCTCATGCCTGCCACGAAGATTGCTTCCGCGTGTTGCGCCGCGAACGTCTTGCCCGCCTTGGAGGTGCCTGCTTGCAGGATGACGGGCGTGCGCTGTGGGCTGGGCTGGCAGATGTGGGGGCCCGGCACGTTGAAGTATTTCCCTTCGTGGTTGATTTCCCGCACACGAGCCGGGTCGGTGTAGATTCCCTTCTCGCGGTCGAGGACGACGGCGTCAGATCGCCAGGACGATTCCCACAGCTTGTAGGCAACTTTGACGTATTCCTCTGCGACGGCGTAGCGGTCGTCGTGCTGCATGGTGTTAACCAAATAGTTAACGAGGGAGGGTGAGAAGGGCTAACCTGGGGGAGTTGCGCGTAGCCGAGGTTTTTGGCGGCGGAGTCGAGGTAGCCTGTCACAATCTGTCCCTGTCAGTGGAGCTCACGGTCGTCCCTTGTTATAAGTAACTTACGTTCCATCCGACACTGTGATGCAAGATTAGTATACACCTATTGAAGAAGGGCATGGGATACATACCGTCCCTTGGTCAGATGATCCACCGTGGACAGACGTCGAGCCAGGTGGTAGGGTTGCTCATATGTCGTCGTGACGGTCACGCCAAAGCCAATGCTCTTTGTGACAGCCGCCATGGCCGGAATAACCGACATGGGCTCGTTGACCGGCCACTGGGCGCCGGAGACCGTGGCGGGGCCCTGGTTCCTGGGGCCCTTGTATACATCATAACAGCCTGGCGGGTCAGCATGCAAACCACAAGTCGGGTCGACAGGTACACATACCCAGAACATCGGCAATGAAGATGCCGTGAAACTTGGCTTTTTCCAGCATCTGCGCTAGCTCGGTCCAGTGCTCGATGTCGTTGAACCGGTGCGACTCATCCTCGGGGTGCCGCCACAGTCCGGGCGACTGGTGGCCACTACCTGGATGTTGTGAGCTTGGTCTGACTCAGGAAAAAGCTGGGTCCTGTATCCAAAGAAGGCGGAGTACGAACACATTTCCACAAAGGCATTGAGGATGAGCGACTTCTTCGGGGCTGACTCGGCCATGGTGATGTGGCTGAGGATGCGCGGAATCGATTGATTGCGTATCGCAGGCTAAAATCACGAATCGAGTCCCTTCGATCTTGTGGAGGCAGTCTAATAGAATACTTGGACAATAGCAGGAGATCAGAAAGACTAGTTTGTTCTTCCAATCGGGGAGAGGAGGGGGAGGGCTGAGTAGGTGGGAAATAGGATACTATGTATGACACTGTGGCCAAGCGTCTATCGCCCGAGAGATGCAGTATACCCGACTGGCATCAGCGTGGGACGCGATGACGCGATGCAGGGATGCGCAAATCGGTAGAGCTGGAGACGCCGCAGGACGTGGATCTGGCGGTGGTGGTTCGCTCGTTGATGAAGATCTTCCCCGTCCCGTCACCCACCCGCCTTATCACGCAATCACTCCCCTCTGGTTGGTATCCGCAAACTCACGCACCTCACATTCGCGACCGAAATGAGATATATGGATTCCCAATAATAGGGGAGAAGTTTGAGATCAAATGCCAAGGAGAGAAATTGGCCAGGGTACAGGTGGATGGTGCATATTGCTAGTACCGTGAGTCTAAGTCGCAGTACAGGACCTAGTACCCGCAAAGTGTCTGGTTTCGCAGCCAGATGACATTTCGACCCCATCACAGCTATAATTCTGTTCAAATTCGAGGTTTCTCTCATTTCACTTCCAATGACTTCATCCTGGATCTTGCTTATCTATGATGTCCGGGATCGACCCCCCAGCGAGCATGAAGAATGTAGCAGAGGCCCGTGAACCGGGTTCCTGGGTAGAAGCACCTCATTCATATAGTCCATCATATCATTGCGGGGCGGTCTGACCAGCCTATGACAGCTACCAAAGAATAAGCTTGTCCAGGGGATCAATCCTTGCAGCGTAGGGTCCCTGTGCGTCGCTGTGGTTTAGTCCTGCGTGCCTAGGGGTGTGCCTGATTTATTTAACTGGATGATATCCACCCGGCGTCCAGAAGCTTGGCTTAGGTAGCTACCAGTTAATATCACTCTTGCTTTGGTATTTGGTGTGTCTTTAGTGGTCGGTAATCTCATCACGTCTTTCATCCAGTATGGTTGACCTCCAAGCGCGGAGTAGCAGTGGCACCGTGCAGCCGCCGCTCTCCCAGGCTGTCGGATATGTCATTGTGGTCATCGTCGGTTTGGTCATCGCCTTTGGTAAGTTTTCTTGTCAATGTTGTCAGTGGGCAGCAAATCACTGACATTTCCAGCGATGATGTTGGTGACGCGGTTCCTCAAGCAGACCGCTGGAGAGGACAATAGCAAAACAGAAATGTATGGCTTTTCTTAGCGCTCTGTGGGCGACATCATTGACATGGATCAGGTTCATGACTGCAAATCGGTCGGTTCGAAGGGGACTCACTGCTTCGGCAGTCATATCGGTATGTCATCTCCTCAATATTCCGTTATCCCGCTCACCTCTGTAGTCATGGCTTTGGACAACAGCCCTGCTAGGATCGTCTTTCGTCGGATACGATTATGGTTTGTCGGGTCCATTTTGGTTCGCTGCCGGGTGCAGCCCCATGATCGTGTTTTTCGCCTTGCTCGGAATCTCCTGCAAGCGCAAGATCCCCGAGGCTCATACGTCGCTCGAGGTGGTTCGCATCCGATATGGGCGAGCCGCACACATTGTATACATGGCGTTGTGTCTGGTCAACAACATCTTCGCGTGCGCCAACATGTTGTTGGGTGCCGCTGCCGTCATCTCCGCCATGTGAGTGAATGCGGGAGCTTGGTCACGACACCTTTGCTAACCCGAATTCATAGGACCGGGATGCATGTCATCGCAGCAACCTTCCTGCTTCCTCTTGGTGTTACGGTCTATACATTTGTGGGAGGCATTAAGGCGACGTGAGTATCTCTCCCCCTGTCTACATATCAGTACTAACGAGCCAGGTTTTTGACGGACTACTTCCACACGGCCATTATCCTGATCATCGCCTGCTATTTTTCCATCAAGGCCTTTACATACGAGGAGATCGGATCCATCGAGGGTCTCTACAACCTAGTGGTTACAGCAGCCCAGCACCATCCCGTGTCCGGAAACCCTCAAGGATCGTATCTGACCATGACATCTAAGGGGGTGAGTCGTCCCACCACAGACCTTACGTCCAGTACCTAACGTTCCCAGGGAATCCTGTTTGGTATCCTCCACATCTGCTCCAATTTCGGCCTCGTCATCGTGAGTTTGCTCCACCTTCGCAGTCCATAATCTCTCTGACCATCCCAGATGGACACTAGTTACTTCATCAAGGCCTTCGCCGCTGGGCCGTCCTCCGTCGTGCCGGGATACACCATCGGTGGCATCGCCTACTTCGCCATCCCCTGGGCCCTGGGCACCATCATGAGCTCCGTTGCAGTTGGGCTTGAGAGTCATCCCAGCTTCCCTACCTATCCCCGAGTTAGTCCTTTTCCAGGCCTTTGTCGGATCCAATTGCTTATGTTTCCATAGCGAATGACGTCGAGCGAAGTCAGTGGCGGCCTGGTCTTGCCGTACGCCGCCATGGCAATCGCTGGTAAAGGAGGCGCCGCGGCCGTGCTCCTCATGACCTTCATGGCCGTCACCTCCACACTCTCCGCCCAAGTCATCGCCGTCAGTTCTATCCTCAGTTTCGACGTCTACCGAGAGTACTTTAACCGCAACGCTACCGACCGCCAGATCATCCGCGCCAGCCACTGCGGTGTTATCTTCTTCGCCGCTTTCTCGGCCGGTTTCAGCACTATGCTTCACTACGTTGGCGTCAACCTCGGCTGGACCCTATACATGCTCGGTAAGTGCACTACCAGGATCGCCACGCTGATCCAAAACTAACCAGGCTTGTCTAGGCGTTGTAACCTGCCCCGGCGTCTTCCCAATGGCATTCACCATCCTCTGGCGCCGCCAAAGCAAACCAGCCGCCATCCTCGCTCCCGTCATGGGCTTCGCCACCGGTATCGCCGTCTGGCTGGGCACAGCACACCACTTCGCGGGCTCGGTCTCCGTAGCCGCCACCGGTGAGATTCTCCCATGTGTCTACGGTACTGTCGCATCTGCCTGCTCCCCCATCCTCTACTCCGTCGTCATCACCGCCATCCGACCCCAGAACTACGACTGGACCGAGTTCAGCAAGGAGAAACTTGCCCTCGAGAATCTCGACGCGAACCTCACTACTGTGCACCACGAACACAAGGAGACGGCGTCCTCGGTCCCCTCTTCGGATGCTGGTGATCGTTTGGAAGATGGCCCCCAGGCGCAGGCTTTACTCGAGGCCAAGGACTTGAAGCGGTGGGGTCGCATTGCTGCGTTTTGGTCCATTGCCACGTTCCTGGGTCATTGGGTTATATGGCCGCTGCCTATGTATGGCTCAAAATATGTGTTTGAACGGAAGGTATGTCTACATCATCATTGTTGTTATTATCACTGGACAGGTCAACTAACTGTCCAATAGTTCTTCGCCGCGTGGGTCGTCGTCTCTATCATCTGGCTGTGGTTGACCATGCTCATCGCCATCTTCTACCCTGTTATCGACGGCGGGTTCCAGCAGATTGCCGAGACTTACCGTGTGTGGAGGAGTGGTGCTGGGGTGCAGCAGAAGCAGACGGTCGACGATTCTTCTTCCCCGTCTCTTAGTGAAGCGGCTCCAGAGGGTCTGAAGGGTGAGGGGCAGAATTGATCTTCCGTATTGATATATACATGCTTTCCTTTTTCTTGTTGATGGTTTGTTTTTGTGATATCCATTGTGAATTGCTAGAGCGTTGAATGTTTTTGCCTGCTTGTGATGTGTTCAGTTGAACGTTAGGTCTAATACAGGGCTTTCCTACCAATGGAGAGTGGTGGTTCTCGTTCTCTTGAGATAGGATCAAATTGTCGAATGTGCGTATGTCATCATCTCATAGTCTGGCACAGCCTTTACCCTACGCCCGTTGATCCACATGTCTCCGTTTTACTATTCCGGATGAAGGGACTACTGCGATGAGGAGACCGTGAGATGGAATTGGGCATAAGTGAGTCTTATTGTGTGATGCTGTGCAAGTCCAAACATTTTCATTGTGGGTGACTGGAAACGCCTGTCCCACCAGCCTGTGATAAATCCTCGATTCTTAATTTTAGGGAAGAATAAGATTGACTGTTCTATAGATAAGACCCACTTGGGTCCGTAGAACATTTGTTTAGATTGTGATTTGGCCCTGCTGGTCCTGCTAAAAATTCTGAAGTCGATTCCTCGCAGCAGCAGTCCTATGTAGAGAGTATAATGATGGATTGGGACGTCAATATTTTGGAAGCTAGCTCGTTGATCAGGGAGATGGTTGGAATGCTCTGAACTCCTCACGAGTTTCCCACACTTGTACGGGCGGAGTCTGGGACAGACAACAGCGGCCTGACAAATTCGACAGTGGCCTGCATCTCGTTCGTCTACGAAGTTCATCCCCACATTGTGGGCTAGGTTCCGTAGCGTGGATGCTTCAACAGAGAGCAGTTGCGCAAAGAATCATGGATACTTGAAGTATTCCCCGAATATCCTCCATGTCCCTCTATGGTCCAGTGTTCCATCTTGACCGGAAACTGAGACCTTCCTTGAATATATGAGAGGTGTGGATTCATGAGTGGCTCGAAGGGATACCGTGATCCAGGTACTGTGACCAGGGGCGCGCTATGGGGTCTATTCTCTGGACTCGGTATTATTTGTTCTATATATTGACTCAGGTAAATGGCACAGGCCGTGGTTAATCCCCGATACTACGGGCCTTCTATCACATAGATCTATTTGCCCATACCCATACTCCGTTCCTAATCTTCTCACCGCTACGTCGCTGCATTCCGCCCGCGAATGATAATGCTATTTGACATGGCCCCCTCGTGGTGCTGAGGTGAAGTATTCCACCGTACACGCTGGCCCCTATGGGTTCATACTGATACCTCACTATTCCTTCTTACCCTTTCAGTCTATTCTCCTAGACCCCAGCATTGCTATATCACCTCTTTAATAAGCAATACGTCCTTCAGACTGTTTTCCCACCCCTGATGACGGTGGATAAGTGGGTCGTGCGCGCCTGTTAAGACCAGGAAGACGGGTATTTGCTTCAGTCCTGTTGCTAGGGGATAACACGGTATGTCTGTGTCTTCTCGGTCTCCCAAAAGTGCCACATATTCATATTGATCCACGACGGGAGGGATTCTTTCCCGGTCCATCGGGCTACCCGGAAGTTCGACTGATTTCGGTCCCAACATTTGGATGCAGATCATCGGATCTAATCCGTTGCCGACAGGTACACTTGGCCCGGATGCCAAGGAGGATCTTTCTGGATCTTATACACCAAGCATTGGAGTTGGATTTAGGGACCGGACATGATGGGAATGGAACCAGGATTAGGGTCCTCGTGGTCACCTGCCCGCAGGACCCTGGACATCAACACTGACCAATAGATCATCCAAATACTTCAAAGTAGCTATTTATGCTCTAGAGTATGTTTGACTGGTAACTGTACTATTTCACTGTGCGCTATATTTACACACAGCGTCGGCAGATGTTTTCCTAACCCTCTCATTCCGCAATCCTATTCTAGTTCAAAGTACATATCGGGGACGAGCCTTGTTTTCGGATGGCTGCGAAAGCCATGGCAGCGTGCCTCCTTGAAGGTTGCAACCGTGTGCGCTCTTGTGTTAGATTAGAAGTCTTATAACCATTATTTCGACCGTGTGTTCAATAAACGAAATAGAATATAGAAATGGAATAGGATAGGTGACTGAAAAATGAACGCTTGTTCATTTCCCTTTTCAATAAATTCCAGCCCTTTAGCCCTTTGTTTAACAACATCTAGAATGGTTATTCTGACTGTCCGTAGATCGATACATAAGCTCGCCATATAGCCACAAAATAAATACTACCAACACCTCATAATAGACCCAAGGGACAAGAAAATTTCCCATCGATCCCTGCACAGACAACCTGTCGATCCCTGCGTTATTTGACTACGGCCCATGGTGATCGTCATTCAGTCACCCGCTGTGGGCCACGGTCACCGTCCATCGTGGCATGAGATGTGACATCCCAATTCCCCCATCAGCGAACCACACTATTAACTACCCGACTAGTCCCTCCTACCGGTGCTTATTCTGGTCGACCCTGTCGATCATCCATGGTGAACATCTCATGTTCAATTCAGTGGCCTTCATTGGACTGTTTGGTACTGATCGCCCGCATATCCCCTGCCCCTTGGACTTGCAGCTTGCAGTAGCTTCTATATCTTATTTTCTTCCATTCTTCTTCTTGTTGTTTTCTTTCTGCTAATTCCCATCATGCTTTTGGACTGTGTCATTACAACTATCTTCTGGATGGTCAACGCCTTCCTCGATGACATCCTTTGATTTGATACACCCCCTCCTTCCCACGCGATGAGAGCCCGCTCGCTGTTTTTATTTGCTGTTTCCCTCACCCCAGTCACCTCATGGACCGTGGACTCGTCCTGTGGCTCAGCCCACAAGCAAGGTGGTATGCTCAGGTCGCTAGTTTCAACTTGGAGACAATCAACCTCTTACTAAACCTACTAATATTGACCTGTAGACAATCATGCTCTTATCCACCGCGGCATGGACCAAACCATGAGCATGGCCCAGAGCGCCCTAGCCACCCTCCACGCCCTCAAACACACAACAGCCCCGTCAATCCAACACCAAGGTCAGCTCGATCTCTTGAATAAGGTGTTCGCCCCCCTCGTATCGCACCCGCATCATCATCACCTCCCCCATGTCGCACACGACCATCCCGTTTACCACGCGATGGAGGCCCTCTTCGGTAGCATTGCCGCATTACGAAACCCCTCTGCAAACCACAAGATTCCCCCTATTAAGGTTTACTGCGATTTCGCGCGCATCCACGAAGATCACCTTTGCCATGGTCGCGCCGCCCCCGGTATCGCCTGCGACACTCACCTCGAGAGGGAGTTCCCTATCAGCCCTCTCTATACCGAGTGCCGGACCGGACCCTCGTCCCTCCCGGTTCTACCGGCCGAAGCATTCGGCCATGCGTCCCCACACCACCATGATAAGCACATCCCTGTTCAGATATGCAGGGATTATCTCGATCGGATTAAGGCGCTCCCGGAAGGAAACTTTGTTAGTCCGCCTGCCATCTTCAATATCTCTCAAACTCCTGACAAGATCATTTACATTCAGGTTGATACTACCCCCCGTCAACTGGTCATGCAGCCATCCGCCATCGACAGACGGATCTTCAGCCACAGACCCAGCCAAAACATCCCCCCGTATTTTGACCTAGCCCTGCTCCGCGAGCTGGTGACCGTCGTCCAGCGAGAAACCGGGCCGTGGGCTGGGAACGACTCCGTGTCGGCTCCGGCCACGATCACCCCTGACTCACTCGTGGATTTCACTCTAGGTAGGTTCGCCTCCCTTATCACCCGGACATTAAGTCTAACGACCACAAGGTTCCGTGCTCCTTCAGGCGGAGGATAATTTCCTAGCAAAGCAGCGTCATTCTAAAATGACATTCCTATCGCGACGTTTTCATGGGTGATCTGGTATGATAGTCGGGGTTTCGTCCCATGTAGGTGAGCCTATATGTGCCGAAAAGTACTCGGCCCCACGCTCAGGCTTCTTGTTCGACCGTTCCGTCATCAGTCACCGGTTCCACCAGCTGTGCGTTCACCTTAGCTGGGTGGGATTGCTTCTCACCGCGAGTATTTGTGGTAGAAGCATACCCGCTACAGGTAAATAGTCAATGGCTGATCATTCCCAATCTATACTGTGCACGTCGTGCCTCAACATGGGAAGCGGAATTGTTTCCCGCAATATTCCCGTGTGTACAAAAAAATCAATTTCATAGAATAATCATAATGTCTAATTGCATTGTCTACAGAGGGTATGTGTTGTATTGCACTCTGGGTTCATTAAATATATCACTAGTCAATAAGACTAAATATAACTAGCCAGCTTACCTGTTTGACAATTTGAGACACCCCTATCTAAACCGTGTTGCAAGGAATTACCCCTCGGCGACAGATAATACTATCAGATTTCTTTGCTTCGCAGGGAAGGGACCCTTACGCTCTTCATGCCCTCAAGGCCTATACTGGATGTTGAGATATCGGTAATATCAAGCCCGACCAAGTCCGAATTCGGTATCTTGGTGCAGAGGTTGAGATATACAGATAAGCTAGGGCTCTCGGTGCCCCTGTAGGGTTTGTATCTAACACTAGTCTTGGTCAACCACTCGCCGCTACACCCCGCTTCCCTACACGATTCTCTACAGGCGTACATTGTGATAATCAACCATGCTTGATTCAAATAACAACGACTCCCTCTGCTCTCCCCTCCAAAATCATACAGTATAAATCTATTACATCCACAAACACGGTTCCGTCCACTGGCCGCAGCCTAATTATACAAATTTCCCCCCACTCCGTTCCGGTCCACATCCTCCCAGTCAACAAGCCTCTCATCGCCGACTCTGGATAATCGCATCGGAGATCTTCTCCGCCAACATATCTATCTCTCCATCAACACATGTACATCCGTTAAATTGGGGAAACTTACAAACAACCGACGATGGATGTCCTGGGGGCAGGAGGGGAAACGCACTGGCATCGACCACCCGCAACCCCTGCACCCCGAAGACACGCGCCTGATGGTCCACCACGGCCATGGGATCGCTCGACACGCCCATCTTGCACGTGCAGGACGCATGCCATATCGGGCTCATCGTGTTCCGGATGTACTCCAAAATCTCCTCATCTGATTGGACATCACTCCCCGGATAGTACTCTGCGCCGTCCAAGACGCCCGCCATGGGTGCACTCTCAAAGAACTGGCGCGTGCGCTTGAAGATCGCCACGGCCAGCTCCTGGTCCGCGGGGTCTGTCAGCCAGTTGGGGTTGATCTCCGGCAAGTCGGCAGTGTCAGCCGATCGCAACGTCACATTGCCGCGTGAGAAGGGGGTCAGGAGTGTGCCCAGGATGCTGGCGTAATTGTGTCCGTCTCTGGGTTGATTCAGGAAGAAGTCCGCGCTGTTCCCGACAAACCCGGATCCGGTGAGATACTGCTCGGTTGTCAGTCTGCGGGTCATCGGGCCAGTTTCACCAACTTACCTCGGCCTCGGGCCAGTCGGGGGCGAATTGCTCCGTCAAATCCTCTCGCGTCCGGTTCGATAGCCCACCCCGCACACTGTCAGGTAGGTTCTCAAAGGCAATGTAGTCGCTGTTTTGGTTGGTGAGCATACCGACCTGGGAAAAGGCCCACTTGAGTGCCTCCCTCACGAGCGCCACCAGATTGTTGAGGATCGTGTTGATAGTGCTGACCCGCACGCGGTAGTTGACCGTCAGGTAGATGTGATCCCACATGTTCTGTCCGACTCCGGGGAGATCAACACGCAGTCCTATTCCATGGGTCCGTAGAGTCGCGGCGGGACCAACGCCTGACCTTTCCATTGTTAGCAACGTTCTTTCGGTGATAGAGATAAACACCTACACCATGAGCAGCTGTGGCGACTGAAATGCCCCTGCTGAGAGGATCACCTCGCGGGTAGCCTGTAGAGTAAATGGCTTCCCCAACAATCCCTGGACGACCACCCCAGTGGCTCTGTTGTCACGGTCCAGCACCACCCGTTTGGCCAGAAAATTGGAATACACTGTCAGAGAGAAGGATTGGAGAGTCGCCAGGAACGACGCCTGAGAGCTACTGCGAGTTTGCCATCGTGCGTTCAATGTCATACTGCAGAACTGACCTCCCATGTTCGTCCCAGTGTTGAAGTCTTGCGTGTGCTGAATTCCAATTGCACCAAAGCCCCGTTGCGCCCACGTGGAGAAGGGAGACGCGTAGTTTGGGTACGAGACCTCCAGTGGCCCGCCATGAGGGTCATACCCGTCCGGGTTGTAGCTGGTGGTGGCGTTGCGCAATCGTTTCCTGGTGCTGGGAGGCGTGAAATGGACGCTGCGCTTGAAGTACGGCAACACCTGATCGAAGGTATAACTACTATCATTGACAGCGCTGGCCCATTGCTCCATGGCGCCTCGTGAGGGTCTAGAGATCCACCATTGTCAGATATTGCGGCCCTTCCTCTTGGGTGGGCCCCCTATCCCCACCTACCGCTGGTATATCATCAAATTCATCGCAGATCTGTTTTGGTCAGTCGCTGTCCTTGTGTCGGTACATTGGCACATACGATCCCCCGAGACATTTCCCCCTTGCGTAATGGAGGGATCGTCCATTGACCCCTTCTTGATTCTCCGCCACGAACCCCCAGTCGATCGCCGATCGAACGTGTGGACTGGTTCCGATATACAAGGTCGCAGCTGCTGGGATAGCCTCTAGGGATTGGGCCTGGTAAAGACCCCCGGCTTCGACCAGGGCGACTCGGAACCCACGCTGCGCCAGTCGGGTGGCCACCACATTACCAGCAGTACCGCCTCCCACCACGATGTATTCAAAGGTCTGTTTAGGCGCAAGCAATCTGCCGTCCAACGGGATCGCGGCGCCCATGGCGATGACAACCATGTGGAGCAGTGTGAGCAGGACGCTGCACGCCATCTGCAGGGTATTAGTCCAATGCATATATGCTTGACGGTGTGCCCTCACATTGGCTGGGGTAATAACGACAAGCTCACTGATGGGACTATAGAAGTGTGTATTAGCTGTAGCTTTAAAATGGATTGTGACTCGAATGGAATGTGAGGCGCGTCAGTGATGGTCAACACCGCTCCCACTGCCGTTTCGTTTTATCCTCGAGTTGTCAGTCCTCGCAGCAGGAGCGATGGTTTATATTTTTCATTTTTCATAGCAACATTGACAGTCGCAGATCTGCATTTGGTTCTAACCCAGGTTGTGGCTTCCTTGGATCCAGTACAGTAAGGTTCAGGTCTATACGCAAGGGCGGCAGTTCAAGGGGGAAAGACCGATAATATCTAATATTATTTCAAGCGTGTCCGATAAAGATGCACAGTTTGGGACAATCTCGAGTCGGGGGGTGTCCATTTCTACCGTATTGTGCAGTACACTCTGTAAGTTTGTTGGAGGACAGACAATTATATAGAGGGTGTTTACGTGGTCACTATGTCGCGTGTGTGAGAACCACGCTCTGTACTAAGAGAAATATATATCCCCCGAAAGGGATTGTTTATACTTGACACATTTTAAGACGTAACCTTCAAACAATAAACCAGCGACATGATTTTAGCTAATATAAAACACCCTTCTCCAGAAGTAATTATTCAGGTCCCATACTATGTTATCGGTCCACGGACAAACAAGCGCTACAACACAGAAGCCTGAGGCATCAGTCCAGTTGGACCGACCCTTTAAGATGAGCATACAAACCCTCATGATGATTACTACTAACGATGTCTCCACATATACTGCCTCTGACCATTTACTGCCAAATGACGGTGCCAATGCTTGTTGTCCTGTTCGCTCGCTGATATGGAAAGTGGAGCCGGACGGAGTTGTTGTTTCTGCAGGACCAAGCTCCTTCACATGGTCGGGAAAATAAGCATCTAACAACTCCTTCTTGATGCTGCCTTGTCTGATGCGATTCGACAACGTTGAGGCGAACTATCTGGTTGACAACCACGAGCGAGACTAGTGAAGAGAGCAAGTCTTCGCAGAGCATTCCCGAAAAGGGAAATTAGGGCTTAACCCACGTCCATCCTTACTCCATCCATCTTAGACGGTTTGCGCGCGCGAAGAGACTTTTCTCGATCCCAACAATCGTCCATCGCAACCATTACTCTTTGAAGTATGGTCCACGTGGGCCATTCCCGCACATCCTACCAATTCGGTGGATTGAATGGAATTTCTGGTCGTCAATACGGTGTTATGTCGCTGCCTGCAGCGAGACGGGACGGAACGATGGCCAGATATACTCCCTGGTCATAAGAGACAAATGAATATGATATCATGGTCTTTCTAACGGTACTGGGACGGATCGTCTCTGCAGGCGATCATAATCGTGACGGTGTTAAGACGAGCCAACCCAAGGAGGGGCGACGAACAGGCAATCTGGGGACAACATCTGGACTAAGACGGACTAAGGGGCCCATCCACCAGTCATATTGTGAACCCACAGCCGGAAACTCAGTGCGGGGCTCGTCGTGGCTTGACATCATGAGGCCGGTGGATACAGCTCTCCACTGGCTGCGATGCGGATGGCCTCGCCCCCCAGGACCCGGACAGTGATCTGCAGGCTAGAGACCAGACGAAACCCGACCACGACGCTGTGCCCAGAATGATCCAATGATTATCATCGGGAATGATTCATAACGTTCCGACAAATGGTTCTGGGGATGGTTCACATGGGCCGAGCGCGGGCCCATCCGACCAGGATAGATATAAACCCCTGGTCCTGGATGCCTGTGTCACACTCGCCCCACGGGTTAATTGTCACCAAAATCACCACCCAGTCACCCATCATAACGGAGAAAGTACCATCTAACTCCAGTCTTCCACCATGAGCGTCCAAGGGAACCCCAAGGACTCGATGAAGTCGACGTGGCGCCGCCAGGACCGCGGCGACTGGACCATCTTCCACTGGTTCTACGAGCTGCTGGGCATCCATCCGGTCTCGTTGGATAAAGAGGTCCCCGTCCACAGCAAAGACGAAAAGGTGCCCTACACCCCGGAGTGGCAGCTGCACCGCTGGGTGATCGTCCATTCCGCCATCCCCCTGATCCTCCACCACTTCTACACCGTCTACACCGGCCACAATCTGAGTCCCTTCGCCGCTTTTGTCTTCTACTCGGCGGCCTTCAAGCTCATCGCCATCCACGAACTGCATGCCCTGCGACGTATTGGCCATAAGCTCGGATTCCTTGACGGCGATCTCCACGAGCGGGACGGCGTGCCCGACGTGGGCGTCGCCAAGGTCGTCCACTCACTGATCTCCACCTCCTCCATCCGGCCCATCTTCACCGTCCTCCTCAGCTACCGCTCTAGCCATTCCCCCGCCGACATGGCCTGGGGCTGGCTGCCCCTCGAGGCCGGCCTCTACGGCATTATCCTTGACTTCTGGTTCTACTGGTATCACCGCCTGATGCACGATGTCGACGCCCTGTGGAAGTACCACCGCACCCACCACCTCACCAAGCACCCTAACCCGCTCTTGACCCTCTACGCCGACTTTGAGCAGGAGTTTTTCGACATTGCCGGAATCCCGCTCATGACCTACTTTACCATGAAGCTCATGGGTATGCCCATGGGTTTCTACGAGTGGTGGGTCTGCCACCAGTACGTCGTTTTTGCCGAACTCGCCGGGCACAGTGGACTGCGCCTGCACAGTGTTCCTCCCAATACCCTCAGCTGGGCCCTGCGCCTGTTCAACGCGGAACTGATCATCGAGGACCACGACCTTCACCACCGCAAGGGTTGGAAGAGCAGCGCCAACTACGGCAAGCAGACCCGTCTGTGGGATCGGTTGTTCGGAACCTGTCGAGACCGTGTCGAATGCACGCCAGATAATATCGACTGGGATCACAAGGTTGACATGCCTCTTTTCTGAGAGAGTGAACGAAGTAAGCGATGTGGACGATGATGGATACAGATTGTACAGATGGCCTGGTCCACGGTGTGGATGCCAGGTCATGGAACGTGAGATGGTAAACACATGATTTCCCGGCGTTATTTTCTTTGCGTTGAATCCGCCAGCCGGATTTGCTGGTAGAGTATTATGTAGACATGATATCATGTATATAGCACATCCTTTTGATTGTATAGAATGTTCCTCTTGAGTACGTCTTAGCTGGAATGGGCTTCTTATGTCTTACTCTTGCGATGTGCAGTTTATAGACGATAGTTTATAGCAGAGGTATCGGCCGGAGAGATCAATCCTACCTCGCCACCCACATCCCTTTAATGCTAAACCGTCTTTGACTAGTCTCGATCAGAGAATGGAGTCAAATTATGTAGATGGTAATCGATACCTCTGGGCCTTTTAGGTAACCAAGAACGGCCTGGAAGTTACATGTAAGCCACTGAAAGCCGTGAAAACGACGACCATATACCTATACCCGCATTGAACACAGGTGGGTTTTGCATGAACTAAGGTCAACACCCTCATGCCGTACAAATCATCCTCGAACCTGTCTGCTGCCTATGACCCGCTCAAGGACCTCCAACACTCTTTCTACCCTTTCGGGAAGGAGATGCGAACAGCCGAGTTCACCACTACTGACTATGGTGTGCACCGCGGGACTCGGACAGGCTAGCAATGACTGGAACCTGGTGATCTTGAGGAAACGCCAGCACGTACTATAGACGGCCTCTGTGCCCTGGGTTTTTTTTTAGGTTGGTGGATCTACTGATCCTTACGGCGAGGAACTCGTCCAGGCTGAGTTCGCAAAAGATGCCAATACGAGATACCTCGTGATACTCTCGATGCTGTTACCTCAGGTCATGTTGCGGATATTGACTTCTGATGGCGCATTTCGTTGTTTTGTGAATGATTCTTCACGTGCCAATGTAGAGAGTAAAGTGTCTGGTCTCAAGGCCGGTCCACTGGCCCAATCGTGATAGGAGTCAGCCACGCATATCCTCGCTCGACCCATTACGAGGCAGGGCACCCGCAACGCCCGCCTCAGTTGTCAAATTGCCCTGAAATAGACGCGTCCACGGAGAATAGGGACGCTGCCCAGACGGTGGAACTCAATCTGAGGGGCGTTTCGCAGCGACTTTTAGTTCCCAAGAATATCAGGAAATCTTTCGTCACCTGACCAACCCAGGCATAACTTCTTCCTGTGCTTTTGCGCCTCCAAACTTTAGTCCTCACTTATCTTCCTTACTATCTCCCACTCCTAGACGGCATCGATCATTTCGAACATGTTTTTCTCAGAAGTATCATTGTCGGCCACGTCAAAATGGCCTCGCATTTGGTGAGGCTTGTTCTGTCCCGAATAAAACAGTCACTGTGCCAGATTGACTCATGTGAGCTATTTGCCGCCAGTGGCAAATTTCAACATATCTAATGGCGCTCCCAATGGTCCTTCAAATTACTGACCTGGTTAGCTATAGGTATACTCGCCGAGTAGGCTGATATTGGGCCATCTGACAGGTGTATCTTGCAGTCGCAAGAGCGCCATAGTCATTCCCTGTTTCTACTGCACCTTCGATCACAAGATCTGCACCTCAATACCCCAGGCCATGGAAAGAACCACAAGAAGTGATAGTATTGATATCTCGGAAGAATAGGTCTCCTGGATGAAGACATTGGCTAACCAGCAAATTCCGCACTGCCACTCGTTTGAGACGAGCTTCATGCTAGCCTCACACATAAACGCCATGCGAGACAAGAAAATGGCGGCGGACAGCTGTAGCTTTCTATTCGTTGTTGATATGTCGAGTGAGACCAAGTGTTTGGCCCCGCTTCTTGCGGGACCGGCCCCTCACTGTCTATCGATGTCCGCTGCGGGGAAGCCGAGGCCATAAATATACCCGGGCTTATTTTATCAGTCCAGTCCACAGATTACAACATCTTCATCTCTCACTCACCAGTCTACACCATGACGATGAATACTTGGGAACAAAAGGCCCAGGCGAAACAAGCCGCCGCCGCAGCTAAGATCCCCGCCGAATGGCTTCTGCCCGAGAAACTGCTCCAAGAGTTGGAACAGCAAGGCCCCGCAGTCAGCGTGCTCGGTGTCCCCCGCGAATGCGGTTTGCTGACCCAGCGCGAACTCGACATCACCGAGACTGTCGATGCGACGGCCCTGCTGGCACGTCTAGCATCGCGCGAGCTGACTTCCTCCGAAGTCACCATCGCCTTCTGCAAACGCGCCGCGATTGCCCAGCAGCTCACAGGTTGTCTGACCGAAACGTTCTTCGACATCGCCATCCAGCGCGCCAAGGAGGTGGACGATCACCTCGCTACCACTGGGAACCTCATCGGCCCGTTCCACGGCCTACCCATCAGTTTGAAGGAGAACTTGAACGTCAACGGTGTGCCGACCTGTCTCGGCTACATCTCCTTCCTCGACCACCCCGCGAAGACCACCAATTCGGCGCTTGTCGATATCCTCCTCGCCGCCGGCGCCGTCCTCTATGTCAAGACTAACATCCCCCAGACGATGATGACCGCTGACTCCCACAACAATGTCTTCGGCCGCGTCCTCAACCCCCACCGTCGAAACCTGACAGCCGGTGGTAGCTCTGGCGGCGAGGGTGCCCTAATCGCCCTCCGTGGCTCCCTCCTCGGCGTCGGCACCGATATTGGCGGTTCCATCCGCATCCCAGCCCTCTGCTGCGGTCTCGCTGGCTTCAAGCCCACTGTCGGCCGCATCCCCACCGCCGGACAGGCGATCGCAGGGCGTCCTGGATTGACGGGGATTCTCACCGTCGCGGGCCCCTTGTGCCACTCCATGCGCGACGCCGAGCTCTTCGTCCAGACGGTCCTCAACGCCCACCCCGAAGACCTCGACGACGCCGCTCTCGGGATCCCGTGGCAACAAACTCCCACCCAACCAGTTCTCACCATTGGTCTCCTCCCCGAGGATCCCAACTATCCGCTACACCCTCCCATGCGGCGCACTCTCGCCGAGGCGGCCTCCAAACTTCAAGCCGCAGGACACAAGCTCGTCGACCTTACCGGGAAGATTCCTCCGCTGAGTAAATCTACCAGCATCGCCTGGCGCCTGTTTCAAATGGACCCGGACAAGACACAGGTCAAGAACATCCTTGATGGCGGAGAGCCATTCATCCCGTCCCTCAAATTCACCTATAACCTGGTGGGAACGGACGCCGAGCCAACCCTGCGCGAGCTGTATGATTTGAACGTGGCGCGGGCCCAGTTCATAGCCGATATGCGTCATGTTTATCTGGAGAACGGACTGGACGTTATTCTCGGTCCTGCGTTCCAGAGCTGCGCTCCGCCACACGATGCCTTCGGTCTGCCGGTTTATACCACGTTGTCAAATCTGTTGGATGTATGTGACTTTCCTTCTTTCCTTCTGTCCTTTTCGCCCTCCTCCACATTGGTAACGATACTAATTTATTTAGTACCCCGCGTGTATAGTCCCATTCGGCCGCGCGAAGGAGGCCGACGACGCCACTTTTGTACGAGATGTTAAATACGTCCCAGAATGTAAGTAGCCCATCCACACCTGGTAACCCAACTGACGACACTAGACCATCCCAACGAAGTTGAAGGCGCTCCCTGCCACGTGCAGTTGATTGCGCGCAGAATGAAGGATGAAGCCTTGTTGCGGTATGCACAGACGGTGGAGAAAGTGTTGGCATGAGTGTGCAAGTGTAGTTGGTTTACTCATCTGATACCATTAAACCACGATTATGAAGCAACAACATCATGGCATTTCACGAACACAGCTACTGCACAAAGCTCCAATTAGACTCTCAGCATCTATCAACTATGCCCAATAACATTCTTATCCATGTTCCCCCCAGACAGCTCCACCTCCCACTGGTCACTAATAAACTCCACTGTCACAGTGTATCTCTCACGAGGTAGCAGCGTGACGTAATTATCCGACCAGTATACAGGCGCGATCTCCTGGTGCGACTCGGGGTCCACTGCCGTCAGCCGGAGGAAGAACGCGGGCGTATCCGCCTTGTTCTCCAGAGTGACCTGCACCTTTGTCGACTTGTCCCTATGCTCACCCGGCAGCGGAGCCGCTTTTGCCGTCACTTCCGCGCGGGGGAGCTTGCTCAGCGCTTGCATGTTGATGTATTTTGTGACGGGCGTCACGTAGTAGGTGGAATTGTCCCAGTCGAGAACGTCGTTGTCGGCTGTCACCCAGTATACGTTTCTGCTGAGATTGGTGTCCGTAGTGGTGTCCTTCAGGACGAGCCTGAGGAACCCCACGTCTTTGAGTTCTTCTATTTCTGGAATTTTCGTTACTTGCTTCGAGGAGAGAGGGGCCGTGTCTGCGGTGGCGTTCTTCGACACGATGGTTTTCCCCTTCGTATTGACGAGGTCGATTGTGACTGTGCGCGGTCCTTGCTTGTCCACGCTGTGATTGATGATGTGCACCGTCCGTTCCTTGTAGTCATACGCTACGTGTTCCGTGCGGCCGCCCATCTTCGCCCCGAAATACGACCCCGCCGGCCGCAGGTAGTAGTCGAAGAGCTGCCAGTGCAGGCTTGGCCACGCGCCGTTCAACATCCAGTAGATGAGCCCCGTGGCTGGTTTCTTGGCGCCCTGCCTCGCGGCGTAGGCTTCAAACTGCGAGCGCGTCGCTTCGTAGTCCATTATCTGCGCCTTGAGGAGGTAGTCTTCGAGGCTGGTTGGGGCCCCGTACCGCGCGTACAGCGCGTCGTTGTAGATCGCCCGGTTGGCGAACTTCGACCTCTCCTTCGACATGTGGTACAGGTCTTTGTGAGGCTCCTTCCACAGGTCCTCCAGGTCGGCCTCCGACAGGAATTCCTTGAGACTGCCGAGCTCGGGTGTGCCGACGCCTGACCCCAACTCGGAGCCAAACCCGAACGCCGCGCCAAGCTGGTCCTCGTACCAGTAGTTCGGAGGTACCCAGTCGTAAGGCCCCTCCATTTTCATCCCCGACGGACCAAGTTGTTTGGGGAAGCCCCGTTTGCTGGCCGATGCGATGATTGGGTTGGGCCAGTTCATGCCATCCAGGACGTCCACGAACATGGCGGTCGCGCGATCATCGGGCCAGAAGTCTGATGCGACGAGGAAACATAACATCGAGGCGTGGGCCTGCATCATCTGGGCCTCGTGCTCCATAGCGTCCTGTGCGATTGCGTAGTCTTTGTCAATCCACAGGTCGCCCGACCCCTCGTCATTGTGCTGTCCAAATTAGCGCGTCACCAGTAATCTACCACTGAAAATGGGCAGGCTCACCTTCCATCCCTCCCATTTAGTGCAGCACTCCCACCCAGCCATTACCATGAGTCCCATGTTGTCAGCCAGGTCGTACAGCTCGGGGTGCTCCTGTTTGCCCTCCAGGCGCACCGTATTGAGTCCCATATCCAGCATGTATTGGAAGATCGTTCGCACACGCTCGAGATCGAATCGCAAGAACATGTCGGGCGTATATCCCGCTCCCCGAACATGAAACTTGTAACCATTTACGGTGAACGACGTGTCGTCATGTTTGTTGAGATTAGATGCGACGTGACGAATGCCGAAGTTAGTAGGCTCTGCCTTGTCCGAAATCTCGCCATCCGCCAGGGAGACGTTCAGATGAACGGTGTACAGAGGCTGGCTGCCCCATGTGGCAGGCCACCATACTCGTGGGTTGTTTAGGGGCACAGTGATTTTGATCGTGGTTTTCCCCCTGCTGTCCAGCTCAACATCATGGGACAGAGGGACAATTTGCGATCCATCGTCAGATTGGATTGTGCCCTGCATGACTCCATGAGTGGGGGTGTCTGCGTGATTCGTAAGGTCGGCGATCACATCAACAGTGACCTCCTCAGTGCCCAGCTTAATGAAGTCGGTTGTGACGCGCACGGGAGACATAGATATGGTACCGGTGTGCTGCACTTCCATGCTTCGCCAGACCCCCGTCCCATTGTCGGGGGGATACGGATTCCAGTCCTCGAAGCTCTGTGCAAAGTCGCGAACATAGCTGGTAGGATACGCTTGCACCAGGAATGCGTTCGGTCCAGACTTGATGAGACCCGTAATGTCGTAGCGATGGCCACCGTATGAGCCTTGATGCAACTTACTAGCAACCACTTGCTCTCCATTGAGGTATATATCGGCCTTCGAAGTGATGCCGTGAGTGACGAGGAAGACGTGCTGTCCTTTGGCGGGTTTCTCAAGCGTGATCTCTTCACGGTACAGCCAGGGGACTTGGAAATCCGACACGTCGATCTTATCCAAGTTATTGGAGAAGAATATCTCCTTCTCCCCGTAAGCTTTACTCTCCAGCATTCCAGCCATCACGGTTCCTCGGGGTCCCATGCGATGCCATCCCCTGATGTTTGCGCCGGGCAATGAAAGATCACTGATGTTTTGGGATACCTGGGCGCTGGATTGAATATGCCATCCTGGAATAGTGGTCACGCCCTGAGTTGAAAGCGCGGCCCCAACCCCAACCACCACCCCCAGGGATGAAAGGAGCGATCGGATATTCATCATGAACCAAATGGCGCGACTGTGCAGTGGCGGGTCTGTGAGAGTTGGGGTAGTGGCCAGCCTATATACTCCGTATTTAGATAGTTTCGCCTCTGGGACTCGGCGATCTCGCCAAATCACTGGATTCCGTCGGGGAATTAATTATCGTTGAATACGCTCTCAAACAACACGATTGTAGCCGGGGTTACATCGTGGCCAGCGTGCGGGATGGCTAGGTGCAGGGATCTCAAGTGCAGCTACAACCCTGTCGATCATCATCAGGTCGGCGGCTGTTGGAGAAGCTGGCTTGTTTAGTTCCCAGGCAGTTCATGGAACCGACGACAAATTCGAATTTCCATGGCCACGATTGGTGTCGATGTTCGTGGTACCGGGATATTTCCGCCGAATCAAACACCGACTAATTCAGCATGCAGACTGAGCCACAGTGTCGTGAACGATGCCGGAGCCGGCCGGTCAATTGGTAACCTAGGATATCGACAACCCGGGACGGACGGACTACTAGTATTAAACTCAACACGCGCCCGCAGGATCTGGGACGACCTTCGAAGATTCAAAATCCTCCCATACAGCGTAACCAACAAGCAGCGATACTGGAGACCGTCAGTACATTTACACGGAGTCGAGGCGTTGACAAGCGTGAATGGGCGCGCCCACGGTCTTGCCATTCTTCTATTCTTCCCCTGGCCATCAATGGCATCTTCGATAGAATCCAAATTGGGGTTAATCGCATGATGCGCAGAGTACAGATAGAGGAGTTGACGCGGTCGACTGACAATATGTGTGGTTTAATCCCCGGCGTCCTGATGCCGTAGCGGAGTCCATGTTCTCTAAGCGACAAGCTTAGCTGGACTCGCGACCCTCCTGGAGCCACCTGCGACATAACCGCCATAGAATCAATTTACAAAGATGGTGCATCTCACCCCCCGGGTTTGGGTGCCAAGGCAATATGCACGCATCACAATAATGTGTGGAAGTTGACTGCAGTTAGACTTGGCAGGCAAACCCTGATTGGACGGCATACCAGCGCCATATCTGTACAAGAACTTATTGTTTGAGCGCTTCAGACAAAACACGGTTGCGCCGATCTGAGAATACGCTGTCGCCAGGGAGAGGAAGGGAGGGAAGGCCACTAGAGGGGCTCAATCGAGGAACAAGGGGCACAGGGGTAAACGATCAAGGTCCGAACCACCAAAACTCATAGGACCCGAGAACAAAAATGGCACCGAGTCAGGTCCGATCAAATCAAGAAGACTTATTGGAATGCTCGATGACCGCATGCGGCCAGCCACCCCTGGATCGGTCCTCCGCCCACACATCATGACCGCGTCATTGGCTGATGAACCTGCCAAAAAACAACCCTTTGATGCGACAACAATGCCACCCTCGGATTGAAGAAGGATCAATCACATTGTGGAACTCCCTGAGTCGATGGGGTCGCATCGAGGGGAAGAAATGAAGGCTCCATGTGGAGCGCGTTTCTATGCCAATGTGACATTCCTCCGGTGCAATTGTCCGGTATGCTATTAACCATTGTCTGTCGAGTTCGATATTCCTGATCTCACTTTCTTCCCTCGCTGCTGCTGCCTCTGCACCGCTCGAAAAACAGAGACAATGCGAAGACCCTGGCTCACGATTTTGGCGCTGCTGGCCGGCGTCCAGGCCATCGATTTAAATCTGGACGATCCGGGTGAGTGTGAAATCGGGGGATGACGGTCCGTACGACACTAATAGCCTCAGAAAACGTTAAGAAAGCATGCCGTGCTGTAGCCAAGGACATGCTAACCCATTATACGGGGATGAATCCTGGGGACGTACCTGGAAATTTGCCGGACCCGTACTACTGGTGGGAGGGTAGGTCTACACAGCCCGCGACGAAACGAACGGAAGAAGAGAAACCCGCTTACCAGAGTATATGACAGCCGGTGCCATGTTCACGGCTTTGGTCGACTACTGGTTCTACACGGGAGATGATACGTGGAACGAAATCACGACGCAAGGGTTGCTGTGGCAGGCGGGCGACCTTGGGACTTACATGCCGACCAACCAGACTCGCACCGAAGGCAACGACGACCAGGCCTTCTGGGCATTTGCCGCCATGTCGGCGGCCGAGCGCAACTTTCCCAACCCGCCTGAAGGAAGCCCAGGCTGGTTGGGCCAAGTCCAAGCAGTATTCAACACGCAAGCTGCCCGATGGGCTGCCAAAACCTGCGGCGGGGGCTTGCGATGGCAAATCTTCACCTGGAACAACGGATACCATTACAAGAACACTATCTCCAACGGATGTTTTTTCAACCTGGCGGCGCGATTGGCCATGTACACGGGGAACAGCACATATACCGAGTGGGCGCAACGTGTCTGGGATTGGACCATGGATATCGGGTTGATGACCGAAGATTTCCTCTTCTACGACGGGGCGGATGAGCGGAGTAACTGTACCCAATTCAACCAGATTGAGTGGACGTACAACTCGGGAGTGTACCTTCACGGAGCAGCCACGATGTATAATTTGGTGAGTTCAAAATCCCCCGGCTTGGCGAGTAACACATTGACCGTCGTAGACAAAGGGCGACCCAGTCTGGAAGGAACGGACGCAGAACCTGCTGAAGGCGACCGATGTCTTCTTCAAGGACGATCCCAAAGATGTCATGTACGAACGGGCATGTGAACCGATCGACACATGTGAGGTGGATCAACGGTCCTTCAAGGGCTACCTGGCCCGGTGGATGGCCAAAACCACGCAGATGGCACCGTTTACCTACGACCGCGTGATGCCCAAGTTGCGGGCGTCCGCCGAAGCGGCAGCCAAAACCTGCACGGGAGGAAAATCCCACACAACCTGCGGCCTGAAATGGTCAGACCAAAAGTGGGATGGCTTGCGGGATGTCGGGAGCCAGATGGCGGCGCTAGAGGTGATGCAGTCGACCCTCATCGCTCGAGTGGATCCCCCCGTGACCGACGACACTGGTGGTACGAGTAAGGGCAACCCTGAGGGGGGCGCCAAGCCACCCAAGCAGACACCGGGACGTTTCACGACGCGTGTGACGACAGCCGACCGTGCGGGGGCCGGCATCTTGACCATCCTGATGGCCCTATTTGTGAGTGGGACGACAGGGTGGTTGCTGTATGACTGATGCGTGAGTCTCCGTTTATGCCGTGCGGGGATGCTTTTTGTCTTGTAAAATATGTAATCACCATGTAAGCACAACAGGAATTGGACAGCTTTCTCCTTGCTGTAGTGGGGCGCCAACTGGTGGGTGGTGAAGAGTGTCCTATCATTAGATCTTCCAATCTCGGACTACGCCGAGAATAGTCCTGCAAGCACCATCCAAAGCACGACAAGACACCGGAGCAAGTGTGTGAAATATGAAGGCGCGGCGTCGTGCCGAGAGGTCATAACCAGTACAGCGCCAGTGCTGCACACAATAGGCGAGCTGTCACCCGGTCAAAGGAGGGGCTGAATAGCTCCACCGTCGAGAGACGATCTAGTGAGGGGCACTAAAACCACCGGCGGAGGATTTCCGCCCTGCCTCGGGTGGTTGTTTTTTTTTTAACTGGCCCAGAAACCGGCACATCACCATGCTCCTTACCTTGATATCTTGGATCCGACAAGACATCTACTCGACAGATTGGACATAATGGCTCCCGCAATGGCAAATCCAGAATTCGAGATTCCCACCCATTGCAATGCCGGGGTTGTGGTCAATGAAGGGCCCAATTTTGAACTCCGGGTGGAAATGGTACCCGTTCCGGAACCAGGTAATACTGCCTACCATTGAAATAGCCTCGCGATCTTCGCTAACACAGGCGACGATGCCACCTCCTCCCAGGACCGGATGATGTCTTGCTCCGCCTGAATGTGACCGGGGTGTGCTCGTCCGACCTGCATATGATGCAGGGCGATCTTGGTTTCCCCCCCATGTCTTACTTCGGCGTGCGATCCCCCGGCCACGAGGGGGCGGGCGTGGTGGTGAAGGTCGGGCAAAATGTGACAAACTTCAAGCTTGGTGACCGCGCGGGGGTGAAGCCGCTGCTGGATACCTGTGGGTCCTGCGAGTTGTGCTGGGGGGACAAGGAGACCCACTGTCCAAAGGCCACCCACGCCGGTCTCATGGCGCCCGGTGAGTGAGCGCGCTCGGGCGCGGGACTTTGTTATGGTCGACCCCCTGACCCATCTATACATACAGGTACATACCAGCAATACATCGTCTCGCCCGCTCGCTACGCATCGCCGATTCCCGACGGAGTGCCGGACGAAGTGGCCGGGCCCATCATGTGCAGCGCCTCGACCATCTATCGCTCCTTGTCCCAGTCTGGCCTGAAGCCCGGCGACTGGGCGGTATTCCCGGGAGGCGGCGGTGGGGTGGGCATCCAAGGAGTCCAGATGTCCAAGGCTATGGGGATGCGGCCGATCGTTGTCGACACGGGTGCTGCGAAGCGGGCGTTAGCGCTCACCATGGGGGCTGAGGCCTTCATTGATTTCATCGAGACTCCCGACGTCGCAGCGGCGGTGATCGCCGCGGCCGATGGTGTGGGCGCGCACGGTGTGTTTGTCACGGCCCCAGCAGCGTATAAGACGGCGTTTTCGTACGTGGGTGACCGAATCGGAGCGATCATCATGTGCATAGGACTGGCTCCCGCTGGCACAATGACCGTAGGAGGCGATCCCAACGTCTTCATTCTCAAGAACCTGGCCGTCAAGGGTACCCTGGTAGGAAGTCGAAGCGACACGGCCGCCGCATTGGACTTTGCGCGTCGGGGTCAGTTGAAGCAGATCTGCGAAGTGTATCCGATCGATCGACTCCCAGAGGCAGTGGAAAAGCTACGCCGAGGAGAGGTAGCGGGGCGGATGGTGGTCGATTTCAACCAGAGTTCGTAGCTCGAGGGGTGAGAGAGAAGATAGAGGGAGGAGAAGAGAGAAGAAGAAGAAGATAAGGCAGTGACTCCAGGGTGCCTGAGTGCCTGAGTGCCTGGGTCAACATGAACACGCTGCCTCAGGTGTCGGTGATATATCTACGAGCACAATGAGAGCGTCGGGGGTGCGTTGGTCCATGTTATATATATTGGGTAGCTCCCATAATGATCCACATAAACATGCTGTTTCCTTCTTCATGTTTTGCAATTATTTCACAGTTCTTCATAGCTCCAACGCCATCAATTTGTGGCATCGATTTCACTGTTTTCCATCGGTCTTTCCGCGGGATTTATGCGTAGACAGAGATTTAGCCTCGTCTGGGCGGCACAAGCAGATTGAACTCTGGAGGACCATATGTCTGATGCCGGTGATTCTTCCACGCATTCCTCCTGGCTGAACCCATCCCCAGCTTAGGAGTTGGCCGGAAAACGAGCCCTCTGCGAATATCCTCCTGGTCGAAGCTGCGCCGGTGTACAATGTAGTTGCCTGGACCAGCGAAGAAGTGGTCTCCGCCATCTTGGGAGAACCGTTTAGATGGGGTAATAGGGTCTTGCTCATCCCATGTTGTGTGCAAATTCACCAATTTCTTTGGGGCAGCGATCGGTCCCGCGTCGTCGCTTGGGGGCGCTGTCCCCACATTCCACCAGAGACTCGCGAGATTGACCGTCGTTAAAGAGGCCATGTTGTTTATGTAGGTGAAAATTGGGGACCATGTCCCTTGGACGACGTGGATCTCCTGCAAGGTCAGAGACTCCAGGTTGGCATGAGTGGAGAGGAAGCGGGGCAAGGACGACTCGATGACAGGGAACCCAGACAGCGCAAAGGACTGCAGATGCGGCAGAGTGACCTGGTCGGCTAGTGCTGTAAAAATGGAATGATACTCATCAAAGTTCACCGGGAAGCGATAAAGGTGCAGGTCTAAATGGCGCAGGTTGGGGGTTGCCTGCAAAAGCTGGATCAGGCCGGGGACTGCCTGGGGTTTGGTTCCCCGTGGCAGTTCGACCACATGCCCAAAGGTGCGGTCAATGACCTTGCTGCTCGTCTCACGGCCATACTCCCACTCCCAGGTCCCATCATCGATGTCGGTGCACAGGCTCAATTGCAAATGCTGCAGAGTCGTCCCAATGGCCTTCCAGTCCAGTCCTCCGACGCGGGTATAGTTCGAAAGGAAGACGGCGCAATTTGGTGTCTGTCGGTATATATCAAGATGAGTGATATCAATGCCGCTTCTTGCAACGGCGGCCATGGTCATCTTGTACACCTTCGAGGCGGTGGTCCAGGTTTCAAGCCAGACACCGTGCCGGGTGTTGGTCCGCATACCCGGACCCAGGACCACCGACACATCCAATGTGATCCGTTTCAAGGACGTAGACTTGAATCGCTGAAGAGTCCCGGTCAGCGAATTTATGACCTCCTCTGAGGACAGTTCTTCCTGGGCCGCGCGTTGCTTCTCAAGCCAGTCCACGTCTGATTCAAGGTTCGGTGCCGTCCATTCCCATTCGCGCCAGTCATTCGGGGACGGCTGACGACCGAGTCGCACATTCGCCTCATCAGCCGCATAATAAACCGCCTGAATTGTTAAGTCGTGAACGTGCTGTCGTAGCACGGGGTTCCGACCAAGTGCGTCCAGCGAGGCGAGATTGTCCCTGGTCAAGTCTGTGCTGGCCCTTACATGGCGGACAAAGTGGGGTCCCAGACAGCGAACGCTAAGCTCCCGGTCGACAAGACGCAGAGCTTTGATGCTTGCCAAGTCCAGATACGTCAAAATAGTCTCGAGTACCTCTAATGGGAGGCGCGACCAGGTCATGATGGGATGGAAATATATTGAGGATGGCGATAAAACATCAAGCGGGGGAAGTCGGGGTTTTTGTAGAACTGACGATGGCGGATTTAGGGCAAGGCTTGGCATCTGATCTCAGCACTGCCACGTTCCAAATATATATCTCAACCATGGGGGAAATGATGAAAAAAACTTGGGGATATTCTTTATAGACAAGGTTGCGAGAGGTTGTAATAATTATCAAAAATACAAACAGTCAAAGAGTGTGCGAAATGTTCTGCAAGTTGGTTAACATGCCAGCCGATCGCAGCCACTCCCACAAATTATATATCACTCCGTACGGATTCATCTATATAGTCTCTCCATCAACTCCCCAGTTACTGCCCGTTGGGCACTTCCTTATTCTCCCACTCGTCATCGTGCATCTTCTCCGTCCCCATCCACATCACCACGCGCTTCCGAGTCATCGTCTTGTCTCCTTCCTTGTACCGGTCGTCCGGGTCATACTGCAACAGCACTGACCCATCCACCGCTCTCCTTGGATCTTCAGGGTCGTCCCTCCTGTATTTGTGTTCCTTCCAGAGACCCTGGTCAGCAAAGGCCGGAACAATCCCCTTGACGACCTCTCTCATCGATTCCCACCGTTTCACATAGTACTTCTGATAGCCCGCGTCTTTCATACCGGGGCAGGCGTCCAGGGGCACCATCATGTAGCCTTTAGCATGGCCGTCTTCAAGGGCATCCTGTACGTCGCTCACTGGAACCTGCTCGGGCTTACCCGGCTCGGTCGTGTCCTCGCTCTGTTTGATGCCTTCGCGCAGGCCCTTGACGACCGTCTGCTCAAAGGCTTTGTCCCTAGTCTTATATTCTTTGAGCCAGCCAGGAGTCTTTTTGCCGTCCTCCCCTACGGTCCATGTCGTCGGAGTGAAGGAAATGTCCTCGAACCAGTGACCCATAAAGGCCCCAGAGCGGCTGACGAGGGCCATGACGGTGCAGCCAGTGAGGCCGTCGGTGCCCATGCTGAATGCTTGATCTTTAAACTCCCGGGCCCGCGACGTCCCCATGCCTTCCACCTCGGGTTCCTCCTCGCCCGTGGGGATGTGACGATCCCACACGATCAAGTCGAATGACTTCCGGCTGATCTGGCCGTTGATGTAGCCGGCCAGTCGATTGTCTCCCGGGATGTTCAACGTGCGCGCCTCCAAGGTGTTCTCATCCGATGAAGCGGGGGTGCCGTGAACCTGGATGATGCCAAGGTCTCGCTTCGCTGGGTCGCCCTGTCCCGGGTATCGCACCAGGGGTCCACATGTATGGGTGCAAGTCGCGTCATCGTCGCCGTCGTCGCGCTTAACCAGCCCAAGGGCGACAGGAGCGTCCGGGCGGGACGAGCGCGATTCGAGACTACATAGTTTTCTGGCACCTACAAAGGAGACGCATTAGCAATGGACGGTGGCGTAGTAGGGGAGCGACTGGGAAGACTGACATCCATACGGGGCTCCCAGCACTGGCTGGAGAATAGCCAGGAGAGAAAGAAAGCGTGTGAGCTTCATGGTGGTGGGTACCGTGAAGGATTTCGAGTTGATGAGCCCAACCAAGTCGGCGACTCTTGATGTCTTTTATATGTCATCCTGTTTTGTATGCCATCCCCGTCTCTTTCACCGTCCAACAGTCCGACAGGCTCTAGGCCATCTTTCAGGCCCCCAACCATAAGCATAGCCCCCACGCTCGTGTTCGCTGGATCCTACCTGGCAGGGTGCACGATCCAGCAGGAGCGCACCATCCGACTGGAAATAGACTTAGTGGCTTTTCCTGCAACCTTAAAGTGTAGCTGAAGAATGACCGATGTCTCAGCCGTACAAGAAGGCTGTACCTGATCCCTGCAGGCTGCAGGAATGATGGCGGTAAGCCACTGGCGCGCCTGCAGAATACTAAGGTTATCGTTAGGGTTAGTGTTGCTTGGCCCCTGCACCAGCAGGGCTGACGGACCAACGAGATGGGAGAACAACACCGTCAGCTTACCATGCAAGAACAGTGGGCTGTGCAACCGATACCACCCTATCTGATTTCTTGACGAACTATTCGTCGCGGATCTTAATGCGAAGGCTCGATATCAAGATCCTCAAGGCAGACACTGCCCGGCTGGTTCCTAGTGTTACTAAATCGATACTCGATCGATACTCAATCGATACTAAATCGATACTAAATCGATACTAAATCGATACTAAATCGCGCGAATACGAGCGTTAGTCGCATCGACCCTGGTCATGGTGGCATGGCAGGATTGGTATGGGGGCCAAAATATCATGTAGGCACGGCGAAGGGGAGGGTGTGTCGGAAGCTTCATCGAGGGGCATAGCCCATCAGGCGTGCTATTTTCGAATCAACAGGTTCACTACGGGATATGTCCGTCGCCAGACAACTATATAAATCCCCTTGGGTCCGTTCTTGACTCACCCATCGCAAGAACAACAACCAGCACCAACCGAACACAATGCGAGGCACGCACACGCTACTCGCCCTGGCGGGCTTCTTTTCCCTCGCCTTGGGCGATGCGGTCACCTTCACACTAGGTAACCCAAACGACTATCAAGTCACCGGGGTATGTTTTCCCCCTTTGTGCCAGAGTTTAAGATACTCACATCTCAACAGACAAACATCGCGGTGCCCACGGGTGATACGCTCGAGATCCTGGGGAACGGCAAAGAAGACTACGGGGTCGATGTAGCGATCTCTGATGAGATGAAAAAGAAGATCCAAGAAACTATCAAGAATGACTGCAAGGATGAGTTGACCTCGGAATGTTTCGTGAAGATCCGCGAGATCATAGAGCACCAGGACACGGAGCTGCAGACGCGCTTTGCTCCTCTGGTGCCCCTGGCCATCTTGGGGGCCTTGATGGCCGTTGGAGTGGGGTGGTATTTGGAGAAGTCTGAAGAGAAATACCAGCCCTTCCATGTTCCTCCTCATGTCATTAGCACTGCTTCCTCCCTGGCGACGGCCAGTGAGATTGTCGTGATTCCCACTGAGGGCGCGAAACCCATCACCATCACTGCCTCCCCGATTCCCACCGCCTCAGCGTGCGTACTAGCCCCCCTCACCTACTGTACCATAATATCGCTGACAGACCACGACTAGAACTGCCACCGCCACGGTTACCACGTACAAAGATAGCGCTGACGGCCACGACAAGGGCGATGTCGCGATTATCATCCCCGAAGATATCGCACGGATTCTGGACGACTACCTGGGAAAAGACCAGACAAGTAGCTGTCCCGACGGCGAGTCTTTCGAGAAGAAGAAGAAGGCACGCCAACTGGGTGGGCTCTCGGGCTCCGTGTGCGGAGCCGAGCTCACGATGATGAACAACGCAATCGCCGGAACAATGCTCACCATTATGGGCACACAGGTCCCACCCAGGATCAGGGGCGATGCCGTCCGGGCCATGAACCAGGCCATTGCCTTTGTCCGTAGCCACTCCGGAAGCTTGCGAATGACAGCCGATCAAGCCGCCAAGGTGGCTGAGTTCCTGTATCCTCTGGTATGGCAGAAGATGGTAAATGGCCAGGCCATCAAAGGCACCAATGTCATCCCCAAAGACTCGATTGACACGGAGCACGAGGACGAGTGTGACAAGGACAAGAAGCACACGGCCACCAACTGCAACGTTGGATGCGAGGCCGCTGGCCGACTGGTAGAGTGCTCAACCAAATGCTCTCGCGCGACCGCATGCACCAGCACCTCCGGAGCGACGACCACGACTGCCTTCAAGCCCTGGACGGCCATCCCGTACCCATTGGCGACGGCGACGAGTAAGCCGCGGGCCGAATGTGAGGACAAGCCCTCCGATTTTGGAATGCAATTTTTCACCGACAAGATTTACGGGGGATTCTGCGACAAGGTCTCGAAGGACAAAAAGTCGGAGACCACGGTCGACAAGGACGGGAAGACATTGAACAAACGCATGCCTCCTCCGACGCACGACCCTGCCCAGTTTACCCTCGGCTATGAGCCCAACAAGGATGGCGGGGAATGTCAACTTAAATGCGGCGAAGCATTCTACCAGCTGAGCGGGTCGTGTGGAGCGCAAAACAACTTGTACATGGGCGGCAAATTGGACGTCGGCTGCGGGACATACTCTTTCTCCATCAGTCGCCCGGAAGAGCCCGAGCCTGAACCGGAACCCGAGTTGAAGCTGAGTGAGCGGGTGTGCTTTGAAAAGTGGAGGCATAACGACGTGCCTTCCTACTCGGAAGACAGCGACTGGTGGGAGAAGATCCTCAAGAACTCGTGCGACGAATTTGGCGACGATGCAAAGGTCACGCCGGACAAGATGATCACCGCGATGCCAAACGGGTATTTCAACAACCCCTTTATCTGGACTGGAGCAGTGTGGATGAAGGGATGTAAGGCCGAGGGCGACTCCCAAAGCTTGCAGCAACCACTACCGAATGATAGCAGCGTCACCTGTCGGAGTCTCCTTATAAACAACTATCTGAAGTGTAAGTCCCTTTTTGATCGATACGAAGAACATGAGACTGACTTTCGCAGGCAATAATGGTGGCACTGGCGGTCATATTGATGCCGGATGTGTGCGGTACACTTTCATGCCGAAGGGCCCCACCAAGGAAGACGACGTGGGGTTAGAGACCGATATGTATGGTAGGGATAGATGAGCCTGTCCGTCGGTGGCTCCGGGTTGGACCTAGTATACTTGCCAGGTTGAATGGCCATAATTGCGTGGGATAAAGTATTGTTTTATTAGTATTCATAAAGCAGGAATTCAGGATATTGAAACGTTCACTCCGCCCTTGGAGGTGGTTAATTTCAGGAAATACCAATTGAGCCCACCCTAATCACAAGTCAACGGCTGAAGTTGGCCACAAAAATGTATAGTTTGACACATTGCTTCGCAAACGAATTGGACTGTTACATATACAAAGTCGCAAGGGCGAACTGACCCCATTCCCGGGTAGTAATTGTTGTATCCACGAAATATCCCGAAATTTATATGATAGGTTTAGTCTAAGAGGGCAATGGCCTCCAAGCGCTGAAACCACAGTCACGGTGCATTACAGCAAGGCCGACTGCCTAGGTAGAATACATACGAGGCCCGACCCCTACAGACTGCAATATACCCTTCTCGCCCAAGGCGGCTACCAAATCAGCTAGGACATGGTCGCATCCGCGCGCCATCTGCAGCGCCACCGTGACAGGGAGGTACTCCTCATGGAGGGTAATCGCACTCTGGTAGGGGATCTCGCCCAGGGGCACCACTACCTCTGGCGCTCCCGCCATGACGGAGGCATAATCCGTACTCCAGCCGACCGGTGGCTGCACCGTTGACTCGTAGTACTCGTCGCGGTAGTCGACCTCGCCGGATGAAAACATACTGACTACCAGAGATTCGGAACAAGATGCCTCGTCGAATCGCCCGAAGCCAATTGTCTCCCACCATTCACGGAAGATTGTCATATTGCGCAGGGCGACCTCGTAGGCCGCATCCCCGCCGTGGTCCTGTCCCCATTGCCAGCGATAGCGCGGGCCGGGGTTGATGAAGGGGCGTCGACCGTCATGGATGGCCGCGTAGTCCGCAAACAGAGGTTTTGCGAGGCGATTGTATTGGTCGACTGCGGTGAGGATGGCGTAGGTTTCGTTTAACAGATCGTTAAGCTCAAGAGGTGGGGAGGCATGCGTGTCGCGCCACCGCTGCTGGATGTTCACTAATGTCCGTGGCACCCTCAAAAACTCCTCCAGCTGGCCCACGAAACGGGTGAGGAGATGATGGGCGTGGGGACCGATCCCGGCGCCATCCCACCCATCATCGGCGAGCAACAGTCGCTGCGGAAACGACGTGTAATTGCGCTCGAAGTTTGGATACCACGACTGCACGGTCCGTGCCCACAGTCCCGGGTGACGGGCAAACACCCCAGCGGTATCTAGCGGCGAGGATAGGGGAAGGACATGGTCGAGCGAGATGGCCCCCGTCGACGGTCGGTTCCCGTATACACCTTGCAGCGCTGCGGGCGAGCGGACAGAGCCACCCGTATCACTGCCCACGGCCAGATCCAACCATTCATACGACGCAATGCCCGCTCCAGACCCAGACGACGACCCGCCCGGCGCTTGGTATCCATCCCCACGCGGGTTGAAGGGACAGTGGAAGTCGACCCAATCGGCGGTGGGCCGATCGCCAGTGGAGAACTGCACCGTGCCGGTTTTGCCCACGACAACAGCTCCGAGGTCGATCAGCCGTTGAATGGACGGCGCCGTGACGTTCTGCGGCCCATAAAGAAAGTAGTACGATCGACTCCCCCCGCTCGTGCGGAGCCCCTTGATGTGGAAGATATCCTTAAATCCCACCCGCAGGCCCGCCAGAGGCTGTTCACGCGTGGGGGTCGAATACAAACGGGAGGGTACGGCAACATCCTTAGTCATGGCGTTCTCCGTGATGGCGGGAAACGCCATAAAGCCCCCCTTCTCGTCGCTGATCGTGGCTTGGACAAAGGCCATGTTATGATCGGGGTAAATTCGATATGCGCGGAACACCTCTCCGGTGTATTGGAAAACAAAGTAGGGCCCCGGGGGAAGGTCGATGGTAAGGTTGACGGAAACCCAAGGCCCAGCGGCTACCCCGGGTCCCGCCAGCAGGGTCTCCATGCCTACCGACTGGAGGGTCAACATAAAGTCATCCATCGGGAGATCATGATCGCCCGGGTGGCTCGACGCCAGATAGACAGCACCGAGAAAGGCATCCTGAAAAACATCATCTTGTTGGCGGAAAGAGGCTAGAAGAGAGTTGAGTTGCGTGCTGGCGTTGACGGGGAGAACAGTGAAGGGAACTACGCCCATCCCCTCGCTCGTATTGAATGGAAATGGGGAATCGACCAAGTCGCATTGGAACCGCGAGACCGGAATGCCACTGACAAAATAGGGGATGCCATTGAGGGTCAGAATCTGCCCATCCAGAATGGTAGTGCCTACTACGGCGGCTGTTAACAATGTCACAGCACATAGACGCATGATAGGACGGCCGGACATCGCTGCCCTGATGTATGATTCAATTCCTCAGAGAAGTCCAGAGACGAGCATCCTTTCTCCTTTTAAACAGGCTGGTGGATCTCGCGTCCAATGTTTTCTCCGGTGAGGGCTCAAGATAATATACGTCTATCTGATATGATTTCGCAACCCCTTGCGTCTGGTCGAACGGGAATGCGCGCTTCGGCTCGATCTCGGGGTTCCGATTCTTCCCAGATCGTTATTCACTTCCCTTATTCGGAAGCACTAAATTTAGAGAGGGGGGTAGGGGGCCCGTGGGGAGTGCTGCACTGTACTTCGCTTGATCCTAACGTACACGGCATACCAACAGGTGTAGGTGTCCATCGGCTCGACCATGATATTGATATTCTAAATCCCGAGTGCATTTCATTACTGGAGCTGGCCGACATGAAACCTCATCCCCGGCATGTCTTATCGTCGGAATGAACAATTTCAGGCCTGTTGCCAACTTCCCACCCATCGAGTCATCTCTCGTGCCCGCAGTCGAAAATGCTATCGACGCGTGTTGATTTTTGGCACGTTGACTGCACTAAAATCAACGCCCAGAACTGGGTCTTTCTGGCAGCAAAAAACTGCATGCATTGAAGGATTCGACAGCCTTAGCCTGATTATTCCGCCAATTACCAGATCGATATGTCGCTGGGCTCCACTACTCTGCATGATTGCACACCCAGAGTGACAGCGGGTGGACCCTAGTGCCAACGGCGGACTTTTGGACTCCAATGACAAGACGCCGCGTCCCTCCGGCTCTTGAGATAGAGATTCTCGAGACACCAGCATAGGGGCCCGTGTTGCGAGTAGCCCGCAACCGGTGTTAGAGCCTTGTCCTAAGCCAACTCCGCAAGTACAGCCGCCGCACTCGTATTGGCGAAATGGATGAATTAGCCAGCTCGGATGGGCTACTATGTCACCCATCTCCGTTTGGGCGCGCGACGATCCCCTGCTGGCCAGCGAGCTAGAAAATGCTGGGTCTCATAAGTAACCCGGTGACTGCCCTTTGCCCATCTGCACGTTCTCAAACGCTTGATGTGAAGACGAAGACCTCTTTCGGCTTCAGCAACAATGAGCTTGACTATTACCACGGTGCTGATTGCTCTGGTCGTCTGGCGACTGCTGTATGAATATCGTCGCGACCGTGGCCTTCCTCCTGGTCCGCGTCGGCTGCCACTGATCGGCAACCTCCACCAGGCACCGCAAGTGCTGCCCTGGCGCACCTTCGACGCTTGGTGTAAGCAATATGGTCCTATTGTGAGCGCGCAGTTCGGGCGCCAGACCACTATTTTCATTTCAGACGGCGCCATGGCGAAAGACCTCCTCGACAAACGCGGCAACATCTACAGCGACCGGCCATGGCTGGTCATGGCCCGCGACAACGTCACCAAGGGCATGCATCTCTTGCTGCGTCCCTATGACGACCGTTACAGGCTTCATCAGAGAATGGAGGCCCCGGTGCTTGCTCCCCGCGCCTCCTCCACATATCTCCCCATCCAAGATCTCGAAAGCAAGCAGCTGCTACGCGACCTGCTTTCGTCCAACGACTTCTCGCATGCATTCGAGCGCTACAGCATCAGCCTCCTGTTCGCCCTCGCTTACGGCTTTCGTATCGAAAAAGGCACCGAGCCCGAGCTCGACTGGGCCCGTGAAGTACAGGATAACTTTGTCTTCGCCGCGCGAGTAGGCACCTGGCTCGTGGATGCAGTCCCTATTCTCAATGTCCTGCCGCCGCGCCTGGCGCCTTGGAAGCGCTTCGCCGAAAAGCTGTACAAGGTCGAATCCGAGGCGCACATCGGCAACATGAACCGCGCCCTTGCCAGCGACTCCTGGAATTGGACCAAGGAGTTCTCAAAATCCAAGCAGTCCAAAGAAATGGACAGCCTCGAGTTTGCATACGACCTTGGTATTTTGGTCAATGCTGGCTTTGAGACCACCTCCACCGCCATGGACATATTTATCCTTGCCACTCAGGCGTATCCAGTATTCGTCGCCCGTGCCCAAGAGGAGCTCGATCGCGTAGTCGGGCATGATCGACTGCCTGGCCCGGAAGATAAAGATCATCTCCCATACATCCAGGCCGTGGTGGAGGAGACGCTACGATGGCGACCGCTCGCACCCCAGGGCGTTCCTCATGCCACAACGCAAGAAGACACCTATGGGGGATATCGAATCCCCAAGGGGGCCACTATCGTTCCCTTGTTGTGGTCCATGTGCCAGGACGAGAGCCACTACGAACGGCCCCTGGAGTTCCTCCCTGAGCGGTGGCTGACCCCGTCCGACGATCCCGACCGCTTCACGAACTATTTCGGTTTCGGCCGTCGCATCTGCACCGGGCGTCATATTGCCAGAAACTCACTCTTCATGCTTATTGCGCGCATTCTTTGGGGATATAAAATTTCTTTGCCCCAAAGTCCAGGGGGTAAACCCGTTCCGGTAGATGATCTCGCGTTTGGCTCAGGGTTCGTATCGTCTCCAGACCCGTTCCAGGTGGTTTTTGAGCCGCGAAGCGAGCATGCTCGGGAGGTGATGGAGAGCGAGTGGGAGCTGACAGAGAAGAACCTCAGTGTGTTGATGAATGGGGTTAAGGAGCATCAAAAGTCTCTGGGACTGGAGATACGCGCATAGTATGGTTAACGGGGCGCTGCATGAAAAGACTTGGCCACTGCACCAAAATACCGAACGGTATCTTTGGTCGGCCATGGTATGACTGATATCCCAATAAAAAGCGCTTTGGGCATAATTTGACCGGCATGAATATAGTCTTCATTTAAATGTACAATGATCTTTCTTCGCGTTTACTGTCATTCAAGGCCGACGGACTCCTGGCTAGCTCTTGCGAATAGTACCATTAACAACGCTGCTTCATTGACCAGCGGTTGCGTCCAGAACAGAGAAGACTGTATTTGCTCCAAGGCCAGCCGGTAGCAGTTGTCGAGCAGTGAGCATTCCCCATCTGATACATCCGGCCTCAACCGCAGTGCAGCTGCCATGGCCATGTATACCTGAAACCGGGCCATCGACGCTGAGCAGGAGTTGGTAGAAGCCAGTGTCTCGCTGTGATCACACATAATATTGAGACACGCTTGAAGGGCTTCTCGACTGATCGGGACGCCCAATCCAGGGGCTTTGTCGCAAATGAAATCTAAGAGACTATCGGCCTCGGCACGAGTGGGTAAAGTAAAGTACTCTAGTTCTTCGGCGGGAGCGGAAATTCCAATTCCCTGAACATCCGTCAGGGATTCACCCGCTTGTGATGAGAAAACACCTGGAAGATCGAAGTCGGTATCTAGTACCAACGACGATACAGATGACCTTCGCGAAGGGGAGGACAGCGCAAAATTTCCAGGAGAGAGAGAACACTGCGCCTCCCATGTTGGGGACGAGGAAGCAGACAGCGGCGGTGTGAGATTGGCGCCCAGCTGCAACGGCATCAGCTGAGCACCTATAGTCATACACGCTGTGCCTGAGTCCGATGCCACCGGAATTCCGGATGGCGTCATTGCCGTTTGCATGGGTGTCGAATTCGCACACTCCACGATCTGTATCCGGGGAACGTCGAAAGGCGGCGTGTCCCCGTCATGCACGCGTGCCTCAACTGATTGACATCCAGATGGGGATGGCATGGAATCTGTGGGGCTTGGGTCAACCGGGAACGACGGCCACACTGGTAGATCCTCAGTGACGGATTCGCTTTGCATGCTTGAGAAAATAGAACTGAGCGTAGCGACCTGTGTCTCCAATTCATGTACCCGTTTCTCCAAGGCAGCTTGTGCCTCCCCTTTGCGGTGGCGAATACAAACCATGGAGAACCGTTGACAGGTAGCACAGGGTGTGTTCCCATCGCAGCGAATCTTTCGTCTCCGACAACGCTCACAAGCTGTTGTAACTGGTCTGGGACGTGACCACGTCCCTAGCGGATGGTTCTCTACCGTCGCATGCTGCTGAGTGGTTGGGGAGTTCGACTCGGGCGAAGTTGACGGCACATCCATTGCTTCAACACTCGTGACCGAAGGTAGTAACGCAGCTTCACCATGCGCGGGTCAGCACAGCAACAACAATTCAATCGGCCGGCCTACCATGACAGTCGACAAGTTAGTAACCAGCTGCTCGGAAGTGACTCATCAACACCTGCGCACATTGATTATACCGCAATGCTTCGTGGGTTTGGCTGGTAGATGCAACGTGAGATATCGAGGGGTACAGCATGCCCCGCTTAGACAAGAGCACTGCCACCACGACCATCCTCGGCGATCCACTCGCACCGCCGATCCAGCTTTGCTCTACACAGAAAGCTGCCAGTGAGCATTTTCCTTAACCAAAGACCATGGTCAGGGGTGGGATCTTCTTGTAGCAGGGAAGAAGTTGGCTTGGGTCGGGGTTGTTTCGGCGATCGGCCCAAAGTCTAAATGCCATCCTCGCATTGAGTCAGAGTTCAACATTGAACAAGCAGGAAATGACCTGGCTCTGGAGGAGAATTGCGCTGGAATACGACAGCATCGAGGATAAATTCCCATCGCATGACGTGTCGATTTCATCGACTGGCCTAGCTGTGACTGATTGAGATCCAGAACGAGTAATTTACAAGGACCAATTAAGACCCTGCGGATCCAGTGATTGGCTCACTCAAGACCGCAGCAGATCTACGGTCTTTGCTAAATAGAGCAGACGTTGGTGCTTTGACGAGGACTTTAATCCTGCTGTTGTCATTTGTAACACCCGTTGGGTGGCACAGTAGGGGAATACACCATTCAGTGTTCAGTCCGCATGCCATTTGTGCAGTTTAGCCACGGTTGGCCTCGTCAATGAGTCTCCTCTTGGAGCAAGGCCACCAACATACCGCAGTCAGAGGGAGTCAACGATTTCATCACACGGCATCCTCCTTCCCTCGCTCCACGTATAGTGTCTGTTCAAAGTTTGGCTCCAGTGATCTCAGCCACGGCACTAGAATCCCGAGCGGCATTTTGACCGGGCTTGGTATGACTTACTTCCCAACAACGAATCACTGGACCGCGGATATCGAGCAGCCCTTCACTCAGATGTTGCTTCGATTCCTTTCTTGTGGACCTGACCATTTGCCGGATGTGGTTGACCTTTGTTGAGTCTTGGAAAACATGCTGCAAAACCCAATCCCAAGTCTCCGGCCGAGTAAAATTACAGACCAGCCTCGCTCCGCCCCATTAAATTTTTTTTCTGGAAAGGCTGCGCCGCGAATCCCTCGGGGGGAATGTAAGGGCGATCGACTTATCATGGCTCGGGCAAGGCCCCGGCCCCGCGGGCGAGGCCAGGAGCTACCCGCAGAGGCTATCAGTCCAGGAAGTGGGTACCTTATCACCTCCAACATGTCGAATGTTCCACAAAGGTGTGCTTGAGGCTCAAGGCTCCACCAGTGCTAGAATGTATCCCCTGCTAGCTGTTGTGATGACATCAGTGCTCCGGCAATGCGTGCGGATCTTAATAAAGCCGCACTTTAGGACCTAGGTAACCACAGCAATACGCCACATGCGATGAGAGGCTGTGCCCGGGGTCCGTGGAACCCCACAGAGCTAGCACAGTCGAGGGTTCACGGTCATCGTAAGTTGATTATGATATGCTAGTGCCACGATCATCCTGTGACGGTAATTGGGAGATATGATCTGCATGTCCGGTGGGAGAGCGGGCTTGGCTCCGCGTTGGGCTTCTTGGGATCACTCGGTCACAGGTGCTGCGTTGACAAGGTTTCACGCCCACGGCTCTAGATCCTAGTCAAGGGGGCTGTGCAGGCCTCTTTTAAATCTACTCTCCCGATGTTTAGACACCAGGGATCTCAGGAAGATTTTCTCATGGAAGCCCAAAACGCATACCTAAGGTACCCAAATCATGCGGCCGGCGGATAGCACCGAAGATGCCTCGAAGGAGGTACCAGTGCCGGCGATAGCCGTCCATGGTCCCGTCAGTCAAGGGTCGTTTTCTCGATACTGTTTTGAGACTGACCTCTGTCTAGGAAATCAACACGACACTTGTCGAGTTCGACGGCCCGCGCGAGGCGCTATGGACGGACGGAGCGACTCAGCAACACCTTTCAAGCAGCTTGGCACCCAGCGCAGGCGAATACGCTGGTCGAGATCGGGCGATGAGCGGTAGCACTGTCGCGCCCAGCAGATCCTGGTTGGAAATTCCCTCCGAGAAGCAGCGAAGGTCAAGTTCGGCATCTAGTATCTTTTCGATCAAGGAAAAGGACAATGCCCTGGAACCCGATCCTGGCTGCGAGTCCGACTTCCTGGTGGAGAACAACCCCTTCTCGTTCTCGCCGGGCCAGCTCAACAAGCTTTTTAACCCTAAGTCATTGCCGGCGCTCATGGCCCTCGGTGGACTTTCGGGACTGGCGAAGGGGATCCACACTGATATTGTGACGGGCCTCTCCATGGCCACCACAAACCAACACAATTACAGTGACGGGCCGAAACACGCGGCTCCAGGTTCATCTCCAGACGCCGCCGAGCGAACCCGTGTCTTCAAACGCAACGTCCTTCCTGAAAAGAAACCCACGCCGCTCTGGAAGCTGGTGTGGATAGCTTATAACGATAAAATCCTGATCCTCTTGACAGCAGCAGCCATTATATCCCTGGGATTAGGGCTATATGAGACTTTTGGGACGCACAAGCCGGGCGAAGGCATGTCCGTCGACTGGGTCGAAGGATGTGCTATCTGCGTTGCCATCGTGATCGTTGTCATGGTGGGGTCGTTGAACGACTACCAGAAGGAGAGGGCCTTTATGAAGCTTAACGCAAAGAAGGAAGACCGGGAGGTGACGGTCACTCGGTCAGGCAAGGCTGTCCGCGTTTCTGTCCATGACGTCTTGGTTGGCGACATCTTACACCTTGAACCAGGCGATCTGGTCCCTGTGGACGCGATTTTCATTACGGGGCACAACGTGAAGTGTGACGAGTCGTCTGCGACGGGAGAATCCGATCAGTTGAAAAAGACAGGAGCAGAGCAGGTAGTGCGCCTGATAGAGCAGGGTCACACCCGACTCCGAGATCTAGATCCCTTTATCATCTCCGGCAGCAAGGTTCTCGAAGGCGTTGGCACCTGTTTGGTCATGTCAGTTGGCATCAATGCCAGCTACGGCAAAATCCTCATGGCGATGCGCCAAGATATGGAGGCCACCCCGCTACAGAAGAAACTGGATGGCCTGGCCACCGCTATTGCAAAACTTGGGAGCGCCGCCGCCATCCTTCTATTTTTTGTCCTGCTGTTCCGTTTTCTAGGGTCCCTCGCTGGCAATCATCTGAGCAGCACCGAAAGGGCGTCTGAGTTCACTGATATTCTCATCGTGGCTATCACGGTGATTGTCGTGGCCGTTCCCGAGGGCTTGCCTCTGGCCGTCACTTTGGCTCTCGCTTATGCGACCACCCGCATGGTGAGACTCAACAACCTAGTCCGCGTTCTCAAGTCCTGTGAGACAATGGGAAACGCGACCACCGTATGCTCCGACAAAACTGGAACCTTGACGCAAAACCGCATGACTGTCGTCACGGGGACGCTCGGTGGGGACGGCTTCGACGACAAGAATCAGACCGGTGATGAACACCGGTCGAATGCATTCGCGCGCGACATAGCTCCACAGTATAAGCGTCTGCTGATCGAATCGGTCGCCATAAACTCGACTGCATTTGAGGGTGAGGAAAACGGCGCACTGGGGTTCATCGGTTCCAAAACCGAGACCGCCCTGCTAGGATTCGCACGCGATGTCCTCGGAATGGGTTCTCTAGCGGAAGAGCGGGCGAACGCAAAGCTCGTCCAGTTTATGCCATTTGACTCTAGTCGTAAATGCATGGGTGCCGTCGTCCAACTCCCTGACGGACGATATCGTTTCTTTGTCAAAGGTGCTGCGGAGATCCTACTGGGCTATAGCGCCCGGATCTGTACGCCTTCTGGGGACATTGATGACCTGGAAGATAGCCAACGGAGCCGTCTGGACGACCTCATCTTGGACTATGCGCAACAGTCTCTTCGCACCATATCACTGGTTTGTCGGGACTTTTCGACATGGCCACCAGTCGAAGCTGTCAGTGGAGATGATCCTAACGGGGCAAACCTAGCGTTACTTCTCGAAGACATGGTGTTAATCGGGATCGTGGGGATCCAGGATCCCATTCGGCCGGGCGTTCCTGAGGCCGTGGCCAAGTGCCAGCATGCAGGTGTGACCGTTCGGATGGTCACCGGCGACAACATGGTAACCGCCAAAGCGATTGCCACCGACTGTGGCATCTACTCCGGGGGCATAATCATGGAGGGGCCGCAGTTCCGCACGCTATCCAATGAGCAATTCAAGGAAGTACTCCCCCATCTGCAGGTGCTGGCGCGCTCCTCGCCCGAGGACAAGAAGATCCTTGTGACCCGACTTCGCGACATGGAAGAGATCGTAGCCGTCACCGGCGACGGGACCAATGATGGACCAGCGCTCAAGGCGGCCAATATTGGGTTTTCGATGGGCATCTCCGGAACGGAAGTCGCCAAGGAAGCGTCGGCGATCGTGCTCATGGACGACAATTTCGCCTCGATTCTGACTGCATTGATGTGGGGACGGGCTGTCAACGATGCCGTCCGGAAATTTCTACAGTTCCAAGTCACGGTCAATATCACCGCCGTCTTGTTGACGTTCATATCGTCTGTGTCCGACCCAGAGATGCGGTCAGTGCTGACAGCCGTTCAGCTCCTGTGGATCAACTTAATCATGTAAGTCTGATTCTCCCAGTTCCAACACTATCTAACCCCAGTTCCAGGGATTCTCTCGCCGCCCTGGCTCTAGCGACAGATCCTCCCACGGAGGAGATCCTCGACCGACCGCCCGCCCAAAAAGGCGCCCCTCTCATCTCCACCACAATGTGGAAAATGATCATCGGCCAATCCATCTTCCAGCTGACGGTGACCCTAACCCTGCACTTTGGCCACAAACTGCTACCCTACCCCGATGCCGAACGTCGATCCATCATTTTCAACACATTTGTGTGGATGCAGATCTTCAACGAGTTCAACAACCGGCGTCTGGACAACCAGTTCAATATCTTCACGGGCCTCCACCGCAACTGGTTTTTCATCGGCATCACCTGTCTCATGGTGGGCGGTCAAATCATTATCGCTTATTTTGGCGGGGCCGCGTTCAGCATCGTGCCGATCTACGGGGAACAGTGGGCGATCTGCGTCCTGGTTGCTGCCATCAGTTGGCCCTGGGCTATCGCCGTTCGCTGTTTTCCGGATGCTTGGTTTGCGGCGGTGGTACGGACGGTCGGGAAACCGGTCATCCCTGTTTATCGGTGGCTGGGTAAGGGGATGAATGCCGTAGTTAAAGTCGCGAGGCGAGTATTGAGGCGGTAGACTCGTTGAGTGTCCACAGCCTCATCCTATACGGAGTGGACCGCGATGCACTCAGAATAATACGTAACGATAATGTCAAGAGTGGACGGGGACGATCATCTTCACATACCATATGCACTTGTATCTATCTTTACCACGTTGATAGGACGAGGCTGAACATGGTCGCAGTACTAATGCTGCTAGTCCGACTAGGATGGAAGTGGAGGAGAGGTGAGAGGAGAAAGACTGGAGACTAAGAGGAAGAAAGTAAATTCCCCGCCGATCGCCTGTCATACGAACTCTAGTGTCACATTGGCGGGACGTGAGGGGCATGTATGTATATATACACGTTGTTCCCTCACCCCACCTCCCTGGAATTATTTTTTCAATTCGGTTTTCCAAGAAAATTGACGATTTCCATTATTCAATATGCCTACTGTCCGTGTGGGTGCCATTCAGGCCGAGCCAGTGTACCTGGATCGGGAGGGGGCCGTCAACAAAGCCATCAAGCTCATTAAAGAGGCTTCGGAGAAAGGCGTGCAGGTCCTAGCATTTCCGGAGGTCTGGATCGGAGGGTATCCTTGGTAATCCCTCTCGGGAGTCGCTGTACGCGAATTCAATGGATGAAGTGGGTTCTAACGAACGTACAGGCCCATCTGGGCGCAATCTCCATTCGAGTCGGCCGGGTTCGTCTCCAAGTACATCGCCCAGTCGTTGCCCAGAGATTCGCCCGAGATGAGACGGATTCAGGATGCTTGCAAGGAGCATTCCGTGTTTGTCGTGTTGGGGTACAGCGAGAAGGACAATGGCAGTATCTACATGGCTCAGGTCCGCTTCACCCCTTTCCCCTCCTAACCAAGATTTCCCGATCACATCCACTCACCCTCGAATTATCCAGGCCTTCATCAACGAATCCGGCGAAATCATCCACAACCGTCGCAAGATCAAGCCCACCCATGTCGAGCGTAGCCTCTGGGGCGAAGGCCAGGCCGACTCCCTCAAATGTGTCGTCGACTCCCAGCACGGCCGGATTGGCGCCCTGAACTGCTGGGAAAACCTGCAGCCCCTCCTCCGGTTCTACGAGTACAGCCAAAACGTGCAAATTCACGTGGCGGCGTGGCCTTCGTTCGCGGCACATCCGCGGGAGGTCAACTTCCCGCTACCATACAGCAACTCGGGCGAGGCGAGTCAGCGCCTGAGTCAGATGGTCGCGATGGAGGGCCAGACGTTTGTCCTCTGCGCGACGGGGGTTCTGAAAGCCGAGACCCACGAGCTGATGGGGGTGAAAGACCGAGGGGTTTTCCACGGGGTATGTTGTCACCCTGCAAGCGGAGGCGGACCCGACGAGGAGAGCACTGACAGGGACTACAGGACGGCGGTGGTTTTGCGATGATCTTTGGGCCGGATGGAAGCCCGCTGGTGGAGCCCATGCCCGCAGGAGAGGAGGGAATCCTGACGGCGGATGTCGATCTGGCCGCAATCGACGGCGCCAAAAACATGTGTGACCCGGTGGGCCACTACTCCCGGCCGGATCTGCTGAATTTGCATGTGAACACCGTGCCGGCTAAAGTGGTGCACCGTGAGTAGGCGTCAAGTGGAGAACTATCGTTATAGGAAATGAATGTCGATGGGGAAGTTGTCTCATTATAAGAATCGGGTCTTCTTGGCGATCACCAGAAAAACTGCTATCAACCCTAAAATCAAGCCTAGAATTCCTAGCCACCAATTTAACCCGTTCGCATTTTCCCCCGGAACGGTAACGTTCATGCCCATCAAACCCCTGTCGAGTCAGTAAATAGATGCCAAGAATTCTCTCGCCCGGGAGCAAGACCTACGTGATGAACTGCATAGGGACGATGCACGAGGCGACCACCGTCAGCCGACTCAGCGCCGCCACGATCGAGTTGCGCATGCGCGTCGAGTCGAACGACAGCTGGCTCAGGTACTTGGACTGCGACCGCGAGAGCATCTGCTCGGCGTTGGCCAGGTTGGCCATCATGGTGAGGACGTGGTCCTGAATATCGCTCAGATAGAGTGCCACCTGCGTCGACGCGGCCCCAAAGGAGTCACAGTGGCGGGCAAACGACCGGATGACGTCCGTCTTGTCGTACAGTAGTTGACGGATGCGGGTGACCTCCTTGCGACAATGGTAGATATTCTGCAGAGCCATCCCGATGTCGTCCGGACGCGTGATCGACACGCTGTCCTCCATGGTTTCCACGCCGGACTCGATGCGATCAATAAAGGGGGCAAAGCCGTCGACGATATCGTCGCTATGATTGTCAGTATGTGCACCCACTACAACCGAAACATCGTCACTTTACGTACATAAGAGCGTAGCAAATCCAGTCACTCGTCAGGGCTAGATGGCTGCGGTGCTCCTTGATGCGAGAGCGGACATGCGCCGGGTGGGGGCAATCGCCAAAGGTGAAGGTGATGACACCCCCCCGGAAGACCAACGCATACACGTTGAGCGACGAGGTGCGGACGCCCGACGCCGTGTCCATCTGCACCTGCGGCGGCCGCAGCGAGAGGAAGTAATAGGGCCCGAACAGCTCGATCTTCTCGCGGGACTCGCGGATCTTGATATCCTCCGTCGTCAGCGGGTGGATGTCGAATGCGCGCGACAGGCTCTCGATATCCCCCTCCGCGGGAGACGCCACATCGAGCCACCACAGACCACTGTGTTCCCCCGTATCCAACAATGTCTCGAACGGGGTATAGGTCGAAGCGAGCTCGTGCGTACTGCCGGCATAGAGGGGCGCTTCTAGGCGGGTCGTGAAGAAACTATACCGGGTGGGCTGCTCCACCACGGTCGCTTTCTCCTCGACACCCGCCCGGCGTTCAGGGTGGTTGTCACGAAACGGTGCCAACAACCCCATGGCGAGCGGATTCAGACAGAACCGTGCGATCTCACATGTGTCACCAATTGTAGTCGGACGGGCGGACCGGTCAGCATCCTGGTCAGGATCAAGAATGTCACGGAATGCCAGACAAAACGTGGAGAGCAAAGGGGAGAAAAGAACAAAAGACGGCGGAGTTGGTTGGCGTCACGAGGCTCACCGCCTTGGGATAAAATGCTGAGTCATTATGTACATCCGCCACGTGACGCCCCACCGCCGCCTTAGTAGATCTTGACGCCGCAGGATGAAGTCTCTCTCTCTCGCGCGCGCTCTCTCTCCCTCTCTCTCTCCCCACTTCGGTGACTCTTTCTTTATACCCTCGAGATTCACTAGGTCTCTTCCTCTGCATCCTCCATATCCATATCAGTTGAGTGGATTCACGGGGTACTATCGTGACTACTGATAGCCGAGGCCAATTACGGAGACCAAGAACATCGCGACAAATGGAATTCAAGCAGAAGGACCCCAACGGATCCTTCAGCTAGAATCAATTCAGCAGTCTCGGCCTCCAATCTCCAATTTCTTTCCCCGCGCGATCTGCTCTAGGTTTATTGCTCGTAAATGGGGGTCCCCACACGCCACGTTCCCCCCTCATCGAGTGACCCTCGGAGGTAGCCGACATCGCACCGGAGGAAGTCCTTTATCTGCAGTCGACTGGCGCATTCTCCTCCTGCTTGATTTTCTAAATCGCTTCGTCCACTTTATTGGGGGAACGCACGCACACAGCCTTCAGGGACGAGGACCTGGTCACGATGTGGAAATCGGCGGAATCTAAGCTCCTCTTCAAGATTGACTTCTTCATCCTGACCTTTTGCTGTGTCACCTACTTCTTCAACTACCTTGACCGCTCCAACCTCAACAATGCCTACGTCTCCGGGATGAAAGAGGAGCTCTCCTTCCAGGGGAACCAGCTGACCGTTATCAACGCCATCTTCACCGTGGGATATGTTGTGGGCCAGGTGCCCTGTAACCTGGCGCTGACGTACTGGCGCCCGCGCATATTCTTTCCAGCCATGGTCCTAATGTGGGGTGGTCTGACCATGGTCACGGCGGCGGTGTCATCGCCCACCGGAATCATGGCGGTCCGCTTCTTCTTGGGAATCGCCGAGGCCAGTACCTTCTCCGGCACGCACTACATCCTAGGGTCGTGGTACACCGAGCGCGAGCTGGGGAAGCGCAGTGGCCTCTTCACGGCGTCGGGGCTGGCAGGGACCATGTTCGGTGGCTTTATCCAGACGGGGATCCATTCCTCCCTCGACGGGGTGCGGGGACTCTCCGGGTGGCGGTGGTTATTCATCGTATGAACCCCCCGTCTTCCTACTAATCGTCACGGTAACTGATGTACGGTAGATCGACGGACTGATGACTCTCCCCATTGCCCTCTACGGGCTTTTCCTCTTCCCAGACACTCCGACCACCACCACAGCGCCATATCTGACCGCCGCGGAGAAGGAGTTGGCCGTGTCCCGTCTCCCGGATACCAACGCGGCGCGCAGCCCGCTCAACAAGGCCTTCCTCAAGCGCCTGTTCACCTCCTGGTACTGGTGGGGGTTCGTCATGCTGTGGGTGATCGCCGGGGAGACCGAGTCGTTCTCCAGCAATGCGCTGCTGGCGCTGTACATGAAGGCGCATCCGACCAACCACTACAGCGTGGCCCAGCTGAACAACTACCCGACCGGAGTGCCAGCCGTGGGCATCGTGTCGACGCTGTTCTGGGCGACGCTGACCGACCTGCTCGGTGGGAAGCGCTACCTCGTGGGCTACTTCATCGGGATCACGGGGGTGGTCACCTCGGCGATGATCCTCGCCTGCTTCGACTCCACGACGACGGTCTTCGCGGCGTACTACTGGGCGGGCGCGGTCTACGCCTGCCAGGCGACATTCTTCGCCTGGTGCAACGATGCCATGCGCCAGCAAGATGCACGTCAGCGCTCTGTGGTGATCGCCAGCATGAACCTAGGCAACAACGCCATCAACGCGTGGTGGAGCGTGGTCTTTTACTCGGCGGATCTGGCGCCGCGCTTCACCCGCGGCATGTGGGCGATGATCGGTTGTTCGATCGCCCTGGCCCTATGGACGACTGCTATTCTCGTGCAGACGGTCCGCGAGGAAAAGCGGGGGGAATCACCGACCTCGCTCGACGATGCAACCCCGGTCGATCATACCATCGAGAAGAACGGTTACTAGCTCATCGTCTTCCTACCTATGCATGAGCATATACCTGCCTACGCACGATTTATGCAGCTGACTTGTTGACTTTTGTATTATTCATGGGCGGCTCTATCCGCTTGCCCTATTTGTACACGATGTTCATATATTAATGCCACATATATATGCCACTCGCCCGAACGGTCGCGAGTGGCCCCTTAACAACCCCTGCACTCCTTCACCCACAACGGCGCAGCCTTATACGTCGAGCTGTGCCGTCCATACCAGTACACCTCCTTGACAGGATTATCACCGTATCCCTCAACAGCAAACCAGTCATTGCCTCCCTGGGTCAAAAATCCCCTCTCATTAACGCCAAAGGCGGTCATGTTGCCGCCCTCGGGCAGCGCGCCCGAGTGAGGACGGGTCAAGCCGAGGGGCGAGACTTCCTTCTCGACGATGAAGAGGTTTTGGAAGGCGGTGGGAACGGCGTTCTGTTGGGTGTATGAAAGGGCGCCGTTCGGGCCGGAATGCACTGCGTTTGTCAGTTGTCTTGTTGAACAAATAGAATGGACGGTGGATGGACTTACGGATGAGGATTTCCTTGTCGGTGCCGTTGCCGCCGAAGTAGATGTTTTCTGAGGGGATTGTTAGATGGGTTCATGATTGGGATAGGGCTGTAAACATACCTCCGTTGGTCAAAAGGGTGTATCCGCCCTCCGCGACGAGGGTAAAGGCCTTGGGCAGAGCGGGAGCAGCCGAGACAGCGGGCACGGCGGCGGCGCTGACGGCGCTGAGCAGGGTAGCGATGGAGGCAAGGGAGAGCTTCATGGTGTTTGTGATGGAATGAGAGGATTGAATGGACGAATGGATTGAAAAATTCCAGGTCAACATCACTAGATATATAGTCCCGGTGGCAAAATTGCTATATTTTCTTCAATCACGCTTTTGTCGAGCGGATGAGAAGCGCGAGACCCACATGGGGAGCTAAAACTCGATTTAGGTGAGACATGTTGTGGCTGCTGCAGTCTCCCTAGCCATTCCACACGGGAAATTCTTCGATCCGGGAATCTCTACTCCGTCGAGCCAGGGTTCTCTCATCGGCTCGGGGTCTTTCCGTATGTTGATCACCAAAGAAAATCCAAAGTGGAAACGCGCACCACATGGAGATGTTGAGGATTTTCCTCATTCCGCGCATATCAACCGTGGAAACGCCCGGATCGAATACCCGAGACATGCAGACAGAGATGGAGATGATTGGCTCTGCGTTTCTATTTTTGTGGCTTTATCCACCGTCGATCAGCCGGAGTTTTTCCAGGCTGTTTCTTTTGTCGGTAGTTCCACTGGGTAGGTCGGCATCGAGGGGAATCGGCTTTGAATTCTCTGAGCAAACCCGGTGGTCAGTCGACAGGCAACTACCAATCTATCCATAGAAGCAGACCGTTGGTGATGTCTGTCTCGCCTACACCACACTCTCGCTCGAAGGGATGTTTGATCATGTCGTGGCTGATATACATAGACACTTCTGCAAAGGCATCCACCATTGAGGTTGAGGCGGGTTTGTTCACACAGGGTATCGCTGTCCTTGCGTCATGCCGAGGTCGTGATCTACATCAAAGGCTGCCTAGTTCTTCTCCCGCAGCATGCTCCGGTCGGATGATGTTAGTTTATTAATTGAATATGGCAATGTTCCATTCTGCGACCATTGCAAGGTGTTGTTGAGTACTGTTCCCGTGGTTTAGGGCTGGTTCCTGGCACGTGTCATGCGGTATATATAACCGACCAAATATGGCATCATCCCTCTTGGTTATGGTGGTGATGGGAATAATCATGTGGTGGAGACGGCTGTCTGGAGACATCAATATATATAACGTAGTATATATCTGTTCAATGGCAGTATTTGCTCAATCTTTCAAGTATGACCTCTGTCCGGTATCAACAACAAATCCGTCCATCATTCCCCCTGGTCACCTGATCATTCGTGTATGCTTCTGTTTTTCTCCCGATCGTCGCTCTCTTCTCCGTCTATTCGTCCCTTTCAATCCCATTAAGTTCATCAATTTGTTTACGATCTCGGTCATTCCCCGATCTTCGGACCGTCTCCGAACATCCTCTATTGCTAATCCTTCCTTATCAAGGAATGAAAACCTTATCAAGGAATGAAAAGAATCTTGAGTGATGGACTGTCCCAGGATCGCGATCCTGTAGGACGTGCTACGAGAGGAAGCTTATCCCCATTACCATCAGTAGGGGTACCACCACCCGTCCAACGAGCCAATTGGGGTCTTTTCCCCGCAGTATCATGACAAGAAAGGAGAGGATTCTCTCGAGATCATCGGCATCTCAAGCTGTCCACGGCGGTCCAAACCGCCTGAATAACCGACACGGACCCATTCCGACAATTACCCCAACTTCCCCATACCACTTGATTTACCAAGGAACCTGGGGAAATCCAGTGGGCTGATTCCCCTCAGGCGATCACGGACGCGGGCGAAGCGAGTCGGTCGGTGGCGGAAACGTTACTCCCAGCCACCGATTCTATCGCGGTGGTTAATCTGGTTTCTGGTTGGATGATAGGTCACACCGTGTAGGGTCATGGGACGCCTAGGGATACACAAACGATATCATGACAGGTATAAGCTTTGAATAAGACGGATGGATCCTTAACCCCACACCCCTCTTGCATAACCCGCAAATCCGACGTACTTCGCACCCTGGTTCTTTGATTCCTGGCTCTTGGCTCCTTTGCGGGGAGAGTTCCTATCCATAGACAGGGAGAAAGAAAGTATGAGCATGCAGGGGGTCAACCCCCGCATAGGTCAGATGCTGCGTGTCACGGACAACTTCCGGCACACTGATTGATATAAGCCATCCAGCCCCTCGCTTCCTGGGGTTGCGATGCTTTCTCCCTCATCTTCCCTAAATTCTCGTGGTCTACATCATGGCAGGAATCAAGAAGCCGGTCAATGTGTTTCGTCTGCGGGATCTCCCCGATCCCCGCGAGGTGTTCAATTGGCGATTATGGTTTGCTGTGCTCTCCTTTGGTCTCATGGGTGCCGCCCGGGGGGTCGACGAGGGCTTGATCTCGGGGGCGTTCAACTCCAAAGACTTCCAGCGAACCATCCACTTTGACCGATACACCGAGGTCGAGCGTACCAATATCAAGGGAAATGTGTCTGCCATGGTCCAGATCGGGTCCGTTGGGGGTGCCCTCTTGTACGTTGAGTCTTCTTGTCCGGTGCTGGCGATCCTTTACTAATTTGATGACCATGGGCAGTGCCTTCGTGGTGTGCGATCGCATCGGACGACTCTGGGCTACGCGACAGCTCTGCGTGCTGTGGATCGTCGGCATCACGATCTTCATGGGCTCGAACGGGAACCTGGGAGCTGTCTACGCCGGCCGCTTCGTGGCGGGACTGGGAGTGGGTCAGACGGTTGTGGTGGCCCCGGTCTATCTGGCTGAGATCGTGGGTTTCTTTATCTCCTACTACCTTCGCATACTACCCCTCGACTGACAATGTATTGCGATGGACAGGCCCCCGCATCCGTTCGTGGCCTCTGCACCTGCGTTTTTACGGGGTTCGTCTATCTCGGAATCGTGCTTGCCTACTTCACCAACTATGGCTGCGAGCTGCACATGGGTGACAACACCCACAAACGCTGGGAAGTTCCCACCAGCCTGCACATAATCTTTGCCGGCCTCATATTCATCCTGTCCTTCTTACAATACGAGTCGCCGCGCTTCCTCATCAAGAAAGGTCGGTTCGACCAGGCCTTGACCAACCTATCACGCGTGCGCCAGCTTCCCCCCGACCACGAATACGTCGTCCAGGAGATCACCGCCATCCACACCTCCCACGAGGCGGAGAAGGAAGCCACCATGGGCGCGGGCCCGCTCGGGGTGCTCAAGGAGGCATTCCTGGTCCGCAGCAACCTGTACCGCTTGTACATGGCCTCCATGGCCCAGATCCTGTCGCAGTGGTCGGGGGCCGGCTCAATCACACTCTACGCGCCCGATTTATTCGCCCTGCTGGGGATCACGGGCAACAACGAGTCCCTGCTCGTCACCGCCGTGTTCGGCATCGTCAAGCTCGTGGCCGCCATCATCTGTGCCCTGTTCCTGGTCGACGTCATCGGTCGCAAGCGCGCCCTGCTGCTAGGCATCACCCTGCAGGCCATCGCAATGCTGTACGTCGCGGTCTTTCTGACGGATGTGCCGCGCATGGGCATCGATGACACCTTCGAGCTGCCCGAGTCGAAGCGGGGCGTCAGCCGCGGTGCCATCGCCATGATCTACGTCTCGGGGGCGGGGTGGGCACTGGGCTGGAACTCCATGCAGTATCTGCTCACGGCGGAACTGTTCCCGCTGCGTATCCGCGCCCTGGCCACGTCGATCGCTATGACCCTCCACTTCGTCAACCAGTATGGCAACTCGCGGGCGGTGCCCAACATGCTGATGGCCCCGGAGGCCGGGGGGATCTCGCCCAAGGGAACCTTCTGGTTCTTCGCCGTTGTCACCTTTATCGGCGGTGTGTGGGTATGGTTCTCGGTGCCCGAGACGGCTGGCCGCAGTCTCGAGACGATCGACCGCCTGTTCGAGCTGCCATGGTACCAGATCGGGCGGTACGGCAACCGCGATGCCGCGCAGCGCGATCAGAACGTGTCGGAGAAGATGGAGATGGTTGAGAAGGGGAGCACGACGCAGGTGGATCGCTCCACCAAGGTGTAGCTGGTTAAACAGCACGCTGAGAACTATTCATGACTACAAGTATCAACGACGTGACGATTTGACTTTTTATTGCAATTTTCTGGCTTTACTGCACCCCTCTATCCAACGGAATCAGCACAATCCGCGCCCGCCGCGACGCCTTACCCTGCCACTTTTCCGGATTTGTCGCCGACACGTTCTCCGCTTCGCCTCGCTTGCCCTTTAGACTAACATCCATGTTTTCTAAATCCTCTAGTGCCTCCCATGGCAGGTCCACACGCACCAAGATTCCCCGTGGCTCAAAGAAGGTGCCGTTCCATTGCTGGATCTTGTCGGCCAGCGCCATCACCTCGCGGTCTACTCTTCCATCCTCCTCTTCGCCCGGCACTGGTGACGACGCCGATCCTGTCGTCGCGTGGATCAGATTCTGCTCCTCCCGGTTACGCTGGGCCCGTCGCGTCACCCACCAGGCGGGGATGGCCCCCAGGGCGCCGACCATCAGGCCGCCCACGGCCAGGACGCCTAGCCCCTGGCCGACGACGGTCTTCCACTGGCGACGGGTCATGCGGGCGGCGTCGGTGATCTCGCGAGTGAACTGCTCCCAGTGGTGGGGCGTCACATTGTATGCGGTCAGGAGGGTGGGATAGGGAAAGCCCGAGGAGGGACGGTCATCTCGCGAGGGGATCTGGAGCCCGCGCTGGAGGAGATGTTCCGGGTAGAAGGAGACTTTTTCGTCGAGAAGGGGGAGAGCGGGGGAGGAGGAAGGCGAGTACGGAGGTGGATTCATTGTTGACTCTCTTTTTGATGGGATTATATGTGGGCTTTTGTCTTGTGGAAGTTTCGTTCTGACTGAGAAGATATTTCTTAAGAGTATATTCTTCACCTACTACTTCCCAACGTCTCTTCCCTCTCTATAAATACCCCCCCGTACCTTTGCCGTGCAGCTCAGGCATCCCCGTTTCTTCGTACTGTCAAAACCCCCATTCGTAGAATTAACCACTCAGTGGTATCGGTGAGTCAGGACACGCTGTGTCGAGTCGGCTGCGTCCCTGACTCCTCCGTGAGTCATACCATCGATCGATTAATATAAATGTCGTCGTCATCTCCCAATTGACCTCTCTCCGGTTCCTTTGTCCGTCTCTCAGCCGCATCGAGAGCGTATCGAATGTGGGAGCCTGAAAGCGCGGGCTCCCAATTGGGCAGGATCATCCTGGCGCTCTGATTGGAGGGCGAGACCTTCCCGATTGGGACGACGGGTGATCTGCATGACATAAGCGGGTCCTGAGATCTCAGGTATCTCTTATCGGTCACGTTATCTGTTGTTTATCATTTCCCCCTCATCTCACTCCGCTTATCTCCACTCTCTCCTTGCTCTCCCTTGTCTTCGCCTCTTCTCCCCTTTTCAACTTCCTGTCTACTGGAATTTGCATCATCATATCCCCATAATGACCACCCGCTATCGCGTCGAATGTGAGTATCTCCCCTACAATATCCCCATGACCCAAAACTAAACGAGATAGACGCCCTCAAGGTCAGATGGTCAAACAACACATACTATATCCCCAGCTAAACCTCCCAGTCCCACCGACGAGATCAACTCATCGAATGGATCAAAGGCCTCCTGGCCGTCCCCTTCGTCCTCCACTCGCAACCTACAGCTCTAGACCTCACCCAGGGCGGCGAGTCCCTGACCGTCGTCGCCGCCGACACTCACTACCGCTATGCGGAGATCTTCCGCGACGTCGAACAGCTCATCCACGACCATGCCCACCACACCCGCATCGGCGCCCCCGGTAAATCCAAGCTCAAGCTGCTGGTCCCCACCATCGGCTCCTTCTTCACCCCCCTGTACCTCGAAGACGCCTTCACGCGGCAGGACCGCGCCCGCGTCATCAGCCGCCGTCGCTTCGTCGCCCCCTCCTTCAACGACGTCCGTCTCATTCTCAACACCGCCCAGCTGCTGGGCCTCGTACGCGCTCACAATGGTCCGGACCTCGTCACCTTCGACGGTGACGTCACCCTCTACGACGACGGCGCCAACCTGACCCCGGACAACCCTACCCTCCCGCGCATCCTGCGCCTGCTGCGCCAGGGCCGCCGCGTCGGCATCGTCACCGCCGCCGGCTACACCGAGGCTGCCAAGTACTACGAGCGTTTGCACGGGCTTCTCGACGCCGTGCGCGACCTCCCCGCCGATCAACAGGCCGGCCTCGTCGTCATGGGCGGCGAGAGCAACTTCCTCTTCCGGTTTGACGCCGCCTCGCCGCACCGGCTCACGTACGTGCCCCGCGACGAGTGGCTACTCCCGGAGATGACCGCTTGGCATGAGGATGACATCACGGGCCTGCTGGATCTGGCCGAAGCGTCCTTGCGGGCTTGTGCCGCGAACTTGCAGCTACCCGTCGCCGTGCTGCGCAAGGACCGCGCTGTAGGGGTGTATCCCGTTGATCGGGCCAAGATCGCCCGCGAACAACTCGAGGAGACCGTGCTGGTCGTGCAGAACACGCTGGAGCGGACGGCTGTTGGGTCCCGTCTTCCTTTCTGTGCATTCAACGGTATGCCGTATCCTCCTTTGCCTTCATTCAAATCCCGCCCCATCCTAAATCATCCTTCGTCCCCCGTATACTCGAGGCTAACTACGATAGGCGGCAACGACGTCTTCGTCGACATCGGCGACAAGTCCTGGGGTGTGCGCGCCTGTCAGCGCTACTTTGGGGGGATTGGGGCGTCTCATACACTGCATGTGGGCGATCAATTTCTGTCGGCTGGTGCCAATGATTTCAAGGTTAGTCTTCATCTCTAAACGTTGCCAGCAACACCATATCTGCATATAAAGAGAGAAAAAGGTCTAACAAATGCGATAGGCCCGTCTCGCCTCTACAACCTCATGGATCGCCAGTCCAGCCGAGACGGTCTCCCTCCTGGACGAGCTAGACGCTATCGAGCAGAATGTTGCTGCCGGAGGGAACGGGGTGTGATGGATATACATGAATGGGACAGGTGCGCATAAGATAGCATAGGAAAATTAAAGAACATTGCATTGCATTCAGGGTCGTCTGCATCTACAGAATATCAAACTAGAATTACTGTACTGTACTGGATTGAATGGTAAAACCACGCCGCCTTCGTCATACATCATCACTTCATTGCGTTGGGAATGGTGGCTATGGTGAGCCTGGTCGGGATGCGGGTGGCATGATATCTGTTCTCATTAGTCTCCACAATCTAAGGTGGGCGAAGGAGGGAAGATATTCAGGGGAAAAAAGGGAAAAAAAAAGGAAAAAACATACTTTCGTAGCAAGCCCATGACATCTTTCCCTCGCCCAGCGTCTTTCCCTCACCTAGCGTGGCCCGTCCGGAAAGAATGTTGACCGTGTCCTGAAGTTCCAGCCAGAACTCGGACTTGGGACGACGGCGCTTCCAGTCCGTCTCGGTAGCCTCGAGTCCCGTGGCGCCTCCCATCGGTGAGAACAGCACCTGCGAGCCCTTGATCCCGATAACCGAGGCGGACAGCTCGTCGGCCGCGATTTCGGCCCCCGACTTCCCCGCGTAGTCCTCCAGGTGCATCATGCAGCGGATGGCCATGCGCAGGGCGCGGATGCGGTCCATGGGCGACGGCTTGCCGCCCTGCTGGAAGTGGCCCGGCACGGCGGAACGCGACTCGAAGCGGCCGTCGGCCTCCTCCTTGATCATGTCGGCGATGACCTGGGTGGTGTAGGTGGACGAGGCGGTCTCATTGCGCAGGATGATCTTGCCGGCGCGGTTGGCGCCCTTGTCGCGGGCAAAGTTCTCGCGCAGGAAGTCAATGTCGCGGGAGAGCATCTTGATGTTGATCCCCTCCTCGGGGATGTAGACGGCGACGGCGCCGACGGCGAGGCCCGCGGTGGTGGCGATGTAACCGGACTTGCCGCCCTGGGTCTCGATGACGAAGACGCGACGGCGCGAGGACGAGGCCGACTGGCGGATGGCGTCGCAGAATTCGACCAAGGTGTTGAGACAGGTGTCGCTGCCGAGGGAGTACTCGGTGCCGGGGACGTTGTTGGAGATGGTGGCGGGCAGGACGGTCATGGGGATGCGGAAGGCCGGGAAGCGGTCGCGGGCCTGGCGCAGCTGGCTGACGGCGGTGAAGGCCTCGAAGCCGCCGACGACGAAGATGGCGTCGAAGCGGTACTGCTCGAAGCAGCGGGCGGTGGTCTCAAAGTCCTCGGCGGGCAGGCTGCGGTTGGTGCCGATGTCGGAGCCGCCCTCGTTGACCCAGGGGTCGGCCTCGACGAAGTGGACCTCGCGGACGGAGCTGACGGGGGTGTCGTTGTGGTGGCGGCAGAGGCCGGGGAAGCCGTTGTGGACGGCCAGGGGGGTGTGACCGCGGACGAGGCAGTAGGAGACGGCGGCGCGCGTGGCGGGGTTCATGCCGCCGGCGGGGGCGCCGACGTGGATGATGGCGATGCGCATGCGCTGGTTGGTCAGCACCCTCTCTCGGCTTGTGTGTGGAGTGGGGGGTGGGAAATGTTTGGGGGGGGAAGTACCTTGTTCTCCGGGAGGAGCATGCGGGGATGATCGGGCGTGGCGGTGTTGCGATAGGCCCAGTAGTATTCCTTGAATTCGGAATCGCGGAGGGCCATGGCGCCGTCAAAGTCCTTGCGCTCGATGAAGGCGGCGACACGCTTGGTCATGTCGACGGCCTCGATCAACGGGGTGCGCATGATCTTGTTCTCGCGGATGGTGATGACGGGGGAGGGCATGCCGGGCTTGATGTCGAGGACGGCACGGACGGCCTCGACGCCCTGCAGGGTGGAAAGCCAGCGGTCGTAGGCGCAGGCGGGGCCGCCGCGCTGGGTGTGGCCGAGGACGGTGACGCGGGTGTCGAGGCCGAGGCGCTGGGTCAGAATATCCTTGATGGTGTTGCTGGAGATCTTGTTCAGCTGGCGGTCATGGGCGCCTTCGGCCATGATGACGATAGTGCGACGCTTGCCGCGTTCGGTGCGGTTCTACCTGGTCAGCTTTCTTTTCTAGCGGTCTGTGAAAATGTGGGGGAATACCTTGGTGATGATGGAACACATGTCATCCTCCCAGCCTTCGCGAGGGGGCGTCTCCGGGACGAAGAGCCAGTCGGCGCCGGTACTGATGGCGGCCATGAGGGCGAGCCAGCCGCAATGGCGGCCCATGACCTCGATGACGAAGCCCCGCTGGTGGGAGAAGGCGGTATCGAAGACGTCGTCGACGGCGTCGCAGATGCGGGTGAGGGAGGAGTAGCAGCCGATGGTGGCGTCGGTGCCGGACATGTCATTGTCGATGGAGCCGACGAGGCCGACGATGTTGAGGGAGCGGTAGGGATCGACCTGGTCGGTGGAGAGGTCGCCGCTGGTGACGAGCTCGTCGAGCAGACCGGGCCACTCCTCGCGGAAGACGTCGGCACCGGTGAGCGAGCCGTCGCCGCCGCAGACGACGAGGGCGTCGATGCCGCGCAGGACCATGTTCTTGGCGGCGCGCAGGCGGCCGGGCCGTTCCCGGAAGGCCATGGAGCGGGCGGAACCGATGAGGGTGCCGCCGCGGGAGAGCCAGCCGCGGACGTCCTCCCAGTGTAGTTGACGGATCATCTCGCCGCCGGCCACCAAGCCTTCGTAGCCTTCAAAGACGGCGTAGGCCTCGCAGTCGGAGTAGATGGCCATGCGGACGACGGCGCGGACGGCGCCATTCATGCCGGGGGCATCCCCTCCGGAGGTGAGGACGGCAATGCGCCGGCGCTTGGGGAGTTCGATCGGAGGCATGATGGGGATCGAACGTGGAGAGGGAGAGGAGATTTGGGGGGGGGGGGAGGTATAAGGGGAGTTCGGGAATGGTCTGGATGAGGGAGAATTGCGGCAATTAGTATACAGCCAGGAAGAATGTCGTCCGGAGCATTATGAGATCAGCAGCATTAGCTTCGGGGGTGGATGGGTACCGGTGAGAAGAAAGAGGGAGTGGAAACCGGTCGTCGGTCGTACGTCACAGACTCGTTGGTCGGATTGGGCCCCGCCGAAGCTAGTCGGAAGGCTAGTATGAAGTCACGGTTGATGCTAGAGTTGATGAACCAACAACCGGATGGAATGATGCGAAAGCAAATGAGGGGGATGAGAATTGATGCAAGTCGAGGAGATTAAAGATGAAGATACGAAGAAGAGAATGAAAGTAAGAAGATAGAAAGAGGTGAGAGTAAGAGAAGGAAGTAGTAGAGAGCGAGACTAGTCCGAGCTGGGTTAGTGCGGGGAGAGAGATCGTCTCAAACCGGTTAGCGTAGGGTGATGTCACTCTGTTTTCTCTTTCTGTTGATGGATTTCTTTGCGATCGAATGGATGCTCGGATCGAATTGATGGTGGATATCAAGTTGTAGACGGAGAAGAAAGACGTGGAGGGCGCAATGGCTGAGACGAGGGGCCCCTCAGGCAATATATATCCTGGCCCCGATCAGGCCATCGGGGTCCAACCGTGCGGCGACAGCGACGTGGCAGGATAACCACGGAGATACAGGACACATCCTGGTATTGCTCTGGAGTTTGATTGTTTTTTTTTTTATCTCTTTTGGTTTTACTTCATTTGACTCCGTACGGTGGTGTCAGGTGCATGGAGTCCGCATATAAATATCACGTGATCATGCCTGAGGCACACCGAGTGTCGGGATAACTTCATCTCTTCTCTCTTCTCCCTCCCTCTCCCTCTCCCTCCTCCTCTCGCACCTTAGACCCCCCCCCCAAAACTCCACCTCGACCATGTCAGACTCCTTCTCCCTCCCCCTCCGTCCCCGTCTCGATCGTCCCGACCCCCCCGATCCCCTCCCCGTCGAGATCGCCCAGATCAACACCCAATGGGGCAGTTTCCGTCATGTCTCCGAGGACTTCTTACGCCGTCGCATCGCCGATCAGTCCGATGATGCCTCCGACGACCACGATGAAGATGAATCCCCTACAGAGGTCGACGCCACCGAGCGGTTAGACCAGCTCTATCGCAAACGCGCCGAGATCACCCAGTTTGCCCAGTAGGTCATCTTCACGCGAGGTGATCATAAAAAGAGACGAACCCCCCCGCCCGTACTGACCCCTCCCAGCCAGGCCCACATGGAAGCCCTCTTCGCCCTCGACTTCGTCTCCCTCCTCATCTCCCAACATGCCCCCCGGCAGGCCGAAACCTCCATGTCTGCCTATCTCAAACAGGTCGCCCCCATGGGCTCCCTCACCCCCGAGGTCGTTGATCCCCCTCCGAAGCCCGACGCCGTCCGTCGCGACACAGAGGCCGTCTCTCGCGGCTGGCGCCTGCAGAATTTCAACTCCGCCGCCAACAAACTTCTGAACGCGGCCTCCCGTCTCGAATCCGAAGTCGCCGCCGAGACCCGCTACTGGAATGAAGTCCTCTCCATCCAGAACCAGGGCTGGAAGGTCTGTCGTCTGCCGCGTGATCGTCAGGCTTTAGGCGTCCAATACGGTTTCCTAGAAGGTATCTCTCTTCCGCCCCCATCTCCCCTACCTACTTCGCAGTGGGTGAGTGCTAACGAGGCAGCCACTCCCATCTTCCGCGATCGCGGCTTGGCCAGCCTGCGCCGCGCCGACGATGGCAGCCTCCTGCTCAACCAAGGCCTCGTGCCGCAAAAAGCCCGCCGCGTCCGCGTGCGCGTCAAGACCGACGACCGCTGGACCGGCGCCTCGCGCACCCCCCCACCCCCCACATCCGACGCCGACGCCATCGAAGCACGCATCCGACAGGCGCGCGACACCGTATACGAGGAGGAGTTGTTCCACGAGATGACGCGCGAGGCTCGCATCCTGGCCCCCCACGGCGTCACCACCCGCCAGAACCTCGTTCGCGTCCCCGTCTCGGACGTACAGGAGATCTGGCTGGACCTGGTGGACACGGACGGGGATTCCTCCCCCCCGGCAGACCCCGAGACCACGGCCGAGGACGACCGGCTGGCCGACGCGCTCTCCCACGCCCTCCGCATCCTCCTCGCCCACGCACACCGGCAGAACCGACACCGACGCGAGCAGCCCCCGCCACCGCTGACCCCCCGCCGTCGCCACACCCCCGAATACCACATCCTGCGCCCGCTGCTGGCCGGCTTACAGCACCGCGCCCACGTGCGCGCCCTCGAGGCGGTCCTGGGCGACCTGCACCGCGTGCGCCGCGCCGCCGGCCTCCCCGGCGATGGTACCGTCACGCCCTTCGCCTCGGTCCGTCCGCCCGCGTCCCACCCGGGCGTCCCAGCGGTCGAGAGCCTCGTCCGGACCCTCCTGCGACCCCTCGAGTCCACCCTCGGCGGGCCCCTCGCTGCACCGCAGGCCTCCATCCACGTCACCGTCCGCACCACCGTCGCCGGTCCGCCGGGCGGTACCGTCTTCGACCTCGCCGTGCACCTGCCGGCCTTTCCCGACGTGCAGCCCCCGGCCCGCATCAGCTTGCGCAGCGAAGCGGAGGCGGTGTTGTCGCACGTCCTGCTCCTGGACGTGGTGGCGGCCGTCGCCGCCGCCCCTGCCGTGCCGCCCGCGCGTCGTTGGGAGCCAGCCGCTCCGCACCACGGCGAGCTCATCACCGCGGGCGGGCCGTCGGCGAAGAACCGCAAGCTCACCGTCCACTTGTCGCGTGACGCGCTGCGCGTCGAAGCCGTTGCCGTGGGGGGGTTGGATCCCTTCGGTCGCCCGACGCCGGATCCAACGGCGACGCCGCGGTCGCGGACTTGGACGGCCGAGTCAACGGGGACGGGGTTGATGGACTTTGTCGGGGAGGTGTCTCAGGAGTAGGTTCTGCAGGCAGACCTCTTCCATTCCCCACTAATCCATCATGATACCAACAATGATACACACCCATGATACACATGCCTATAACTCTGTCCTGTAGCTCGTAGATGCGGTTCATATTCAAGTGCATCCCAACCTGACCATGCACACATCGATACTATCCGTAGTCTTTGCATACCCTAGTATTGCTAACCAGGTAGTCCGTCAATTATATCTACTATACATCCTACCTCACAAACCTACCACGGAATTTCCCTCCCATCATACTGATTCAATCCTTCATGGTTCTCCCACCCCGGCACACGGACATTAAGAAATTTCCCACTCTGCGCGGGATTCGCCTCGCGGACAATATCCAGGACGGCGCCGGCACCTTGCTCTGCGGAAAGGTCGGCGCGGGATCCGCCTAGATCCGTCCGGAGCCACTGTTGCTGTCAGTTTGGTGTATGGGAGGATAATGGATGGACGTACCCCGGGGCTAACGGCAAAGCAAGTGAAGCTCTCGTCTGCGAGAGCGTGCGCGTATTGCACGGTCATCATGTTCAGCGCAGTCTTGCTGATTCGGTAGGTTGGGACGGGCATATCATTGTATGTTTTGGCTCGGTCAAGGGAGGCCATTGTTGTTGAGCTTGTTGGTTGGTTAGCTGGATTTGGATACAGAAGTGGATAAGGGTGGCACACATGTTGACTATCGTCTTGCGGGTTCCCCGTCGTAGCAGAGGTAGGAAGGCTTGCGTCACTCGATGTGTCCCCGTGATGTTTGTGTTCATCACGGCTGTGAGGTTGTCTGCATCCCTGGATGGAGTTAGTCTGGCGCTGTCGACCATCTGGTGGGTCATACATCTCGGTGACTCCCCCCCGCGTGTAGGACCCCACGCCGGCATTGTTGATCAATACGTCTAGAGTACCATGGGTTCGCTGAATGCGTTCCACCGCTTCCGCGACACTGGACGCACTGGTCGTGTCAAGAGGCACGTAGGCGATGCGCCCGCGCGAGGACTCGACCAGCGACGGGAGTTCGCGGGGTTGTCGTGCTGTCGCCACGATAGAGGCCACCTCGGTCGCGGGACGGGCTGCTAATTGTTGAACCAGCGCGAGGCCAAGTCCGCGAGAGGCTCCAGTTACTAAATATGAAGCCATGGTGGAATGGAGGATGGTGATAGGATGTAGTGGGGAGTCGCTGATCCGAGGTTAATGTGACGCAGGCGCAGTCTTAATAATGTCGATCACCCGATTCTCTCCCACTTCTGTTATCTGGGATTCTTCCACATCCCTATCCATCATGTTGAGTACGCGATTCAGCCCGTTTCGGGCTATTCAACGCTCCATTCGACCATGGACATCTACTCTCAACACCCCGCGCTCGCTGTCCACCCAATGCAGTCTCCCCGCCGCCTATTACCGCGGCGGCACATCGCGCGCCGTCTTCTTCCAGCGCGACCACCTCCCCCCCAAGCAATCGCAATGGGCACCCATCTTCCGACGCGTGATCGGCAGTCCGGATCCCTACGGCCGGCAGCTTGACGGTCTAGGCGGCGGCGTGTCGAGCCTGTCCAAGGTGTGCGTGGTAGGCCCGCCCACCCGCCCCGACGCCGACATCGACTACACTTTCATCGCGCTCGGGGTCCGCAATGACCACGTCGACTACTCTAGCAACTGCGGAAACATGATCAGCGCCGTGGGTCCCTTCGCGGTCGACGCCGGTCTGGTCACCGTGTCCCCCGACACGAGCAGCCGCGTCGACCTGCGCATCCACAACACCAACACCGGCAAGGTCGTCCGCGCGCGCTTCGGCGTCGTCGACGGCGAGGCTGCCGCCGAAGGTGACTTCGCTATTGACGGTGTCGCCGGCACAGCCGACCCCATTCAGCTTGACTTTCTTGATCCGGCTGGCTCCCGCACCGGCCGGTTGTTTCCTACGGGTCGCGTGGCAGATACGTTCGACGGTGTGGCGACTACCTGCATCGACGTTAGCAATCCCGCGTGCTTTGTCCGTGCGGAAGACCTGGGCGTACGTGGAAATCTCACCCCCGACGAGATCGACGCACACCCGACGCTGCTTCGGCGGCTCGACTCCATCCGGCGCCAGGCTGGCGTGGCTATGGGTCTGGCAGATCAGCTGGAGGATGTCCCCGGCAGTGTCCCCAAGATCGGCCTGGTGTCATCCCCGCTGTCCGATGATCGGGCTGTCCAGGCTGGCCAGACGCCAAAGGAGGTCGACGTGCTCGTACGGGCGCTCTCAGTCGGGCAGCCGCACAAAGCTGTGCCTATTACTGTTGCGTTGGCCCTGGCGGCGGCGGCGCAGGTGCCAGGCAGTGTCGTGGAGGACGTGACGGGCGCCGCACGGGTCAGTTCGACGGGGTTAACTCTGGGTCATGCCAGTGGGCGATTGGTGGTGGGCGCAGAGTATGGGGAGGATGGGACACTCCGTCATGCCACGGTCTATCGAACGGCGCGGCGATTGATGGAGGGTCGTGTTTTCTGGAAGGGGAGCTGATGTTGACTTAGTCTGTATTATACATCATCTATTGTAGTTTATTGAGGCGAGGGGTTGACCATAGATGTATATATACTAGTACTGTAACAAGAATCATCCCCTCATGAGCAGCGTATATACTAAACACTTAATCTCGAACGCCATTGTTTACTATCATATGCCCACCTTGTAGGAAAGCCACCAGGGCCCAACCCTGGGATCATCGCCAGATGCCAAGACACCATGGTGGATCAATCGAGTCGAGACACGACTGGCGCGTTTGATGCCCACGGCCGTCTGGAATTAGATGCAACCGACCTCTCCCTCTTGTTACCCTGATGACGGGCCTTCTTCCAGGTATGCGATGCCCTCGCCCCTCATTTCTCCCCGCCATGTCGCGTCCGTGTGGTCCGGCCCCATCGCGGCATCTCCACCCCTCCCTCTCCCGCCCCAAAACTTCTCTCTCCGCACCGGATTCCCCCCGCATCCATGTCCTCGGGATGGGAAGTATCGGGACCTTCACCGCGCACGGGCTGCGGGCCATGCCGAATCCACCCCCGGTCACTTTGCTCCTCCACCGCGCCAGCCTGGCAGACGCCTACCGTGCCACCGGGCGTCAGATCCAGCTCGAGACTGCGGACGGGACCGTGATCCCGCAGACGGGCTATGACCTCGAAGTCCTCCGCGACGGGCGCTGGCACGGCGAGACGGGCCATGACACCACTACCACCAACATCGACCACCTCATCGTCAGCGTCAAAGCCCCGCAGACCGTTGCCGCGCTGACACCCCTGCGCGCCCGGCTCTCCGCCCGCTCCACCGTCCTTTTCCTCCAGAACGGCTGCGGCATGATCGACACTGTCACCGAGCACCTGTTTCCCGACCCCACCACCCGTCCCCACTACGCCGTCGGCGTTGTCTCCCACGGCGTGGCGCTCACCAAGCCGTTCCACGTTACACACACGGGACCCGCCGCCATGGCCCTGGGATGGGTGCCTCCGCCACCGGGACGGACGCCAGCGCCCGCTCGCGATGACGACCTGTTGGCGACTCTCCCCCGCTCCCCGCGGTTCAATGCCCGTACCGACGCGTACACCCAGGTCTTCCAGACACAGCTGGAAAAGCTGGCGTTGAACGCGTTCTGCAACCCCACGTGTGCCCTGCACGACGCGAAGACTGGCTTCTTGGTGACGATGCCGGCACTGCGTCGTGCGATTCTCACCGAGATCTCGGCTGTCGTCCTCGCATTGCCTGAGCTACAGGGGGTGCCCGGCGTGCGGGAGCGATTTGCCGTGAATCGTCTAGAGACGACAGTGAGTCACATCCTCACCCAGAACGCGGAGACGACGTGCTCAATGGTGTGGGATATGCGCGCTGGCCGTGAGACCGAGGTGCGGTTCATCAATGGCTACTGGGTGCGACGGGGGAGGGAAGTGGGGGTGGCGACACCGGTGAACGAGGAATTGGTGCAGGCGGTGCTGCATCGGACGGGGTTGAACAATAGATCTACGGTGAAGAATGTCGAGAGTGAAGTCAAAGTGAAGTCGAGAGAGATATAGAAGTCCAGAAGAATAGAGGGAAGCATAAGTGGATAGATGAGTCATCAGGCCGCGGTGACCGATCGGCATAACCGGAGATCAACAAACATCAACTTCTCGTGACTCCCAAGTAGTTCTTCCTTCCTTCTTCTCTCTCTCTCTCTCTTGTCTTCAGTTTGATTTCATTCTTTTTGCTTCCTTTTTGTTTACAATCACACTGCATTAGATTATTCCTCTACTTTACTTGGATAGACGCGTATTCGTACCTGCATCCTCATGTCCGTCCGATTCCGGGATTATCCCGAGGCCAAGACGGGGTGAGCTGACCCTTCTTCCCTCTTCCGGACCCTGTCCTCACTCTGCCTGATCTTACGAGGTTGATGATTCGAAACTGACTGACTAGACCCGATGTCTCTCCGCACTACAATCGCAAATCGAACCCGGTGCTGCGGGGGTTCTTGCTGACCGTGGCTGCCTGGCTGTAAGTGCACCACATGCCGGGATTGCAAAAGGAAGAAGAAGACAGTAGCTAATATCCCCCAGCATGGAACGGATCTGGTTTCTCCCTGGTCTCATCTGGCGGAATGCGGGCTTCGGCGCCCTGCGCACCATCGACCGACATCTCGAGTTGCTGGAGCCCCGCTATGACCCGACGGTGATCCCACTCGAGGAACCGCCACGGTCTGATGATCCCCCCGAGCGCGTCATCGCTCCTCCCCAGCCCACCAAGAAGCCGTTTTATTCCGTCGCCGACTATCATGCCCTCTACAAGAGTGGCGAGCTGACCCCGCTGGATGTCGCTCGCGCCCTGCTGCCGCTCATCCGCCGCGACGTGCCCAACCCCAGCCCCCACTCCGTGGCCTGGTTCGACTCCCGCGTCGATCTCGTCCTCGCCGCTGCCGAGGCCGCCACTCAGCGGTACCGCGAGAACCGTCCGCGGGGCCTCTTTGACGGCGTGCCCGTCGCCGTCAAGGGAGAGTTCGACGTCGACGGTTACACCACCCACCTCGGCTCATGTAACGACTACACGCCTCAGCCGTCCGAGACCGACCCGTCCATCACCAACTGGTGTGTCCGCCAGCTCGAGGCCGCCGGCGCTGTTCTTGTCGGCAAGCTGTCCATGCACGAGTTTGGTCTCGACCCCAACGGCCACAACATCCACTACGGCACTCCTGTCAACCCCTATCACTCGCGCTACTACACCGGCGGCAGCTCTTCGGGCTGTGCCTACGCTGTCAGTGCCGGCCTCGTCCCCGTCGCCCTCGGCACCGACGGCGGCGGCAGCGTGCGCATCCCCGCCGCCTTCTGCTCCGTCACCGGTCTCAAGCCCTCCCACAACCGCCTCTCGCATTACCCGGGCGTCAACTACGCCAGCACCACCAGCGTCATCGGACCCCTGGCCGCCGACCTCCGCTCCCTGGCCGCCGTCTATCAGCTCGTCGCCGCTCCCGGTCCCGACACGCACTTCCCGGCTCCCGGCCGGCTCGACCTCACCCCGGCGCCCGGCGCCACGAAGAAGGCCCTAGGCGTGTGCGAGGCGTGGTTCGCGCGCGCCGACCCGCCAGTGCAGCGACGGTGTCGCGCACTGCTGGACCGGCTGGTGACACAGCACGACTATACCGTCGTCCCTGTAGACATCCCCTTCCTCGCCGAGGGCCAGACGGCTCACGCCATGACCATCCTCACCGACGCGGCCGCCGTGCTGACCGACACCGCCAACATCGCGCCCGCCAACCGTATCCTGCTAAGCATCGGCCGCGCCACTCCGGCAACCGACTACCTTCGTGCCCAGAAGCTCCGCCGCTTGATCATGGCCCACCTGGCGGCACTGTGGCGCGACCGGCCCGGCATGATCCTCGTCACCCCGACCACCGCCTGCGCCGGCTGGCCCATCGCCTCGACCGTGGACATGTGCTCCGGATTCAGCGACGGTGACACCACCCTGCGCACCATGGAGTATGTCTGGTTGGCCAACTTTGCCGGCGTCCCCTCGCTCAGCGTGCCGGCCGGCTACGTCGAGGGAGAGGTGCCCACTGAGTCGGGTGAGCCGGGGTCTGTGCCTGTCGGCCTGATGGGGCACGCCGACTGGGCGGACGAAGCGGCACTGCTGCAGTGGGGGCTGGAGGCAGAGGAGGCGGGTTCCGAGTTCCTGGTGCGGCCGCCCATCTGGGAGGATGTGATTGAGCGGGCGCGGAAAGGTCGAACGGAGCAACTGGTTGAGGTGTGAGGGGATTAGATCCTGTGCTATTATTGGGCGCTTTCTGGGAGCAATAGATTTTATTACGTATCCATTACGCTTGTTCTGTTCCGTTGACCATTGTATGGCATGTAGTCTGTCTTGGTGTAAGAATCTTTGAACACTCCCAGAAGACCAACGTTCTCCATTGCTCGATCAGAATTCTTTGAGCATACATAGTATAGTCGAAGAATCAATCCCAAACAAGCGGGATGCCAAGGAGGTCCCAGTTTATAACGTCATCCTTCTCTCCCTTTCTATTATTGGTCGTCATCGCGTTTCCGCACGGCCCCGGCGAACATGGAACTGTTCCCACGGGCAGGCCCAGCCATGAAAGACTTGCGTATGTGCGCAGATCATTTGGCTGAGAGTGATAGCAGGAGGTGGTCACCACCTCCTAATGGTAGACGCGAGAGGGCCCGAGCAGCGTGGAAGAGAGTTGCTACTATGATATAAAGCATGGAGTACAGCCTCATGTGGATAGCCTCGTCCAGTCTTGCGGTAGGGCTTTTGGTCCCCACGAGGCTGTCGGTTTCATTCCGTCGCTCTGTAGGAATGTGGGGTTGCCAGGGTGGCTTGGCTCGCTACAATTCAGGTCAGTATATGAAGACATAAGGACGTTGCCCGATGAAGGTATTCCTATATCAAGCCCCCCTTTACTACCAAGTGCAACAAGGAAATCTTTGGCCGGTCGTGACCCAGTCCCACCACCGTCTGGTCAAATTCCTATTTATCTGCTAGAATCTGGCCCGGGTCATCTTCAGAAAGCGGTTCATCGCTTACCAATTGCCCCAGGAGAGCTCCATCCGAGGCCTGTCAATTCAAATCTGCGCTGACTCTGGTTCGCATGACCGTCCTCCCACAACAATAGCAACCACACAGCGGCAGCGATTCCGGCTCAACACTGGCAGGGATGCCGTCGGTGGGTCTGGGCACCCTGAAACCGATTTTTCGACACATCGGCTCCGCGTCTCAGTACAATAATGAGGACCAGGTCGGCGAGGCAGTGCGGGATTCGGGGCTCTCGCGCGAGACCGTCTGGATCACCACCAAGGTGGACAACCCCTGGCACCACCGCGTAGTGGAGTCGGTGGATCAGTCCCTGGCCGCGGTGGGATTCGATTGCATCGATCTTTTTCTCATGGACTGGCCCATCGCCGTGTCGCCCGAGGATACCTCCACCCGCTTGCCGAGATGGGACCCTAGCAGACCTGATAGGAGATTCAGCGCGTCCTCGCTTCGGGCCGCGTGCCCAATATCGGGGTGTCCAATCTTGGCATCCGAAGCATGGAAAAGCTGCCGTCCCATTCGGAGTGCCATGTAGTTCCGGCTGTGAGCCGGATCGAGGTATGCTCCTGGGCTGCTCTCACGGGCCGATCTCCCAGCTAATCTAAGTTAGCTGCACGCATGCTGCCTATGCGACCGCTTGGTAGACTTCTGCCGGCAACGAGGGATCCATTGCACGGCCTATTCGCCGCTGGCCTTTGGCTTGCTCCAGCTGTACGAGCGCGCGTCCAAGACGCCACAGAAAATCCTGTAGGCACTTACACCCCTTCCGGGATGATTGGGATATGTGCTAACCATGACAGCATAATGTGAAGTCTCCAACGCGGAACGAGCGTGATCCCCAAAAGTGTGACACCGGAGCGCATCGCCGCCAACTTTGACCTGGGTAGATGGGTCCTGACGCCAGATGAGCACCATCTCTTAAGCCAGCTAGACGCCCGACGGTCTATCCGGATGACTGGCTGCCAGGGCAGGCGCTTTGGGAGGAGGACAACAGACTCCTGCCATATTGACCTTTGGCAAATTTGATTCCATTTGACTGTAGCCATCTAAACCGTATTTAGTTGATCGTCCAGAGACAACGAGTAAACAAAACTATATATAAATGACTAGAGAGCGCACTCCTCATCCCACCACTGGGAGAACAACTCCAGTCTCTCGGTGCGCGCTCTGGCCATCTGTCGACCAGTCTCTGTCTTCATCAGGCCCTCCAGCTTCACCAGCTTCTCGCTGATGTGCTCACGAGAGCGCTGCATACTGGACTCCGGCATCTTTGCTGCACCAAAAGTGAACGCCCGTCCAATGCCAACTGCCCCGATGGCATCCAGCCGGTCCGCGTCTTGCACGATACCGAGCTCCGGATGCTGGGCCAGCACCTGCCGTGTCCGGTCTGGGTTGCGCATCTCAGTCGAGTACGAGACGTTGTTGACGATCTCGACGACGCGCGCTGACAGACTAGGCGAGACGTTCGCGCTCGCGAGTATCTCCGCCAGCTTCGACCCATCTTCGGTACGCGTGTACTTCTTGTCGGTGACATCGTGGAGGAGTCTACAACGGAGATCAGTCAGGCAGGTTCGCTAGCAGAAGGGAAGGCGCTCTAACGCTGCGAGAAGCACCGCGGTGGGATCGTGAGCCCCCGACTCCCCCATGAGAATGGTCTGGGAGAGCGCCGTCACACGGAGGACATGGTGAAAGTCATGAGAGGCGTCATACGCCGCCATGTGCTGTTCCACCGACGCAGCCACCGATTGGAATACCTCGTCGGGCGGGAGCGAGTATCGCACGCGAACGGCTTGTAAAATGGTCGCCAGTGAGGCCATCTGTGATAGGGTATAGGTCAATGGCCTGAAAAGGGAATGACTGGGCTGCGCACACCGACGGGGTATATGTAATAAACGATAAACCGAAACCCTTCCTGTTGCAACTGCACACCGAATTTTTTTTTTTCTGCCGTGCATTTCTATTGCATCTGCGGGGCCCGCCTGCCAAGGCTCCTGGTGCAGGGATGATCGGGCGTTAAAGTCATGAAGATCGCATGCCCCGCCAGAGAGAGACGCAGGGGCCATTTCAATGGAATTCCTCAAGGAGCACCTGTACGCCCTCGAGGCGCCATCTCGAACTCGCTCGGTGCCCATGCAAGTCCTCGCTGTCGGTCCCTCGCGATCCGGCACCGGCTCTCTTCGGGCGGCGCTGCTGCAACTCGGCTACGACCACTGCTACCACGGCCTCGACATCGTAGACCACCCCGAAGATGACCTCGCGTGGCACCGACTGCGTCTGAAACGAGAGCGCGGCGGCAGCCTGACAGCCGCCGACTTTGACGCCGTGATCGGACACGGCGCCGGCATCACTGACCATGTCGCCGCGGCTTTTGCGCCGGAGCTCATCGCGGCATACCCCGACGCCAAGGTGATCCTCAACATCCGCCAGGACGTGGATGCTTGGCATCGCAGTGTCATGGAGATCTTGGACCCCCTGCACCAGAGCTGGACGTTCTGGTTTCGCAGCTGGTTCTGTTCTGAGCTGTTTTGGATGCAGGAGGGCTTCATCCGAGGCAACTGGAATATCTTCTACCGCGGCAGCTTCGAGAAGAACTCACGCAGGGCCCTGGATGAGCATTGCCTCCGGGTGCGACGCCTCGTGCATCCCGACCGGCTGCTGGAGTGGGATATCCACGATGGATGGGAGCCGCTGTGCCGGTTCCTAGGCAAGCCTGTACCGCAGACGCCGTTTCCTACACTGAATAGGGGTCTCCAATACGAGAAGCTATTTCGGGACCGCATCGAGCGCGCGGATCGCAATATTAATCGGTGTATCGCGATGGTGGTGATGGTAATGATGGCCCTGTGGGTGGTGGTGCTCGGATGATCGCGATGACGCTTGCTTTGCATTTCTTCTTCTTCATCCTTTCCCACTGAATATTCTTTTGGATGTGCGTGTAATTTAATCTATTTAGATTTTGTTTTCAACGAAATATGTTAGAACAGGGGGGGGTACTGGCCAGAAAGGCAGTCAAGCGGCTCCTCGCCTTCCAATGTGATAGGTAGAAGAAAGGCAGCTATTTCTAGCATCAAAAAGAGCCTTTTCAGCGTTCATTCACCAGGTCTACACTTTCTAGTTGTAACTAATTGGACAATGTCCACCCAACCCCAGGACAAGCCCTACAGACCCCGGATGAATTGCAACGGCGGCGTAAAAAAGTACTCCCCACCCTTGACGGAGATGAAGGTCGTGAACGAGATCTCACGCTCTAGACCCTTCTTGTCCAGGAGTTTCAGGCGCAATTTCTTGTCTTCTTCCTCGACCGCGCCTTTGATATCTTGGCCGATGATAGCATCCTGGCCATTCCGGTCGTGCGGAAATCCGTGGTTGTAGACCCAACCTAACAATGCGTTAGAAATGCTCTTCGGTATCATTTGACAGGGTAGGGTGTGCTTACGGTTCATGACAAATTGAAAGCCATTCTTGATGGCACTCTGATAACAGGTAAACAAGAGACCACGCTCAACCTGGTCATTCTTCCCGGGTTCCCACACAGGCCCATACGGGATCCCCCGACGCATCATCAGATTCTTCGTCGTATTGCCGATCCCAATGCGAGGGTTGGTCTTGCGGATGTGGGCTGCAAATGGGCAATTGGTCTGCTTGTCGGGATCTTCATAGTCCCAGTCGTTCAGGTTGCCGTCGAAGGTGGAGCTTTCGAACGGATATTTCTCCACGGGGGCGCCTGCGAAGCTATATCAATACCAGTTCAAATCAATCGATAGACTATGACTAGCGGCTTACCGTTCTTCCAGCGTCCGACCAGGCGCGCTTCAAATTCGTCTTGAGTAAAGCCGAGCTGGCGTGCCGTCGCCTCACAATACCTATAGGAACGGTGGTCAGGTCATGCCCATACGTAGTGTGCGCCACGTAACAGTAGCAGTGACATACTTGTGAAATTTAGGCACGTCCTGGCCCATCTTGCGAAGAACAAAGTAGCTACCGTTCTTGGCCCAGTCGGGCTCCCACCACTTTTTGTTGTCATCATAAAATCCAGGATTGTTGATCAGAATGGTCCTGGCGAGGTTAGCACACATGGATCGGATACAGGGTAGCCTGGTGAGATTAATTTACCCTGGAGCGGTGAAAGTCTTTTGGACCCCTTCCTCTTTGATCTTGTCATCATCGAGACCCTTCAAGATGGGCTGGGAGACACCATCGCGGAACCCGAAGCTGGAGATAGTTAGACGCCGGATTCGATAGCGCTCCCCTCTTCGAGATCCAGATCAAAAGACTTACTGCTCAGGATCATGGATATCCTTTTTCTTGGGCAGCGTAGCTCCCGCCATGGGCTTCCCAACCACGGCAATGGAACTGCCCAGGGACGTCTTGATAATCCTCTCCCTGGTGCTTTGGACTTTCTTTTCGGTGCCGCAGATAAGGAGAACGCCGTGGACGTCCTGCCTCCAGCAACCGTCCCATTCCTCGTCGGTATCTCGGCCCTCCGACACCATGTCCGTGTACATGCCTTTGATAAAGGGGTCATCACGGAGCTCATCTCTGTCCAGCTGTGCACATTCAGTACCTCACCCTGTATATCATGAAGGAACCAAGGAGATTTACCTTGACCATTCCCTTGGAGGTAAAGGCAATGTTGACGCCGGACATTTCGACCTCCTTGCCACTTCCGGAGACGCGTTTTCGCGTAGACAGCGCATCTTGAGCAGTGGTAATCTGCTTCTTCGACACCATCTCCTTCAGGCGATCTTTGAAATCCGCCGCGTCTTTGATCTCGAACAAGACAAACTCCTCATACTTCTTCAGCAGCCCGGGCCTGTTTGTCCAATCAGCAACGATCCACGGATGAAAGATCCACGATCCGGCGGGCGTACCAAATATCCCCCTGCATATCGGACTTGTCCATGTCGTTGGCCATTTTGAAATTGATGAGGTATCTTTTATAGAAGTTCAAGATAATATCATTTGAAGAAGGTTGAGAACGAGGATCTTCTGTATCAAGTCATCTTTGCCAGGGTCCGATCCCGATTTTTATACCCTACTTGACCAGACCTGTCATGATCTCACAGGGTTGCATTGTTCTTGGGTTGAGTGCTGTCCTGGGCCTCTACCATGGTCAAAGTTAACATTAGCCCGTCTATGAGTGGATGGAGACGTTTGGCCCTGCTTTCAATGTGGTGTCAAGTCTATCCAGAAAGAAGCGAGGTGCACCCTAAGCTTCTGACTTCTCCACTGTGGCACCCGCCAGGGAGCAGTTTCGGATGCCATAAAGCCAAGGCTGATGCACAGACTTTTACAGACCGACCAGCTAGGTCTGCAACGCTAAACTGCTAGAGATGGATTACGCCGAGCCTCAATGCAGTTCAAGTCATGTCCAATTGGGCGGGTACTGATAGTCGCCAGGGGTAACATCAAATATAGTAGACGTGGGTAGAAAACTGCACGTATACTCTCAGCCACTGCACCAAGATACCGAATCGGCATTTGGCCGGCCTGGATATGACTGCCATCACACCATATACAATCGGTACAATCCACAATATGGGTTGATACAGATTCTTCATACAAACGTCTATTCAGAACGGCCATCACTCTTCCGACTAGCTTCCGCACCGGCTCGAATATTGGTAACTAGACAATCTAACGTGATATTGTGCGGGTCAATCGTCAGTCCGATTACTCAGTACATCTCTTCCTTGTGACCTCATCAAGCTGGACAGCAATACAAAAGGCGAAGAGATCACCTACGTGGCTAGCTGAATAGCTGAAGACGGCCAGTGTCCGAGCCATCGAATAGTACATGATGATTCATCGTCAACCATGTATCCTCTCACTAACACCTGGTTGCCCGTCCAGCCTTCGTGGATCAGACTCGGTCAAAAGAATTCGACCATCCATTTTCCGAGGTTACGGCCGAAGGTCCCCTGGCTGGCGTCCCTCCCAATGAGAATTCCATTTTCCGAGGTTACGGCCGAAAGTCCCCTGGCTGGCGTCCCTCTCAATGAGAATGATCATCATGTAAAACGCAGGTCGTTGCATTTCCGTTCCCGTTGCGGTGCTACCGGCGTTCCACAAGGGAAGGGTGCCATTCCGCTAGGGGGATTCCACGGTAAGTCTCCTGATGCGACGGCAATGAAAATTACTCCGTGACATGCGGGCTATGCAGCAAGTATAGTGGGCGTGACAGAGTTACCGTACCGACCACTTGGGTCGTACCTATGTTAGGCATGCCTTGGATGGGCCATTGGGATGGCGCCCGGAGACTCTCACGGTTTATGATACAAAGTAGGCTGGCTGTTGGCTTTTATGAAGTCCAAACACTTCCTGAGATCTCGATGGGCAGGCCACCTTTGAATGATAGATAGAGGACTCCCTTCTCCTGTTGGCATCGACCTGTGACCGCGAGTAATCTGGGAATAGCAATTGGGCATGTAAACCCTGCGGTCTATCAATGCGTTGACATACCGAAGCGCCCGCGCCATATGTTGACAATGTCAATCCATCATTCATTACTTGATCTTTGTATAGGATAGCTGCATGACTTCATGTCAGTTCGAAATGCCTTTACAGACGCGAACAGATCCCCTGGTGCTTTTGCCGATCCCTTTGCTCCGTACATAGGCCAATATTGTAGTGAATTCTTATTTTCAGGCAAAGTTATGTACAACACCCAGCATTCCTGGGTAAGGACGGCATAGCTGTCCGTTGTATTGCTCGTGTCAGCCTTGAAGGTTACGAAGTCGTGGCAGTGCCTGTCCTCCACACGCGTCAGATTCGTTATCTTTGTATGATTCAACCATGGATATTACTACCTCTACATTGGGATAACAGATGAAGATTGTGCATACGGGCCATGCAATGTCAGGGAGCTGATGGTGCTGGGCAAAGGTATACGGTATCACGCCCGGGAATTTTGACTCCCCGGCTCGCGGTGAATACGGGGCCCGGCATGCCAGCCCCTAGCCCAAGGAATATTAGTCGGTCGTGCGGTATGGGAGAATCGGCAAGGGCTATACACGATGCTCTATAAAAGCACGAGCATGTTCCATCTCATATTGCCAGGACGAACAACCCACCGACGGTCTAATCCGACACCATCGCTTTGTCGTCAAGCAGCTCGTCTGTCCTCCACCATGAAGTTCAACTGGAGCTTGGCTGCTCTTCTCCTCGGCATTGCGTCGGCGGTCGAGGATGAGGATCCGCAGGCGCTCGAAGTGATGCACAAAGAAGAGCAGTACCAAGAAGGAAAGACCGCTGGAGTCGATCTTGTTGGTGGGGTCGAAGTTGCCAATCTCGACCAATCTGGACCCTCGGGACATGTCATCAGTTCGCATGACGTGCAGAAGATCACTTGTTTCCAGGGTGTTCGAGGCCAGGATTGTACGGATATCTTGGATGGGACTGTGACGACCGATTGGTCGACCTCCCGTTCCGGGAGCTCAAGGATTATCGTCGAATTTGGTGGTCCAAGGACCCTGACTGGGTTTGTCGTGGTTCCTTCCCCCGATAAGCCGAATCACTTTGTGACTCGGCACTCGGTGTTTGTGGGGCCTAGCGATAGAGGACCCTGGAAGGAGGTGGCGTATGGGACATGGTGGCCGGATACCAGCGAAAAGCAGTCCGTATTTCAACCCGAGCGCACGAGATACTTGCAGATTGAGCTCAACGACGGCCCGGTCGCGGTCGCGGAGCTCAAGATCTTCGAGGGCAACGAGATCCCCCCCAACCCCAAAAAGGGCATCTGGGGTCCGACCATTGATTTTCCCCTCGTTCCCGTGTCTGGGGCGGTCGACCCCAAGTCGGGCGAGGTGCTAGTCTGGTCCTCCTGGGGTTACAAGCAATTCACCGGTTACCGGTCTGGAAAGACGCAGACCGCCCTATGGAACCCCGAGCGAAAGACGGTGACCCAACGCAAGGTGGACGAGACCGACCATGATATGTTCTGCTCGGGGATCGCGAGTGATGTGGAGGGGAATGTCCTCGTGTTTGGTGGGAATGATGCGGCGAAGATCAGCCTATATAACACGACCTCGCATGATTGGCAGCGGCGGAGGGATATGGCGTCCCTGCGCGGTTATGAATCATCGACTATGTGCTCTGACGGCCGGATCTTCTCCATTGGCGGTTCCTTTTCTGGTGAAACCGGTGGCAACAGTAAAGACGGTGAGATTTACGATCCGAGAACCAACAGGGCCACCATGCTCCCCGGTGCCACAGTCGACGATATGGTTACGGCGGATCGGCGCCAGTATCGAATGGACAACCACGCTTGGCTGTTCGGGTGGAAGGATGGATACGTTCTCCAAGCGGGGCCCAGTGACCAGATGAATTGGTATGGAACGCGTGCCTCGGGGAGTACCACCCACGCCGGCCAGCGCGGCGACCAAGATGCCATGTGTGGCAATGCGGTCATGTACGACACCGGCAAGATTCTCGGCTTTGGGGGTTCCCGCTACTACGAGACAAAGCCGGCTATCAATACTACCTACATCCTCACCCTTACGGAGTCGAAGACTCCCGTTCACGTTGACCAGGCCCCGTCGATGAAGTACACGCGCACCTTCCACACATCCGTCGTGCTGCCGGACGGGTCCGTCTTCACCCACGGCGGCCAGGATATCGGGCTGCCGTTCAATGAGAGTTTCACCCATTTCACGCCGGAACGGTTTGTTCCCGATACCAGCAGTGTGCAGGGCGGCCGATGGGAGGAGTTGCAGCCAAACAACGTGCCCCGAGTGTACCACAGCATTGCACTGCTTCTGCAGGACGGGACGGTTTTCACCGGCGGTGGTGGTCTCTGCGGAGATTGCGACGCCAACCACTTCGACGCTCAGATTTACACCCCCCCTTATCTGGTCAATGACAATGGAAGCAAGAAAACGGATCGTCCCGTCATCAACAGCGTCAGTCCGGCTGACGGCCCCCCCGGCACCACGATCACGATCCAGACCGATCGACCTGTCAATTCCAAGGCATCGATCATCCGCTACGGCTCCGCGACGCACACGGTGAACACGGATCAACGACGCCTTGGTGTCAGGCTGTCGGCGCAACCGGGCAGGACCAACACGTATTCCTTCGAGATCCCCGATGAACCCGGAGTCGCCACCCCTGGGTATTATATGCTTTTCGTCCTGGACAATGCCGGGGTGCCCAGTGTGTCGAAGAATGTGCGGGTGACTGTGTGAGAACCACGCCGTCTTTTTCCGTTTCCAAGCCCTATGGTGGTGATGTCCACGCGTGCATGATTGCCCAGGCCTTTGGTTGTTGAATTTTCTCCTTTCCAACGGTGCTCGATTGAGATCGGATGCTTTGTTTGTTTGTCTAGCAATAGTGAGTAATAATATTAATGAAGTGGTTTATGCGCCTAGTAGCTGTAATAGTTCGTGCCAAAAGGGATTATGAATGTCCCCGGCTGATAGTGCCATGAGGAGTGTTGTCGCTCGATGGAAGATAGATTTGTTCTTGTGAATCAAGGCTCGGCCCTAGTATTATAGCCTGCCACGTAGAATCATTCCCATCTAGGTGCCCCAGAACCCTGTGTACTAGATACAGGCGAACCCCGATGCAAGCGGCCCACAATGGTTGAATTTTTGAGCTTGAAGCTATTTGGAAAGCTATGATCGTACTAGGTAAGAAATATGAAGCATGGAAAAGAGAAACGTGTGGGAGGGAAGACCCTGCTAGTCATCTGACATGGTTGCTGATTGCCCTCAATCTGTCCAGTATAACAAAACGCTTTAAGGGTATGAGAACTGATGTAATAGAAACATGCGCGGTGTAAACTTGGAATATAGGCAGTATCGCTTGCTATAATGGACAATAACCAAAGAATGAGAAATCCTCGAGTTTCCAGCCCTCAGGCTAGCTCTAGTATTCTATAAGCCACCGGATTCAGCGCAATACGTCAAGTCATGCTGATATCAGTTAAAAAAACAAGACTTACGTTGATATATATCATCCGTTTCGTGGGATACGTTTCTATTTCTTGGGCTCCTCCTCCTATACCTAGCGAGGGATTAGCGCCAGACACTGCCACCGCCACGCGACGGTTCCCTCCGCCGCCAATCTTGAACCCTGCATCTTCTTCTCTTTTCTTTCCTTCCTCCTTCTACTCTCTTTCTCTACCTTCATCTCACATCCATCGACTCGATCTACTCCCCCTCGATGTCGCGATGGGTTCCAAATCTCCCGAACATCAAGACACGGCCCACGGCCGTACGTATCGTCTTACTCCCAGCACAGGTTATACTGACGTTCTGCAGATAATGCCCCCTCGGCGGCGGTCACCACCGCTGGCGGCGAACCACGCGGTGCGCATCTGTCTCGCGACGGAGACGGGAGTCTGGGCGATACGGGCGATACCGACGACGACGACGACGACGATAATGCCCTCGGGCCCGGTGCGGTTCCCCACTCCCTGACTGGACCGACCGCTGCGAAGACAAACCAGAAAAAGAAAAAGAAGAAGAAGAAGAAGAAGAAGTCCAAAAAGAAGCCGTCGGGTCCGGTCCACCAGTCCTCTCCACCCCGTGTCCCGGTGGATCAGCTCTTCCCGACGGGTCAGTACCCCATGGGGGAAATTCAATGCGACGGAACAATGATGAACACGGCGCGCACGACGGCCGCAGAAAGTCGCGACCAAGCCCGATGCGACCTGGTGGACGAGAGCTTCCTCAACAACTATCGCAAAGCGGGCGAGATCCACCGCCAGGTCCGCCAGTGGGTCCAGGCCAGTGTGCGGCCGGGACAGACCCTCATGGACATTGCGGTAGGCATCGACGATGGTGTCCGCGCGCTGTTGGACAACGCGGGGCTAGCACCGGGCGAGGGTCTCCGGTCGGGATTGGGATTCCCGACGGGCCTGTCTCTCAATCACTGCGTGGCGCATTCCACCCCGAACCCGGGACAGTCGCCCGTCGTGCTGCAGGCGACGGATGTGATGAAGGTAGATTTCGGCGTGCACATCAATGGATGGATTGTGGATAGCGCCTTCACCATGTCGTTTGATCCGACCTACGACCCACTGCTTGCCGCCGTCCAGGATGCGACCAACACGGGCATCCGGGTAGGCACCCACCCGGCTACTATCGTATGATCGCTAACGAAGGGTAGACGGCCGGAGTCGATGTGCGCATCAGCGATGTCAGCGCCGCTGTCCAGGAGGTCATGGAGAGCTACGAGGTGGAGATACGCGGCCATACCTTCCCCGTGAAACCGGTCCGCGGTCTCAGCGGTCACGACATCAAGCAGTATCAGATCCACGGCGGCAAGTCGATCCCCTTCTTGAAGAACAATGACCAAACCAAGATGGAAGCCGGAGAGATTTTTGCCATTGAAACATTTGGCTCGACCGGCCGGGGCACCGTGATCGACGGCGTAGGTTTCCCGATAATCCCTGGCGTTGTTGACCTACACTGACTGACCACAGGCCGGTGTCTATGGGTATGGCCGGAGTGCCGACGCCCCTCTGAAGGTGATCACGCCGCTGGCGACCGCCCGATCGCTCTACAAAACCATCAACCAAAGTTTCGGGTCGCTGGTCTTTTGTCGCCGCTACCTGGAGCGGCTGGGGGTGGATCGATACCTGGCGGGGGTACGTACCCTGTGAAGTCTTGCGATACGGCACTAATATTGAGTAGATGAACAACCTCGTATCCAAAGGGGTGATGGACGTCTACCCTCCTCTGGTGGATATCCCGGGCTCGTTTTCCGCCCAGTTTGAACACGTACGCTTCGCTCTTGACCCAGGAATTGCCGAGCTAATCCACTGTAGACCATCATTCTAGGCGAGTCGGGCAAGGAGGTTATCAGTCGCGGGGATGACTATTAACACATGGGATGATCATATTTTCAATGGAAGGCCTTGCCCTGTTGTTGAATCTATCCTGCGCAATGCCATCCAACATGGCGTGTTTTCTCGAGGTGTCCGTCTCACCAGTTCAACCTGTCGGGATGGACCCTGGTCGACAGTCTCTACCGACCCTAATTTCAAGCTTTTGACTTTCTTGCTCTGTTATTTCCCGACCGCGGGTCTATCCCAGGCACCCTGGGTAGCACCTTCCATGGGTCCGATCGCCACCCCGTTCGTAATGGTAAAAGTCACGGCCCAGTCTCCCTAGCGCAGGATTATCTAGCGCGGGAATATATATAGACGACCAACGCGACTAGAATCCTCAGCGCAGGCAAGCGATCTGGTTAAAATAGATTGCATCCCTGGCCTAGGAACAGCCAACGACGTTCTCGCCCCGGGCACTGCCCCCTTCACACGAGGCACCCTGGATTACTCTGAGTCATCCCCCGCTAGTTTGCACCGTTCTGGGCACAGCCTTTTTGAGCCTCCGCTAGGTTGAAAATACGAGACCGTTTCTTATATTTATATGTGGACCGTCCCTCCTCTCCCCTCTCGATCCGTTCCCTTCTTCATATCCCATCGACACTTTTCAACTACTGCCACCATGGAGCCCTCGACCCAACCCCAGCAAAATCCACAACCTTATTCGCCCGGCAACGACCGCGTAGCACCTGTGGAACTGTTGCCCAACTCGGCCAGCCCCACCGCGCCGTCCCCACCCGCCAACGAGTGTGTCCACCTTGAATAAACCACGAACCAAGCAGAGAGTTAATCGCATGACAGGTCGCAGCCAAGTGAAAGATCGCCGCAAAACGATAATGAGCATCTGCCCCCCTCATACCAGAAGGTCGTGGGCTCCCCCGTCGCGCCCCCAGTCGCGCAGACCGTTGGGGGCGTCACGGTGACGCCCCGCGAGAGCCTCCGCGAGTCGCCCGCCCTGGTGGAATGCCAGTGGTGTCACCACGCCGGCGTCACTCGTGTCGTGCAGGAAAGCTCCGGTCAAACAGGGTTCGTGTTTTTTTTTCTGTTTTTTAATGCAAATCCGGCCGTCAGAACGTCGCTGGGGAGAGAAACTCGCTAATCATAACTATAGCGTCGCGGCCTTTTTGTGCTGTATCTTCTGCGGCTTCATCGGCGCCGTCATCCCCTACATCGCCAAGTGGTCCTACAATACCCACCACCACTGCCCCAACTGCCAGAAGGTTATCGCCATCCTACCGCACGATGGCGCCCTCGAGGTGCAGCGACCTACGCCCCAACCCCAGGCCAATCGGGCGGGGCCGAACGCAAAATTGGCATGATCTCGTTCTATCTTGTTATGGATTATCTTTACCCTTTTTTTTTTTTTTTTTTTTTTTCTAGTTGAATGGTTCACTCGGATTGTCATGGTTTGGCATATAATACGGTTATAGATACGACATGGGAGGGATATTGGCTGTTACAGGCATGATAGACTACAAATACGATACCCAGTGCTATATATTATATATCTCTCTGGAAACGACACGGGGCGTGGATCGCCGTGAAAGAACTTCCAATAACGCCGCAATACATTCGTTAGGAAACGGCTCTCTAAAAAGGTTACGCCCATTGCTACTCTATTGAAAAAGTAGGAAAGTGGCAAATAGTAAAATACACAATACTACCTCAGGGGTAAAACTGTGAGACATTCAATCCGCCAACATGTCCGCTGACTGGCAGGGTTTTCCCACCAACATTGTTTTTCGACTCTTGATGTGTTCGCAACTATTCGCAACATTTTCCATAGCTCGAACGAACCATCAAGATTTCTTAATATCCATAAGTATCCAGACCATTTTATCAGTCCTCCCTCAGTCTCCATGCTCCATGACCCTACCTCCCCAAAGACAGATACTCACTCAGGACTAGCACTGGACACACATGGCTAGTCCGGAGAAAGCTTTGGCGTATTAGTCTCGGCGGCCGGGGTGGCTTGAATGGTTCTAGACTTGATGACGGGCGGAAAGAGCCGAAAAGTGGTGCTCTCAACTCGGGTGCGAATCATGCATCTCACTGTCCGGGCGCATGGTAGTCGCCATCTTCATCGGAACTATCGTGGATGTTGAGGGTGTCAACGGTGTCGGCAATGTTGTATAACATGCCAGAATACTGCTAGGCACGTACTTTGACTAGACCCTGATGATTCGAAAGTCCGCGGGGCCACGAGATCGTGTTCTGGACATCCCTGACTGGCCATTTATAAACGCACCAAGACACCGCGTTCCCAGCAGCTCACCTACCTTGTGGCGAGAGGCCGAATGAGCCGGGTGGTAGCGGAAGGATGGACGGAGTTTGGCCGCGACCAGGCTGAAGCTCTGCGTTTCGATTCCATTAGGTGCCGTCCAGGCTGTTGGACGTGCACACAACACGATGTTCACTACCTTATTGTTCGCCCCGGTCGCACGGCGCCAATGATGTAGCCCACTCAAGCACGGTGATGTGCACTAGTGTCATCTTGAGGAGATGGCACCTTGGCGGGCGTGAAGGGCCTTGTTGACGGAGAATCTACCAGGTTTGATACCCAAACGAGTTGAAGCCATCTGCTGCAACACGTCATGTCGCTGGCTTTCGAAAAGATACCAGCGAATTTGCGTGGAGCAATAGATAATGGCAGAGATGGGTCTTTTTTCCGTTGGGGTAGTGCGTTCCAAGGCTCGCACCGACTAGTCCCCGAAGCATGCATTGTGAAATAGACCCCTTCCGAAGAGCAGGATCGACATAATGGAGCTGTGAGTGTCTGTCTGGTCAGTTAGAGGCCAGGTAAACCCACTGCACCCACCGCACCACCCACTTCTCCCCCACGCTGTAGCGGATCGTGGCCGGACTCGGTGACAATCTGGCCAATCTACCAAGTGGTGGAGGAACCCGTGCTCCTTCACACTGGATAATGCGTGACCTGTCTCCTTCTGGTTTCGTCACTTCCGATGCATTGGATGTTTGTTTGTCTCGATCCTATCTCTCAGAGACGACGGCACGCCCGCTGAAATTCCATTGGGACCACAGTTACGACTCGGCTATCTTTTCCTCTCTGTGAACCAATGAATATCCGGTGGCCATGGCATCGGCAGAGACCCCTCTGGATGGTGGTTTCAAGTTCTAAGCCACAGACGATGGATCGGGACCTTATGTTTGTGAGTGGCGACGGTACATGCTTCATGCCAATGCCATCGTGCTAGCCGCCGGCAGTTGGGGTTTCATTCTTGCCTCGGCCGCGGTTGGTCTTGCTTTTGCGAGTCATGCGTATACCGAGAATTTCGGGGTAGCCAATCTTTGGGAGTCTAGCTTCGGAGAGCCGAGCACGGCAAACGTCCAGGGGAATATTGGAAATGGAAGCAATGCGCGCGATGTGCTCAGCATGATTCTCCTAGTCAACACGCCGCAGATCATCCAATGGATTGGACATTTCCTGTACAATTTGCTGCTCACGTCGATGATGATAGCAATTGACTACAACAAATACGCCACCAGGAAGAATGCTTTTCGAGTATCTTGGCTCACTGGAAGCTAACGCTCAACATACTACCTCACCGTTCCGTACCTGTATGGGATGCCCTTGCCGGCAGCATCGGCGCTCCTCCACTGGCTGGTATCTCAAAGCTTTTTCTACGTCCAAATCGCGCCACTGGATATCCATGGGAACACCACACTGTATCAGATTGTGACTTGTGGCTCCTCGCCTGCCGCCATCATTCCAGTCATAGCCCTCGGCGGCTTGTTGGTTTTGGGAGGGGTCATTCTCGGGCTGCACCATCTCAGGTTTCTTATGCCTCTTGTTGCTCACTGCAGTGCTGCGATCAGTGCCACTTGCCATCCGCTACTAAGTTCTTGTGTGGATCATGCGTTGGGATTGATTCAATGGGAAAGGTCATCAAGGATCAGCCTTCTTCGGCCGCGGATCTCCAGGGCAAGGATGACAGAGGGCTTGACGAGTAGGAGGTCACTCGATTGGAGCAACACCGGCGACATGACAGCGATGGAGGACATTATCGTTGTGCCTTAACATCAGACGTTGTTTGCGGACCTTCTTTTAGCTGCCGCTATGCGAAGATGGATTTTGTCTTCGTTTCCAACAAAAACAATATTAAATGATTCGACTTTGTTGGTATGCAGGGATCGCTGATTGTTTAAGAAGTTAACCAGAGCTTCAAAATTGAACAGTCAGAGGAATATCTGGTTATCAGGCACGGCTTCTGTGGGAGAACGCCGATCACAACATTTAATAATGCTTGCTTGTGTTGATATTTCGGGCCGTTCTAAGGTTTATAGGATTTGCAAGATTGGGAAGAGGTCAAAACAGAGTCCGCAGGCGAAGACCCGGGACACTAGCCAGCATATTAGAGCAATGTATTCGCTTTTCTTTTGTAACCAAGTAGTTGGATATGTCGGTTACCGTGTACAAAGTGGACCGGTGCCTTTCGGGGCCCGTTACAGCCTAGAGCCCTATCAAGGCATTAGGGTGGCACATTTGATAATTTCTGGGCGCCATAATCGAGAGCTGAAAGAGGAAGATGAGTCGATTTTTTCTTAAACACAAGAGTAGTATTGATTTATGTGTATATTACGGGCATCAGCCACGAATATCGCTACACAGATTCTACTTCAAAAACGCACGAGGACCACCAAAATCTAATTGCTATCCACTATGTAGTGCTGGTCCCGAATACCGACAGAGCCAGGGATTCTAGAAGTTCCATTGATTCAACCAGTTAATCATCATGGCAGGAGTAATTGGTCCCAATGACCGCAGCGTGGGACTGGCCGCCTGGGCGTGTCTTATACTCATCGGCACTGCGAGTGTGCCAGCACCGTCCGCCAAGCCTCGGTAGAAGTCAAGAAGCTTGACCGCCGGTTTGGATGCAATTTCCGCAGCGGACGGCGACTTCTTCTCAAGATCAGTGATCCACTGTCGTAGTTCTATCGGGTGGATTCCGTAATGCTGGCAGATGGAGGTGCATAGCGGCTCCCACGCGGTATCCTGGGGGTTCGACACGTGGAAAACACGACAATGAGATTTTTGTGGCGCAGATCCAGAGGAAAAACCAGTGTTTATTATTTCTAGGATAATGGTGGAAAGTTGATCCTGTATCATGGGTCGAGGAGGTTTTGTCAGCCAAGGGCACAGAGAGGGAGACGTCAGAGAAATGGCGGCTATAGTGAACATACCACAGGGATCCAATTCATCGGTGCCGTTCCCAGCGTGCTAGGAGCTTTGCCCATGGTTTTGGATGTGGCCACCATGGCCGGGAGCCACTCGGATGGATTCCACATGCCGGCCTCGCTCATCGGACCGGCAATCTGCCCTAGCCGAAGGATGGTTGTCGGCAACCCGGCGCGCTGGGAAGCGGCCTGACAGAGGCGCTCACAGACGTGCTTGGCTTCTCCATACCCCGATCGCAATGGAACTTGAGCGTCATCAATCGCAATCTCCGGCACCAGGTCGCCCCGTGCGGCCTTCCAGTTACCCACAGCGCCAATGGACGACATGAAATATACACGGGCGGGGCGGCCACATTGCAAACCGAAATCAATCAAGTAACGGAATCCCCGGACTTGCCCCTCGAAGGAATCGAGCGAGAGATTGAAGTTCATCTGCCACGCATTGTGGATCACTATATCAACAGACCGGATCATTTCGGCGTAGCTCGCTGCCGGAATCCCTAGTCCTTTGTCACTTAGCGAACATTGAAGGAACTTGACCCTGCAAAGGGCTGCTGTATTGAGACCCTTCTGTCTGAAACTCTCTACTTGCTTCCCCGGGGCATCGGAGGAGCGATTCAGACAATACACCGTTGTCACCGTATTGTCATGAAGCAAGTCGTTGAGCAGGTAGCTGCCCAGCGAGCCCGTGGAGCCGGTTAGGAGTACAACATGTTTGCCCGGCGTGCACATTTTGTGTTTGTAATCAATGGGTGCGGAGAGACCCATGGTATACTTGTTGACCAAAGCCTCGATTCTATGGTGTCGAGAGATGGTATGATGACTCGATCCAGGTGGGGCGGAAGAGAGCATGCTTGACAGGCTTTCCACAGTGGGGTGGCCGTAGATCATCTGCGGTGTAGCAATCTGATACCCAGCGCGCTGAAGCACAGCACTCACGTGCATCGTCTGCAATGAGTCAAACCCCACAGTGTAGAAGTCAGTCTCGTCAGTGAATCCAGAGACACCCAGGCAATCGGAGACAACGGTGCGAACGAACACTGTGATACCGACCAGGTCGGCGGGCACGGGGTGGGAATAGTCCTGGCATGCCGGACGCGTATAGACGCTCTCGATCTCGTTCTGATAATCGTGGGCCACTAGCCGGCGCTGGGTGCTGCCTTTTGGCGTCGTACTAAACGGCTTGCTGCGAGAGGCCACGGTGATTCGATTCTTCATGACGCGTCCATGGGAGGGACTGATGCGGTTGGCGTTTTGGATGACGGGCCATACCTTCTCGATGAATGAGTCTAGCGTCAGTTCTGGCCCATCCCAGTACAACCGTGAAGGTTCTAATAGTAGGGCCGTCTGAAATTTGCCTTTTCCGACGACGATCGCTCGCGCTACCAATGGGTGTCCTTCGACCATTTTCTCCATCGTGACTGGATTAAACTTCTCCCCGTTGCTGAAAACTATCACGTCATCATGGCGACCGTGAAACTTCCACAAATTTGCTTTGGTCGGGTGTGGTATGTAGAGGTCATTCGTGTGGTATACTTCTTGATCGGGGAATGTGTGGAAGATCGGCTGGAGGTCAGGCCTAGCTGTGCGATGGATCGTCATCTCGAATAGACCGTCGCCCACAAGGACCATCTGGATTCCAAATGTCTCACTCCATTCAAAATAATTCCAGTCATACCGGTCGAGGGGAACTAGCGAGAGAACAAAGCCACCTTCTGTCATGCCCAAGAAGCTGATGAGAGGGACGCGCTCGGAAACCCGGCGACCTATGTCTGGGGAAAGTGGACCGCCCCCAAAGTATACACGTTTTAGAGCAGCGAGTGCGTCCATGGACTCTGGAGAATTCAACATGTCTTCCAGAATGCACGGTGGGAATAGGGCTGCTGTTGGTTGTGTGTCCCGAAGTACCGAAGTCAAGAGCGTTGTTGACAGGGGGCGGTCCGGTAAGATCACGCATGGGATGCCGTGGAACACCGCCATAATGAGCAAAGAAAACCCCATGAGGTGGAAGAACGGAGTGGTGGCCATAATAAGATCATCGCTACTCAATCGGTCCGGCACCCCAGCGGTACGTCCAGGGGGGATAGGGACGTGTGCGCCATGGTCCAGAGCTCCAAAATAGCCATAGGTGAGACGAATGGGTTTGGGGAACCCTAACCCACGTTGATATGAGTACAGTCCATAGAGAAATAAAACAAGGTTCAGGAATATTGGCTGTGCTTACCAGTAGTGCCTGAGCTATGGGCAATGAAGGCTACCTCGTCCTTCACCTCGCGGAAGTCTTTCGCAAAGATGTACCCTGTTGTTTCGCGGTGTATCATTTCTTCCAACGACGGGATTTCTTTACTCAAGATATTCGGTGCCACGGCTTCAATCTCTTCTGCATTAAAACGACGCTCTGTACTGAAGGCAACACGTGTGCACCCAGTCACCTCGAGTAGACGTGATTGAGCCGCTTGCGAGTTCCGAGTGGACAAAAGCAAAGGCTGTGGAATCATTCGTCAGTATACCTCTGTGACCACCATTTCGATAAGGTCGACAGAACTTACCTCATAAGCAGTCTTGTTACACGCCATGACCATAACTAAGTAACGGACATCATTGGCGCCCAAATATACAAGCGCCTCCATTGAGCTCCCTTTCCTCGATCCAAAGGTATCCTCAATCCACCACGACATGTAGTTCACGGCGTGGGCAAGCTGCTCAAAGTTGAGAGGGATGTAGCCATGGGTATGGTCACTGTTGCGGGGCATGACGCAGACAACTTTGTGCGGACTTTCCACGGCCATTCTGTCAATGACTTGAGGCATAAGCCTTCTTCCAACATCAAGAGCACCCGGTCGGTCCATTGTCGAGAATGGGATTGACTCCCACTGTGGTGTTTAATTGAGGTCGTTGGGATAATTCAGGATGATGTAACACTCAGTAGAAGTAATTAGAAGAATACAACCGGGACACCGTGTTCCCTGGTGTGTGCGATCTGGAAAAATGCGAAGGGATGGATGCCAGAGCGACCAGAACCTAGTGAATATTCTTGCTGGGCCCGCTATTTGGGATCCGACGCAGTGATGCAATAGCGGTGATGTGTCGAGCCTCGAACCGCTTCTTCATTCACACTAACGGGTCACTGTAGGTAGATGCCATCTCGGCCAGATACAGGTTCAAGGGCCACTTGGGCACTCGGATAGTCAATTCATTGGTTAAATATTGGTCTTAAATGCAAAACCACGCTTATTGGCGCTCGACGACCGACAGGGCCATTATCCACATGCGCAGAATGACTAGATGATGTCTGCAGACCCCCCACCCCCCTCCCGGCTGAATCGGCATAACCAGTGGCTGTTATGGCAATTGGCACTTCATTACCACCCCTTGCTTATAATCACACCTACATTGCTGCATCCTTTAGCCTGTTGTGTGGGTCTTGAGAGACCAATCCCCACCCGCATCGGGCACCGTTCCGGTCACACAAAACAAGGTGAGGAGGAAAGTTAATAATGAGAGGAAGATATTTCGGTGGACATATCAATCTGTTTTAACATATCAATGGGTGAGCGTCAGTATCATGGTAGCGAGAGTATAGCAATCCACCAGTGCTGTAACATCCAAAGCGAACATTGGTAATGGTACTTTATTAACTTCTATCCTGACGCCATACTGATCGGCAGTATGATATTCAAGTTTAACGAATTTACTAGACATGCATTGGATTATATTATATATACACAAAACCGTGCGTGTTTTTCCCCATTGTACGGGGATCTCATGCTGGCCAGTTCCACGCCCATGTAGTTACAACCGATTATCATGACGGTCAATTGCATCATGCAAGTAGATGATGGTGCCATTAGTGACATGCCTTCTTGTCATGGTGTTGTTCCCTTTAGGATCTTATACAATAAACCCTCGTAAAGGGGAACTCATTGATCTAGTTTCTGAGACAACCAACGCACTAGATGGGTGACAGTCGGCTGGTTCCAAAATAATGTCGGTGGTACAATCACCTGGAATGTCTGCTGGAGCTTCTGTCGCAGGGCCGCACCCATGACCGAGTCTAGCCCTAGATCTGCCAGAACAGTGTTCGAGTCTACGTCTTCCTCGGACGTAAAATGAAGCACACTCGCAACGCACGCTCGAGTATGTCGGTCTAGGTACGCTGTCCGGTCCGATTCTGACAACGGCAAAGTCTCCCGAGGGCGAGACAATTTGCTAGAGCTTGTCTCGACCGTAGTTACCTGGCGACGGACGGCGATGTCTGTCAGGATTGGCGTGGGAAGAGGCTCCCCTGCATCCAAAAGTCTAGTGCGGACGACCACACCGTGGTCAACTTCATGCTGCGCAAGATATAGCCAGGCAAGAAACGCCTCATAACGGGTGACGTCCGTGATACCTTTGCCGTGCAGCTCCGCCTGGACGAAATCACTATCGCTTCCCATTCCCATCCCTCGCCACGCCGTCCACTGGATGGAAATCGCATTATCTCCGAGACCGCGACGGTGAGTGGCGAGTGTGTCGAGAAAGGAGTTTGCACTGCTGTACGTGCTTTGGCCTGGGAAACCGAACAGTTGCCCGCAGGAGGAGAAACAGACAAAGAAGTCTAGGGTCTTGGGCGGGAACGCTTGATGTAGGGCTAGCGTACCATTGACCTTTGGGGCTAGGACACGGCGTAGAGCGTCTTGGCTAGTGTCAAGCACGACCTGGCTTTCCACGACGCCAGCTGCATGCACAACGCCGAGCACCGGGGGAAGCCCCAGTTGCTCCAAGGCCCCGGTGAGATGATACGCCGCATCGGGCTCACTGATGTCTAGGGGGATTGTATGCACCGCAATTCCACGTTTCTCCAAGTTGAGGATTGCCGATGTCACGGTATGTAGGTCGTGGTTCTCACACCATGCAGACCGAGGTGGCAATCCACGACGCGACACTAGGACCAGCCGTTGGGCGCCACGATCTGATAGAAACTCAGCCACCGACATTCCCAAGGCCCCAAGACCTCCTGTGATCAAGTACGTTCCCTCTGGGCGTGTCATTAGTCCACTTTGTGTATGTTTGCTTTTCGCTTCGAGACCACGAAGCCTGGCTGTTCGGGCTACCCCATCCCGGATCCGAATCACATCCGCTCCCTGGACATACCTCATCGTGGTGAGGGGGACCATGGGCTCCTCGTGGTCAATCATCCCGCCAAAGTGGTCCGGATGTTCGCTGGCAAGAATTCGACTCAGTCCGACAAGCGAGGCGTGGGCAAGTGCCGAGGCTGTTTCGCCCTCTGCGGTCTTTATGGTAAGGGCGAACACTCGCGATCGCAAGGATGCCCGAACAATGAATTGTACAAGTTGTAGAAGCTGCCAAGCAAAGTGTTCACTCGCCATAGCCACCTCACTCACAGAATGTACCTCGTCTGGTATAAATACCACGGCGGTGTCCGGGTCATCGAGCGGAAGATCAGGCCGCTTGTCTTTCAACTCATCTGGCGTTGGGACATAGAATAATCGAACATTCTTAGGGAGCATCCTGGTGCACTCCATCCGGTCAGGGCGCTGGGATACAACAACTATTTGGTGAATGGTAATGGGATTTTCCGCAAGATGGACCGGAGGCCAGGCGATCTGGTGCACAAGACGGTCTATGGTGCGCCCTGAATCCCGTGTCCCCTCAAAGCCCGAAAAACGCATACCGGATAACTTAAGCAGTACCATCCCCTGCTCACTCGCAATGTATACATGGCACGAATGTTGAAAGGCGGGATCCTTCTGCACGTAGACCCACCCTGTTTTGGCCGGAGGTCCATCCGTGAGTACATCCACTCTCGCGATGTGCGCGGGCATCCGCAGCCCCGGTTCTTTGTAAAAAAAGGTTGACCCAATCGATGTTGCCGCGTCCATGAATGGGGCCCAGGAGGATGGGGTAGACTTGTCGATACCAGGGGCAACATCAACCCGCGCAAGCATCTCCTCCGAGTTCCCATAATGCTCGAGAACGGCCCATGGAAATCCCATTGCCGAGACACCGCACCCTGCGAGATATTTGATGGTGAAATCATCATCCAACTTTTCTGCGTGGCTGATAGTCACGGGTATCCTATGGTTTACACTTTCCTCGGAAGCTTCCAACAACGTCTTCGTCCGCGCGCTGGTATGTGTCACCCAGGCCTCGCCTTCGGCCGACAGGTCCTGGGCGAGACGAGACATGAGATTCACCGCGTTTTCATCCACCACAACCTGTATTTGCCGTGGATTGTTAATCACAACCGGGGACCTGAGGTCTACCTCCTGTAGTGACCGGTGACCAGTCGCTGCAAGAAATGTATTGATCAGGCACGCCGCGGGAACGATCTCACTATCCATGACTGGGTGGCTGCCTGGAAAGGGTTTCGTATCCATATCCAGCGAGGTGGAATACACAATGACGTTTGTGCCGGCGACTGCCAATCGCCTACCAAGTAGAGTATGCGAGTTTAGGTCCTGGGCGTCTACTGGCGTGCGTGTCACTATCTCCCGCGACGTTCTTAGAAGCGGATTGTGGGTCCAGGGATATTTTGGAACCGCTCGTGTCCAAGCCCCCTTCATGAGCGCACCCCAGTTGATCGTCACCCCGCTGCAGTGCAGACGGCCGATGGCTTGAAGGAGACATCTCTCTGCGGGCTGTCCCCGACGAAGGGTGGGAATCACCGCATGCTGGCCGACGTTGCTGTACTGGATGGTGTCACTGATAGAGTGTGCTACAATGGGGTGGGTCGAGACTTCCATAAAAACTCGGTAGCCATCCTGGATGGCGGCGCGGACAGTTGAGGTCAGACGGACGGGCAGGATCAAATTCCTCACCCAGTAGTCAGCGTCACGGGGGTCTTGACCTCGGGGGTCGGCGAGGGAGGTGGAATACAGCTTGATGCCTGGTTTTGTCGGCCGAAGTTCTTGGTGAAGAGCATTGTGCACAGATCCTCGGAGTGTATGGAGCAGGGGACTGTGGAATGCAATATCCGTTCGGACGGTGAAGGTATCCACACCTTGCTCGCTGTACTCCCGACCCACACGATCAACGGCCTCCTTGGTCCCTGAGATGACGCAGGACGTTGGGGAGGAATCAATGGCTGCCACGACATCAATTCTCCCCTCGAGGGTCCGATGGACCTCCTCAAATGATCTATTGATGACCACCATACCGCCCTGTCCCATGACGCTCTGGTATAAGACGGAGCGTCTGGTGACAATCAGCATCCCTTCTTCGGCCGTCAAGGCACCAGCAACAACACTGGCCGCAATCTCACCCACCGAGTGGCCGAGTACAGCCTGGGGAAAGACACCACGCGCGTGCAAGACCGCGCTGACTCCTATCTGGATCATATACGTCAGAACCTGGACCTTGTCAGAGCTCCAATCTCCCTCTCGGAGCCACTCGGTCGGTGTCTGTCCAATCTCGCGCTTGGCCACTTCGTCCAATGGCTGCACGGCCGCTTGAAACGCACAGTCACCTATGAGTTCCTGTGCCATCCCAGTCCACTGTGCGCCATGGCCGGAGAATACCCACAACACTTGCCGGGGCGTATCCCCCAAGACCCGATCCTCCGTAACCCACGCGTGCCTCGACCCATTGCCCATACATTCAAGAGTCTGTATAGCATCCTTCAGGTCAGTTACAGTGATGGCAGCGCGAAACGCATGATGGCTCCGTCGCGTCGCTAGGGTGTGACACATGGCCGCAATGTCTAATTGACCCCTTTGTTGCATTAGCCATTGCTGCAATGACTTGGCGATGGTAGGCAGGACCCGTTTCTGTGGGGATGAGAGGAGTATCATATGTGGGCCCGGGCCGTCATCACCGCTGTCCGAGATAGAGGGTGATAGAGCCTGAAGCGGGGCCTCCTCGACAATAGCGTGAGAAACAGTTCCTCCGTATCCGTAAGAGCACACGGCTGCCCGCCGAGGGGCCTCTGTGTCCGGCCATGGTATTGGCTGGCGTACCACCTGGAGACCCGACTGGGCCCAGTCTATAGAGCTGTTCAGAACGTCGAGGTTGGTCTGCGGTGCAAATACACCCTTCTCGACCGTTAGTATGGCCTTGATAAGGCCGAGCACTCCGGCCCCAGCTTCAAGGTGCCCGATGTTGGGCTTGAGAGATCCAATATAGCACGGGCCTGTGGACTCTGATCTCTCAGCACCATAGACTGCGGCCATGGCGGTGATCTCGGCGGGATCTCCGATTTTGGTCGAGGTAGCATGCGCCTCCACGTACCTGATGGAATGGGCGTCGATATCACGGGCAGCCCGAAGCGCCGACCTGGCTACCATTTCCTGGGCCCGAGGACTGGGTGCCATTATCCCCGGTGTCTTACCGCTGTGGCCCACGGCGCTCCCTTTGACCACCGCATGGATATAATCTCCGTCTTCTATCGCCTGAGCAAGGTTCTTGAGAACCACGGCTCCCGCACCCTCTCCTCGCCCGTATCCAGCTGCACCGTCATCGAAGGACCGACAGCGCCCGTCTGCGGAGGTAACTCCAGCGACATCCAGGACTCGCGTCAAACCCGGCCCCCCTATCATGTTCACACCTCCAATGAGAGCGACCTGGCATTCGTTCTCGATGATCGCCCGCGCCCCAAGATGCAGCGCCACCAGGGAAGAGGCACACGCCGCATCAATCGCCATACTCGGGCCTATCAGTTCCAGGTGATGGGATATACGATTGGGAACGCCGCAATATGCCGTTCCAATGCCCATCCAGGCGTCAATGGCTGGTAAATCTTCCAGGACCACGCGTGAAAAGTCCGCTGAGTTCACGCCCCAGAAGACGGCGGCATTGGTGCCCTGAAGCGACTCTGCGGGAATACCTGCATCTTCTAATGCCTCCCAGAGAACCTCCAGTGACACGCGCTGCTGCGGATCCATCTGCTCGGACTCTTTGGGGGAGATTCCGAAGAATTGACAGTCGAAGCTTTCGATGTCCTCCACAAAGTAACCTCGGTTGGTGATCTGCTCGAGTACCCGGGCGTTATAAATCCCTCGTCCATGGTAAGGTGCCCAGCGTGTGGCAGGGATCTCTCCACTGGTATCTCGTCTGTCCAAGAGGCACTTCCAGAGCGCCTCCGGGCTCCGAATGCCCCCGGCCAAACGGCAACCGAGGCCCACGACGGCAACATCGGTTGATTTCTCCTGCCGACCATGTCAGTATGCTCGCTTCGCGTGAAGACCTTGGCCCCAAGAGTCGAACTTACTGATGGACTGGTTTGAGACATTTCCGTGCTCAACATGAAATCCGAGCTTCCGAAACATGAACTGGCCAGAGAGGACATGGCGGATCGAGCGGAGTCTGGATCATGACTAGGAGCGACGGGATGGTAGCGAACGCCCTGATTTTAAATAAAGACTACGCGAAGCCCTCTCCCTCGGCCGTTGGACACGCAGAGGTATGGGAAATCTCGTCCTATGGTCTCTACAGCCATTCACGGCAACCTTTCCCGTTTGCGGTCATCCGTTCTTCCCTCTTTGAATCTTCGCTCGCCAAGTATCTAACGAAATTCACGGCCCACTTACGCAGCGTCTCGATCTACCCACGGACCCACTCGAAGCATATAATAGCTGACCCCCCCTTGGCATCATCTGGCTACCAAGGGAGTTAATTGTAGGAGACGCAAAATTCACGGCGTCGTTTGTATCCAGTGCTTCCCTGCTTTCGCATCTAAAATAGACTATTTTTGACGAGAGGGTGGATGTCAGCTGTCTGTATACACAACGCAAGGAGTCGGTCGACAGGACTGTAAGGGTCGGGTGTAAGGGTCGGAACAGGGCGTTTGACTGGCCTTGGCAAGACCCAAACATGATCAAAATCTTATTACAGGAAGTAAAGTAAAGGAAGTGCGAAATAGTGCGAGCCATTAGTCTGTTTACCTCGCCATATTGGAAGAAGTCAACCGGATTCCGGCGTGCGTAGTTCGGGTGGGTACAATAAGTGATACATCATCACCAGTCAATCCAAGAAGCGATATATCATGCCTTGTGCAAGGATTGTCCAGACCACGATGTCACTCTGATCTACGCTGGCTAGCCAGCGATGCGGAATCTAATCTTACATCCACATGAACAGAACTCAACGAAATGGCGAAGCCCGGCCATTGGTTTTTTATTCACTAGAAATAGGCGGCTGCATGGCCAAATATTATTGGGAGGACCCACTCGAGACCATCACATTAGTGATCTCCATCAGCCCTAGACCCACCGGCCTGCCCCACATCACACAAGGTCTCAAATCATTGCTGCACTCCCCTTCCAGCAGATCGTGGGCTCCTGTCTAAGGGCCAACGCCAGCATTATCAGAGATGCCAGGGACAACCCGTTCTAACTTGGCGAGGAGCTCCCCCCAGATCTTTCGCTGCGCCTGCCCACCCTCTTCACTCTTGACAAATTCCGACAAGGCCCCCCTACCGCTGTAAGCCCACCGATCATGGATGACAGACACAATATTGGATTCACTCACTCGTCAATCTGACAATCGTTGAGGTATTGGCCATGTCCCTCCAGCCCGAGGCTCGCGGCATGTACCAGCGTCCGGGCTCCCTCCTCCGCCGTCCGCGCCAGAAGTAGCTTCATCACATACAGCTGCCATCCCCAGATCCCAGTAACCTCCTTGACGAGACCAGTTGCGCAATATCCCGGCGTGAGAGCATTGATCACAACACGGGGATTGTGGCCGGCTGTCTGCGCGCTCAGTTCGCGCATACTCAGGAGTACCAGCAATTTGGAAACGTAGTATCTGTCAAGCGATCGTTCCATCAGCTCACACGTCCCCGTACAATCAAGTGGGAGGGAGCGTGGTTACCGGTCATTGGGGCCAGCTGAGGTTTCGGCGCGTAGCGTGGCAAATGTATTAGGGGTCTTCCATTGGGGCACCGTAGACATGACATGACGGTCTGAGGAGACAATGCAAAGTCTAGGTATCCGTCCTGAGGCACCGGCTGAGCGGCGCAGGACGGGTAGGAGGAGCAATGCGAGCAGCAGGGTGCTGACCACATTGACGGTGATTGTACTCTCGTCCTCTTCTGCCAGGTAGTACTCTTGGGCAATTTTTCCCGCGTTGAGCAGCACCACGTCCACCCGGGGAAGGGCCGCCACGGCCTCTGCGAAGGTCTGGACGGATGCATACCTCTCCATGTCAAGATCAAAGACTTGCACCCGGTCGCCTCGGCCGGTGGATTGCTCCAAATCCTCGACGAATGCTTCGCCTGGTGACGATCTCCGAACACCTAGGATAATATGGGATGCATTCAGAGTGAGGAAGTGGCGGGCGGCTTCCAGCCCCAGACCCGTGTTGCCGCCGGTGACTACGATGGTCTGTCCAGAAAAGTCATGGGAAGGGATCGGCAGCCCGACGAACAATTGCGAGTATAGGAACGAAGGCACTGACATTTTTCATCAGCGATAACCTGCCTAAGCTAGAGGGGGAAGTGGTGTTGGTGAGATCACGGTGGCCTGCTGAGTGACAAAGAAGACAAGATGACTCTAATGAAACCGTGTCTCGCCACAAGTACAGCCTCTGAGTGTTACCGATGATCCGGGTATTGGCGTGGATCAGGACAGGGGATCCACAGGTGACTTCTACTGTCTTCGTACTATACAGGGTTCGGCGATCGAATCCGAGCTGGGGGCCCACCCATGACCATTAACCCCACACGTTGAGGGTAGCCTTGGCGAGAGTAATTGGTGGCTAGTGGGAAACCAGATATGGTCGCGCCCTTCCCTCTGGGCAGGCTGGGCAATAGCAGCGCGAGCATTGCTTTCTTCTTACTGTACAAACCATATTCTATCAACCGAATCTCCAAAGTCCGGTGGTCTCACCACCATTTCCGGCTACGGAATGATCAGTACGCCATATGTATCAGTCGAGAAACATCCCGTATCGTGCCTTGGAGAAGCGATTTGTATTTTCCGCTGGATTCTTTCAACTACTACCAAGCGAAGGGATCTTTGCTGATACACAGAAGCTAGGGGATCACGGCGGATGCGTTCTAGAGTCGTCGCGGCCACAAGACAATGGTCCTTCTAGAGCAACCTTTCCTTCGACCGATACTAACGTGATATGCCCGAGTGGGCCTGCGGTAGCAGTGGGGGATATGCAGTACTATCAAGCAAGCGGATATTTGGTTGCATATCAAGTCTAGGCCCAATGTATCTATTGCTCATGTAAGGGAACCTTACGCAGTCTCACTTTTCAATAGAGAGATTAAGACCTACCCAACACTTGGTGCTTCCATTTTTCAAACCACTTTTCTAGGAGACGCATATGGTTATCCGCAATGAGAAATATTGAAGCCACCATATACTATGGCAATATGCCACCGCTCGACGGTGCCCAACCCTCCCTATAGTTAAGCAGATATCATTTATTGCCTGTAGATGGCGGAACCTTGCAGTGTCCGGAGAAAACTATATCCAGCGGCTTTCGTTGGGTGGCCCTGTTTACCAATATATCTCAAGAGACAAGGGACTGTCTGACCACTGGCTCATGTCGATCGACAAATACGGTCCCATCAACCTCGATCTCGATCTCGATCAAATGGAGAAATATTTGCAGTTGACAGGATGGCAAACCTTGTTCAAAAGTAAGGGGTGGCTATCGTTGAAGTGGGCATATGACCTATCATCCCTTTTAGACCCTTTCCCTTGGTCTCCGCTGTGTATTCAGGGCGAGACGTATATCAACGGGGTTCGTTTGCGGTCCAGACACTGCGAAGAATATTTTGAAAGACACTTCGCAGTAGCACTGGCGACCAACCCTTACAGGGCTTCCGGCACCTGGACCCAAGTTGGTGGTATGGCGAATATTAGCAGCGCCTTAGGCGAAATTAACAGGCATAGGATTCAAGACTGGCCATGAATGACCTACGGTTTGATCCACTGTCTACAGGGGTAATTGCCATCGCGATATCTGTTCTAACTCCTATCCTCGAACAATCCCTCCGTGCCGCCTGGTCACTTTTCACTCTCTGTACACCTTGAAGAAAAATATATTGATTTCATAGTGGATACAGAAGACGGTGTGAGTCATGACTTTTGTGTACATAGTGATGAATATATAGGGGCCGTGGCAATATATCTCAGTGAGCTACAGCTTGCTCTGCGGAGACCACCTGTGGTACCAGATAGAGATATCCGCGAGTGTTGACTGTGTCGCACCGCTAAATCCGCGCTATATACTATAATCTACGAACCATTGGGAGTGGTGAGGGGCGGAATTGCTGTAGCCGCCCCACCTACGCGATCTGCCCCGAGGCGAGAAAAACACAGCCCTATATCGCAGCAGATGATCAGGGAATATCGTAACCACTGAAGACTCGTTCCGCCCCTGTAAGCTCCCCCTCTATTGTCTGCCAACGCTGCATGGAGCGCGGCCGGATATCCACCTGGAATGATTTCGCACAGCGAAGGAACCCATCCGTATATCCCTCCGCCGGGTCAATGACGATCGGAATGGGACGCCCGTCGGGACCTCGCTGGGGTGCAATGTCAAAGGCCCACAAGATCTTGGCCAGGGCGATGAAGAACCCCCGCTCTGCCAAATGGATGCCGGGACACAGGCGACGACCGGACCCGTAGCCGTAGTGGTCCCGCTTCTCGTAGTCGGCCGAGGCGGCGTACACGGTGGCGAGCGCGGTGCGACCGGCATAGCGGCTGGGATCGAACTCGTCAGGGTCTTCATATCGGGCAGGATCATGATGAAGTCCCCACACATTGAGGATGATAGACGAGCCGGCAGGGATAGTCTGCCCGTCGACGGTCGTGTGGGATTTTCGGGAGGCGTGTGGGAAGGCCGTCGGCAGGACGGGTCGCCAGCGCATGGTCTCCTTCATCACCATCGCAACATAAGGCAGGCGGGGGTAATCCGCCCAGGTAGGGGAACGGTCCTTCCCAATGAAGGTATCGATCTCCGCCTGGGCCGTGTGCTGTGCCGTCGGGTATCGGGCCATGGCCTGAATGAAGACGATGAGCATCGTTGACAACGTGTCCGAGCCTCCTTCGAGTAGATTGCCCACCATGAGCTCGATCTCGCGGCGTGTGAGACGGAGCTTTTCCTGCTTGTCCAGAATGGAGTCCAGATAACTGGTGACGGCTTGGGGCCTCCCATGCTGTCGCCGCCTCATGACCTGGTCGACGAGCGGGCGGTAAACAGCGTTCATCGTTCGGGCGACATTCTGCGCCCGCGATCGCCAATGACGAACAAACCGCTCAGGAAGCCACCGGAGGCTAGGAAATACATCAAGCAGGGTGGTGGCACCCGGCTCAAAGATTTCAGACAGGCCGTCCAAGACTTCGTATAGACGGCGCATATGAATGGCATCTGGAGTCGGCGTGCGGATTCCTGTCACTGCACCACAGTTACCGCTGTGCAATGAGGACTTCAAGAGCCGGTTGCTTCCTACCTAGACACATCATAACACTGTTGGAAAAGCGCTTGCAGTGACGCATAAAGTCCTCGGGGTGAATGCTCAGGTCGCGAAGGAGCTGGACCGCCTCGGCGTCTTGCAGCTGGACATGGTCATGCTCACACGCGCGCTCGTTGAAGTACCCATGGTACAGGCGGCGTCCCCGTCGCCAGCGCGGGTCCGTGTCTAGGAACATCAGGTGGTCGCCGTGCATTATATGGTGGTCCGCGATATAGAACCGGGGTCGGTCGCTAAAAATGGCGGACTGCTTATCGATTAGTTCCCGGACGAGCGCCGGAGAACTGAGCACAACGGCCGTCCGCGATCCCAGCTTAAGGGAGAAGATAGGGCCGTATTTAGCTGCCCATTGTGTGAATCTGAACTTGGTCAGCTTTGGCTGTAGGTTTGGCTGGGTCATTATTATTAGTCACTTGAGATGCGCGCCAGTTGTGGGCAGCTGGTGCAAATTGCCAATGATTGGAAGACATGGTGGTCCTGTAGACTGTCAGGCAGGGTGGAAGCATAGCCAAATGGAGAAAGTGGTCAGGAAACTGACCGGGGGGGAGATTGGCGCTGCGGAGTCCAGGAATGAAGCTGGAGCCCAGTGCCACAAGAACCGAGAGCACCAGTAGGGCTCCAAATATCACAATGATGTCAGCCATGGCTGGTAATGCTTATAACCTGATCTGCGAATGTCTTGATGGTTCTTTCCCAGTTATTTATATCATGCGCCTGCCTCTAATCCAAGGTAACCAAGTTTTGCTGGTGACAAAATGGTATCATGTCTTGTTGGCTGTCATTTTGCCTCTATCCCTTACATTTATCCTGATGTAGACTATCACCTACTATAATTAAATCAATACCTAGATGGTACGTAGAGAACTGACTCTTTGGTCAGCATACCTCAATATGATCTAGCTTCCGAGTCGACTTCTCATCCATTTGCATTATGAAGGTTTACCCTGTCTTCCTTCGCCTCTTTTCCGCTCTTCTCCACTCTTTTCAGTCCGTTTTTGATTATGCTTCCTGGTCCTGGATCATGATATTCCAGTTGTAATTAAGATGGCCGGCTAAGTCCCTGAGATTATATTTTGTATGATTGTCGACTCACCGCGCTGCAAAACCAAGATCGCGAATGGCGTTCTGTAAAGCCCGCCTGTATTCTAGACCTGCTCACTGGTCCGGCTTCCTTGCCTTGAGTACTCCGTGCGGATTGTTGAAATGCAGAATTCAGAACCCCCTCTCTAATTGCTTTGATTGACCACTTAGATTGATTAGGTGGCCCAGGAGACGTGCGAAAATTTTTACAGGTAGTCCGAACCTTTGCTAGGACGAACAGCCTCCTTCCGCATCCTTATTACGCACACGGTTGGGTGTATACAATCCGCTAGTTTTGTTGTATGTTGGGAATATCAGCCTGATTAAGATGCCGTTCGGCTTCGTAGTGTGGTCGTTGACATTATGCACCTTGGCTCCACCAATAGAAAAAGTCAAATTTGGGCGCAGTCCACAGGCTCAACTATCCAATTGGCAGGGTTACAGAATCCACCAAGGGTGGATATTAATCTTGGCGGTTCTTGCGCCCACGGATGGATGATCGTCCTTGCTTGGCACCACAACTACCTGATTAGGAGATAATGTGCATGTCTGGTTACTCTACAGCGCATTACAGCGGACACTATAGACACCTGGTCTATACTGATATCTCCGTGAGATTTACCCTGTATATCAACCCCCAGATATTGTTTTCTACATCCGTGATGTTAAAAGTGGAAGTTGTTTGATACAAGTATCCAGGTGATAGGTAGAATGCAAATATATATATTATGAGTATGTATTTTATCTTGACCATTTGACCAAAAACATTTATTAGTGAGTGGTACGGTCTTGATCCGATAGTATACTGACAACTTTCCTACCAAGTAACTGCAGTAGTATAACTAAATCATTACGCCAAATAGACAGGACTGGGTGGCTGATGTCTCAATAGTTAACCACGGGCTCTCTGAGCCCTACGGCGAATAGAAATCTTAATGTCACCGTGCCTATTGTCAATCCATGCTACCAGGTCGTTGACTACAACAGTGAGCACCGCGAGGTGATCACAGCGCAGTGAATAAATTCTTTGTTTTTAGAGAAATCCCGCATGTGGCCTAGGTCCGTCGCCGGTTAACACCATCAATACCACGCATGGGAAACTTGTTGCCGAGCGAACCAACTTCACCGAAGAAATCAACAGCAGGTTAGTGATCGAGGATACTAGACTTGACATGCAGGAAGGTAGGGCTCCTGGGGGAGTCTCTGGGATGAGCATTATTGTTGCTTACCAAGGATGATTAGATCTATAATAGAAACACAATATTTGATCCAATATGCTGTTTATCTATTGAGAGATATTGAGAGATTGTGGATGCAGTGATAACGAAAATTGAGAGTGTTGAAAATGTGATCTACATGGAAACAATCTGGCCAGACAGCAGGAAGAAATACACCGAATGGTAAGACCTTTCAATATGACCCTATTTACTACATTCTGAAACTTGGGGACATAGCCCAGGGCAGTGAAGTCACAGCAAATTGTCTAGCGAGAATCTAGGAGAGGGGAGACTGAGGTCAAACTAATGTGTTTTGGCTACTTTTCTGCGTAGGGTCATTTGAACGAGTGACTAGAGAAAGCTTGCTCCATCCAACAATTGTGATATCTGGGTGATAGCTCAAGGTAATAGCTGAACCGGTCAGCCGAGTTCTCCCAAGCTAATAGTCCATGTACACTTAACAAATGCGTCAGATCCATATTCGTTAGACACCATCGACAACATCTATGTAGCCGATGTGCGTTGGCATCAGTAGATTAAGAGCACGAAGCCGAAATGTATTTGTAGCTGCTAGCCCTACATTAACCCTACAGAGTTAATCAACAAGTCTATTCCCCCTCTGTTTCTAGTTTATAGAGATGTCTCGCATCCGACCATCTCTTATAGCGGTAAGTATATGTAATAGCGCGATTGCCTAGGGGGAAGGGAGTATTATTTCCGTCGGTGCTGGACGAGGGCATAGGCCCTCTGATTCATTAATAAAAAGGCCCCTTGTCCAAGACTCGTTTCCCCCCCAAGAGCCCTACTAACTAGCCCTGTCTGTTTGATAGTGGGGTTATGTTTCGGATTGTCAAGTGCCGTCGGGAGTGTGCTATCGAGTCCCGAAACAATCAGGCACCCCGCAGTCTTCCTGACCTCGGCTGTTGCAAGCCGTTATGAACACGGCAGATACAGTCAAATGGTGGGTCAACAAAAAGATCGAGGATGCATATATATTTGTATGATGAAATGACGGGAATTTGATACTCCCATCGTAGGTCAATAGCTGCCTGTATAATCATATGCCGGAGATGGGGACTTTTAAGACTAACTCCTCTGTCAGTACATCAGGTCCGTGTCATATGACCTAATAATAACAAGATAATCAACATATCTGACAAAAATACGGTTAGGATGTGCTCTGACCATCAATGTTCTTACAATATAACTCTGTTCATTGGTAGTTTCGTAGCGGCTTGATGGCGGGGCGGGGTGGATCCAATAATCCTGCTCGACTTTTCCACCGTGGGAGGATCAAAAGAGTTGAGCGGGGAAGGGAAAGGGTAGCCAGGGCGCCTGCCACTCTCCTTGAATCTCACCCGCCTCCACAGCACGCCCATCGTCTATTGATTCAAATTCGAATATGAATCCTTTAATTTCGGCAATGATGGAATCGTGAAGGTATCCCCGCGATTGATTAAACCCACAAATCAATTTTCCGTACCATATTATGACGTATTACAGCGGTTACCTTGATGACGGAGACCTATTGGTAGTGCTGGGGGCGTGTTTATGATACGAAGTGCTTGATCTGCCTTGCTGGACTTCTTCAAAATGCCGAACTGAAGCTATAGTTTGAAATATTCCATCCTGGTGATAATTCGAATACTGTGCAGTAGTCCATGCACCACTACCACTCTTTAGAAACGGAGGGAATACCGCTGCTACCCCTCAAACGCACGCCTACCCATGTATCAAATATCACTGGATTGATCGCTCTGTGTTATGCATCATGTCGCTCCGGCAGTAGGTTGGCCTCGGCTGCTCGCTTAGCGAATCCCGATGTTATACTTTCAGGGCTGAATACCAGGCACCTAAGCCTCGGTGTCTAGAGCTTCATTATCCAGTATGAAGATATCGGCAGCCGATTCAAAATTGACGTTTCAAGATCAAGATGGTAGAGGTCTCTGGCATAACACAGTCAGGATTAGTCCCGAGGGTGTTGAATGATGAAAAAGATAAATTGAAGCGCCCCCAGCTCAGGTCGACTCTCCATCCATCGTGCTGTTAACAATCCGTTTGGCAAACTTGCAGCTACACGAAGAAGCTACCCCAAAATATGAAGACGTCAATTCTGTTGGGAGCTGTTGGCCTCGTGGCCTCGGCGGTGGCGTTTCCACAGTACTTGGAACGTCGCCAGGCCTGGGAACCTCAGGAGTGGATAGTCCCCGGGCCTGGAGACTGTAAGTTGATACACAACAGAGGAGGGAAATGATGATTTTCTCGCTGACAGGTGATAAATGCAGCTCGCGGACCCTGTCCAGGCTTGAACACTCTGGCAAACCATGGATACCTTCCTCGAAATGGTAAAGGGATCACCTTGGACATCCTTAAAGATGGCATGCTCGACGGGTTCAACATCGAGCATGCCGACGCGGTGATTCTATTCTCTCAAGCAATCAGGACTAGTCCAGATTTCCCTGGGGCGAAAAGTTTTGACCTTGCCGATCTTGGCCGCCATGGTATCTTGGAGCATGATATTAGTCTTAGGTGCACCTTACTGGCAGTGACTTGACCTTTATGCTCTTGCTAACACTTGGCCATTGAACAGCCGCTCTGACGAGTATTTCGCTGACCCAAACCCTTTCAATGAAACTGTTTGGGCTGAGACAGCTTCGTACTTTACCACACCAATGATCACTGTGGACCAGCTTGCCAAAGCCCGCATGGCCCGGCTCGCGACGTCGAAGAAGGCAAATCCCGAGCATGATCTATCTCAGCTCGCCGACGGTTTCAGCTGGGGTGAATGTGCCTCGTTCTTTGAGATTATGGCAGATGGAACTACTGGCACTGTGGACAAGAGGTTCATCGACTACTGGTTCCGTAAGTCTACCCCCTGCGGAAATGGGGTTGTCTATTCCATCAATACTAATGACTCTATCCTGGTAGGGAATGAACGCATGCCAACTGAGATTGGCTGGCAGCGACGTAACGTCACGATGCGGTCATCTGAACGTATAAAGTACACTCTGAAGCTTATGAAGTCTGCCGGCGTCTAAGGTCAAGACACGGAAGTGGATGCCCACCGTCGCTCACTGTTTCAGTGGTCCCAGGCCTCCCGGTTGTGAGAACGCAAGGTGTGTTCCGAACCTTTGAACAGCCTTTACGCACCAGTGAAGGATTGGCTGAAATCATACGGACCTGAGCTACCCAGGGTATGGGCATCTGGTACTCTAGTAACTTGTTTATATATTTGTCATGTAATCTGGATTTTCTTGGACAAACTAGTGGACGGAATCAATGGTGTCTGGCGGACCTGGCCCGAGTAAAGCAAATTAGCTTCGATTCCCGCACGTTACAAGGCTCAACAGCCTGGAAGAGGACCACAGATACTTTCGGCTCAGCTGCTGTAAAAAGCCCCGGACCCTACCTAAAGCGAAGATGCCATAACATCCTGATTAATTAGTGGTCCCGTATTTTTGGCCCTTTTAGATGGCCTGGATGTGACCTAGTAACCAGGCATCCCCCGCGGGTGTCCAATACGTTCCTGCCATTTCAACCCTCGGCTCATCGTCACTGCAAATTTAATGGCACGATGAGGTCTCTGAACTCTTTTACAGTGGTTAACAAGGAGCCCCTAGAGTCTATAAGCTAGTCGAACCGGGCCACTTGGATGGATTAGACAAAACTGCATCAAAAAATTCACAACTTCACTGCCAACAAAGTTTTTCTTTTTGTCATTTCTGACCGTCCCATAATAATTACGTCAAATCAAGTCACTATGACCAATCCTCGCCGCTCTCGCCGGATTTCCGGACGCGAGCCGTCGCCAGTTGCAGACCTTCCCCGTCGGCGCGGACGTGCGATCCCTAGCACCCCTACCACGTACAGTAGTCCAAACGCATCCGAAATTACAACGCTCTTGGACCGTGTAGCACCTGTTTCGGTGTCCCCCCAGCCTCGGAGGTTTACCGAGCAAGTTGTGCAAATGGAGGCTTCTTCCCCCAGCAGTTCGGAAGAGGAAGAGGTTTATTATGATAATACCGACTTTGATCGTGACAATTTCGAGCCGGTTTGGTATCAGGGGCAGGGATACCCGGGGGAAATCCCAGAGGAAATATTGGAATATTTCCCAGAAGGTGGGCCTGATAGTAAGTTGCGGTAACATAGCAGACCGACGCACTATTTCCTGAAGCCTAACGACACCTAGGGTTGCATGCACAAATGGTCGGGCCTGCCCGCACGATATTCCATTTATGCGGGCGGCCGGATATCGTCCGGCTTTTTGACGACCCGGCATATGTCCTGGAAGATGAGATTGTGCTGATCCCATACGGATGCGACCCCGCTGCATTCCTCCTGCGCCGGTACGAGGAAGAGGGGAAGGTCCCCATGAAAATACCTATAAATCTGCAAGTAAGAACCGTGGCAGCAGTTGCAATTCCCCGCCAGGTAACTACATCCGTGGCGACCCAGCGGCTTATTGATTTATTTCCCAACTGCCGGCCGTTGGGAATTAACGAGGCAGTAAGATGTGTTAAATGCAAGCATCACAAAGACCCGGAAAGGTTTGTATTGAACGCGAAGAGGCTTTTCGTCGACGGGCTTCTTGAGAAGAACGGGCTCATGTTCATGGGCTTATCTCTGTCCAACCTGGAACGGTGCCTGAGTTTTTTTGTGCCAGTGGTCTGCTCGACTAATTACGATAATGAATTTGGCCCGGGTATGTGTACCACGGACCAATTTAAATTTGCAAAGAATTATGCCGGGGTTAATGGAGCGATCATGGTTTTTGATAAACTTGATGAACGAGATTTGCAAGTTTGGAGGCCAGCGCTTGATGCATGGAACCGCCTGACTGCGACCTGGCTGAAGTTGCCTCTGAGCAACATCAGGCTTCCGTCCGAATCCAGGACGGCCCAGGTTATTGTTGGGCCCACATCATGTGACCAATCAAATGCACGCAAAAACAGGAGGTTTACAAGGCAGAACGACGACACCCAATTTGCATTCGTGTCGTACAAAGGCTGCAGTCAATTGCGGAAGAGCCTGTTGGCAATTATTTTTATCACATGATAACGGAGTTGATGTGCAAGTACTGCCAGCCCCAGAACAAAGCAAAGCCTGGAGTTGAGAGAGTATTCATATACCTAGTTTACTTGCTGGTTGTTTCTGTATGATTACTTTTTTGTGACTTCAAAACTTGATTATGGATTGCTTACACTCTTAATTATTTCAAGAAAGTTCAGAGTTTAAACCATCGTAGTCTTGACCCTTTGCTCTCATTTTCTAACTAGGACATGTGTATAATCTTTTTCTATCATGATAGCAAGAAATTTCGCTATTAATGACAGACAGAGACGCCCCAGCAACAGATCAGGGCGCCTGATGAAAATCCCCAGACATGGCCACCAGGTAAGTCCTATCAGGAAGAATAAGTGTTGCGATGTCTTCTGTCCCAGCAAATCAATCAAAATCCACTATTCACATAAGAAGGAAAAAATCTGTGGATGACTTACCATCCTTATGTAACTAATAATATGAGCATGTGTGTGCCCTGTCTGATGTGAGAGCTGAAGCTGACATTTATCAGTTTATTTAGAGAACCCGCGAGCGTGGGAGCAGGTGTGACAGGCATGAAAACCTTCATATTATCATTGACATATCAAGTGACTTCTAATATTCGAGATTTACTAGTGGGTAGTAGTTTAAACAATACTGCTGCTTTATTCAAGAAGATTGACAAATCTCTTTATCACGTGCTTTGTCTCCAGACAGAACCCCCGAGTTTTGTAGGAATTAACTGATAGGTTGTCCGCGCGGTAACAAGAGGCTATGTATTAATTCTGCATTAAGAGGTCTCTAAATCATTTATAAACAGTTAATTGAGTTTAGAAGAATCACATCTCGCTGGGAGTCAGTGAATTTTTTATTGTTTGTCACGAAGTTTTGAAACAACTAGACAAGCATGAACTTGATTCCCTGAAGACTCTTTTGTCACTCAAGCTCCATTTGTAATATGATCGCTTCTATGGCACTTGAGATGTTTGAGTAGATTTAAGAGGTTATTCCCTGGAGACTAGGCTCTGAGCTGCATAGCTCTGCACATTGCAATAGTGACCTTTTCCGGCACCACTCCAACAACCGAGACTACCTCATGGCGTGATTGATTTGGGGGGTATTTAGCAAGCCGACATCCAAAACAAACATGGGAGTACGTATCCCTTGTATGAAACAGACACCCCCACACATCACAGATGTGTAGCGGCCCCCGGGGATGAGATCCACGATTGGCCGAATGGCTTCCGACTTGCTCGCACCTGTTTGGACAAATCTCTGCATCTTACTAGACTTGTTATTATGATTTGCTGCATCTTTTATAGCGGAAAAAACTAAGACACTCTACATTCAGCCCCCAGTACCCAAAGCTGGGACAGAAGCCTTCCCCATGTCCAAGGATTTCTCGCGCGCGAATGCACCTAACCACGGCCAAATAGTATCATATGCTCCGCTGTATGTAAGATCCTCTTACAAGGCAATATTCAAGACAAATATAACAAGTACAGGTGTGACCATCAATAACACTGTCCGCTCATACACGAAATGTCTCATGACCAATCAATCTTACAGAATGTTAATCCCGGATCACTAAAAGACATGCAGCATTGAAATTCAAAGAAGAGACCTAGGCCCCTGGAATTTTCTGAATGGAAAAGGACCCCAAACAGGCATCATCTTGAGCATCGGGGAGCCAGGACCCACAGGAGTAGGCTGATACCGAAGATACTGTAACAGAATTTGGGTGAGGTGTGTCCATCTAACGGGCTTGGACAAGACATCAGTGAATCCTTTCTGGAATAGTCTTTCCCCGTCACCTCGTATAATGTGAGCGGTGAGGGCAATTATGGGAGTCATTTGGAGCTTAGGGTTATTAATAAATGGTAGCTGTGTTCGGATGGTCTCTGTGGCTTTGAAACCGCCCATGACGGGCATGGCGATCTAGAGGATGTGTCAGTTATTTCTTTCTTTGGTTTTGTCTTTGAAATGGGCACTCTAATTATGTCAAATTAGGGAATTTACATCCATCAAAATGATGTCTGGAGGTGGGCAAGCCGGACTGGCGAGGTAATCCAGGGCCTCACGACCATTGTTGACGATCGCAAACGAGCAGCCGAATTTATTAAAAAACTTGGTGAGGACACGTTGGTTGACATTGCTATTTGAGACATATCAGATTAGTTGAAGCAGCATAGTATAGAGTAACAGGATGCTGACTTGTCCTCCGCAAGAAGGACATGCATTATGACACCAATTATCCGCGTGGTTGTGTATGGGGCGGGTGTTGTTGGGAGAAGTAGTGGAGGCGGGTAGGAATTTTGTAAGGAATATATATATACATGGCTGAATCACAGGTAGAGTGTCATCACCAAACCAAAAAATCCGCACCGAATCCGTACCGAATAATATATAGAGATATACATAAATTACATGACTTCATACAAAACATGTATAGTAGTTTGAATACTAACATGAATATATATATATATATTTGCCACAGGTATTCTAAAGTTGGTATTTTCATAATTTTTACTTATAAATCAACTTACTAAGCACTAATATCAGGTAGACTCGTCTATCTTAGGTCATATTTTAGCTCTAATTAGGTCTATCTAAGGTAAAAATCTGTATTTTTTAGGATCATGAGTCAAAAACCACACCAAACCATGGTTTGGTTTGGTTACTGGGATTAGAATCCGAATCCGCAATGAGTTGGGTTCTACCCAGGGAGAATCCGCACCAATCCACACCGAATGACACTCTAGCAAGCAGGCTGCCTTAGGCTGCCGCCTAACAAAGGGCTCGACTATAGCAAACAACCCGGAGGCGACGATGGCGGTGACAGCTGGCAGAATATCATTGATCCCCCACATATTATAAATCACGACACTTGACTGAAAACGTTTTCTCTTTTTCATCTTTCACAACTTCAAGGTGCTACGACAGCCATAGCACCAAAGTACCCAACCATCCATGCTGGTTAACTTTCATCCTTTAGTTAGGTGGTAAGATCTTATCTTCATACTAGCTCCCAGTATGGACCTTCTTGAAGATAATATATGATGGTAAAGCTCATCTAGTAGAGTTGATACATTGTACCTAATCCGCTACCACGGATAACACTATGGCCTGGGACAACAAGTCGCCAGAGTACAGTCTCTTGCGTCTTTCAAGAACGGCATAAACTCTGTTCCTCCAGTACCCTTCGAACTATCACGACACATTGAACCCTTCCTTCCTTGCATAACAATGTACCGCGAAGCCATGATCATATGGGTCTGCCGTAGAGCAACAAGCTCAGCAGTGGCCCGGCTGTATTCTATCCTAATTTCTGCTGTCACCGGGTGGCACAGAACAAACTCTCGCACGTTTGAGAGTCGCGACATGAGTTGCAGAAATTGCCGATGTTTACCGGGCATATACGATTGCATCTCCTATGCAATATCAAGGGTTAACAATCTAGTCAAAAGGTGGTGACTGTACAGGTGCAATGCGTACGCGATGATAACCCTCGTGGGGTTTATTGGCCGCGGTAATCGAGTGATCCACCCCTAGGAAGATATCGAGCAGCTGGATGAGCGAGCTTTGCGCATTGCTGCCTCCCTGATACTGGTGCCACTGCCCACCGCCACTCTCGTTCTCGTAGAAAACCCCGCCTGGTGTCTGTGTGTCCTTGTTGACCCCCTTGCCTCCGTTCAAGAATGGCCGCACGTCATGATAGAAGACTGATGGGGCGCATCCCTCATACATTCTCTTCAGATCCTTGCACATATGGCGGACACAACTAGCTAGGGTGCCGAGGAATTCTTGGACACGTTGACTGTTGCCTTCACGGGCAGCCTCGATGGTGTCAAACATCCCGGGTATCAAGCATCCACCCCTGGCCTCGATGGCGGCGGAGATGCTAAAGAACCACTCTTCGTCTGTTGTTCCTGTGAAGCTGGTGATCTGTCCAAGATTTTCCGGCTCGTACGCAGCTGCATAGTTCAAACCGTGCCGCCCAACTGGTCTGATGTTCCAGAGGCAGAAACTAGCAAACGAGGCACACGGGTTAAGGCCAAGATGCTCCGAGACTGCCAGCAAGGGGGATGCAATCGACGCAGGGATTCTCTGTATGTAGTGTTAGGGGCGTATATAGGTTGCGGGAAGTTCCAGAGCGAGACACGCACGTTGCTGGGTTCATCGCCGTCCCAGATGTATACCTGAGAGAGAATGGACAGCAGGGTATATGCTCGATGCCACTCAGGGAGGACACGGAGCTTGCCGGTAGATAACAGCGGCATCTCATCAATATACTCCCGGGCTCGACCATCTCCACGACTTGGAGCCACTCGGGAAATTGTCTCCTCCCACCCGGCATAGTATGGATGTGGCAGACGGGCTAGTGGTGGTTTGTCGGGGAGGAATCCTATTCTTGGAGATACTTGATAGTTCTCAATGATAATATCAGATCTATCAGCCATCTTTTTTCAGGGTGGACGGAAACTATGCTGTGTGGTAAATCTCTGGGTGACTGAACCTCTTATATCTACAATTCTTTGTTTTGAATGCACGGAATCCTCCCTGTCATGTATGACTTATCCCTCCGCCTGTTCCGCCTGTCCAGGGGTACAAGGTATATCCCTCATTTCTGACCGAGAATGATCTGTCTATGCTCACTGAGCCCTAAGTATTCCAATGTATTGAGGGCTTGGCGGTTTCGTCATATCAACACGCGGAATTACAGGGCAAATCTGAACCCCATATATCCTCTAAATATCCCTACCTGGTTGACTGGTTACACTAGCACTTCTTGGCAAATTAGGATCAGGTTTACAATGGAATTGTGTGAAATCCCTTACCTCATTCTGTGAAGTGACAACATTCCAAATAGATAAGTCATTCTACAACCATCATCTGAAGGTTCTGGAGGCATAAAACAAGTTTATTGTCATCAGCTGACATGTACTCCTAGCATAGCTGTATCACTTAGCATGGTTCCCACGCCCTAAATACTTTCCAGTGTCGTATATTTGTTGGTGTCCAGCGAAATCTTGCGCGCTCACCGTGATTGGGTGTCAGATCCCTCTCTCCAGGACTCTGGGTTGTAACGAGAGAGAGAGAGAGAGAAAGGCCTTATACTTGATTTTATCTCTGTTTCCGGGATCCTTCCAGTCACTGACGGCCGAAAGGCCCGAATAGAGCTAGTCAGCTCGCATCAGTAATATGGTCATGGGATTATATTATCTTGGGTACGTGATATAAGCGTGAGAGAGGAGTAATACTAGCAGGACATCTTAGCCTCCCCACATAACTCTAAAACTATGGTTCTTAGCCTATCTTAGCTTTATAGGTCTAGAATTAATAGTAGATATAGAGATACAGCTTGCTAGACATGTCTAAATTTTTAGTATTATATATATTTCCTAGAACAAGCTAGTCCTAGTACTTAATATAAAGGATGTTTATTATTTTAATAAGATAAAGATAGATTTAATATATTTATAGTTTTAATATCTCTGGAAGAGTATTTATAAACTAGAGAATTCATGACTTAGATCTATAAAAATATCTAATAAGTCTGACTCTAGATATATGACACTGATAGTTACTTAGTATTCTTAATAACATGAAACAAGTCTATAAGTATACATATTCTAGGTCAAGTACCCGGGACAGGTATTTTTTGCAGATCTAAGCCTATTTAGTAAGAAGTAATCCTTTGTGGGACCCCTAGGTAGGTAGCTAGGTAGTGAGAGGTAATTAGGGGGTTTTCAGGGGTTTTACCAGTCCCCTGGTGGTATAGAGAGAAGAGGTATATAAGTCCCCGTCAGGGGTCTCGGGCTCGCTTGTTTTGAGGCGGCTGCGTGGTTGAAAGAGGATGCAAAGGAGGAGGAGACACGTAGAGACGGGCGGCTTCGTGGTTGAATTTCTGGGTTGTATATGGAATGTGACAACATAAATTTTTTCGGTCAAGTCATTTTTTAAAAAATGAGTCTATGGCTTGACCTAGCCCTCTCCCCATAACAACATTGATAAGCTCAGATTATGATAATCCCTGTAGTTGTGTACATATTCGTGGTTCAATACGTTCACATCAGGTTCCTATGTATCCTTGAGAATGTGGATGCTAAGTTTAGTGAGAGTGACAAGTAGTTGATTTGCCTTTCACTACCGACGCTTTGATTCTGTTCTCTCAGCCAACCTAAATGCAGTATCCTCGCAGATTCGTTTCCAAGCCATTCTTGTCCATATACATAGCTGACCTGGTTTGCCCATATACCAGGGCTGGCAGAAGACATAACGAGTGTCAAATGCTGGTCACAACCAAACAAAACATTTTGTCTGGTTGTTCCCCACCGCATCCTCACTCTTATTTATCCCAGTCACTTCCATCGGCCGAAGGTAAACCCCATCAGTCGATTTTTATCATCCCAGGGGACTGTAAAACAACCACACTCCATGGAGCGTCGAGATTATTTCGAAGCACTCAGATATGGCTCCTCCTCAGAGGGTCAGATCCATCCGGTGTAGGTACTTTCGTACTGACTGATCGTTGACCGATGGGACGGGAAACTCCTCGCCACCAAGAAATGGTGTGACAATCGGTGGGCATTGGAACATTTTTACCACCGCCTCCTCCGTGCTGTTTTTGAGGATGTCTGCGATCGAAGTTAGTGAGCTAGCTGGTTTCGCGGCCGCATAAGCGAGGGCCCGTTGTCGCCAGGTAGAAAAAGCAAGGGACTCCAGATCCTTGCCGACGGTCGCGAGGAGATTGAAGTAGTGGTCGAAACTCTGGGCCTGTGGATTCTTGAAGTCGTAGTCGTAGCGGATATGAGTGGATCCCGGTGTTGTATGGGCAAGTGTGATGATAGTCCGGCACACATAGTCGACGGGAAAGACGAGGGATAAGTCGGCATCCAAGGATGGGAAACAGCCCATTTCTAAACTCCCACTGATGAGGTTGTGCAGGAAGTCTCTGTTGTTGAGCTGGAAGTGGCCGCTCGTGGCGGATGCGGTGATAAAGGGTAGACGGTAGATGAATGCTTGGGCGCCGCGGCAGCGTGCGGCGATGACCATTCGCTCCGCCATCAACTTAGACATGGCATAGCCGTACGTGAGAGCGTCCTCTGGGATGTCGTATCCCAGATGGTAGGGCAGAGTGGCACTGGTAGAGAGGTAGTGAATGGTCTTAGCATGGCTCGTGGACGCCAGCCGCAGCACCTCGTGAGTGCTGGTGACATTGGGACCAATATAGTCGTCCAGCGGACGCATCCAGTCCACCAAGCAGCTTGCATGGTAGATGGTGTCGACACGGTGCGCTAAATCGTCGAACACGCTTTCATCCAAACCCAGCCGAACCTGGCACACGTCGCCAACAAGGGGCCGGAGGAGCTCTGCGTAGCCGATCTTCCACAGATTATAGTCTTGCAGCCAGCTCACGATCTGCTGCCGCGCATGGTCAATGCTGTGGGCATGTACAAGACAATAGGTGACCTTTCCCTGATCGAGCAGTTCGTGGACGAGGAACGCGCCGACAAACTCCGTCGCACCCGTCACAAACACTGACTGAGGTGTGGGCTTTGGCAGCGCATTGTCAAATGTGAAGCTTGAGTCCACACAGCCTTTGCGGATCGCCATCAAGTTGAGGCCAGAGACGTCTGCTGCTGTCGAGGCACTCGCCATGTCCGGCTCGGCCACGCTGGATGCGTCCCTGTTGCTGTCTACCAACTGGGGCAGCAGATACCGGCTAAGCTCGTCCAGACTCGGGTGAATGAAGACAATGTTGGCTGGCAGTGCCTGACCAAGGAGCCCCGCTAGTTGATTCCGGACCAACAGGGCCCCCAGTGAGTCAATCCCCATGTCTGGCAAGGACCGGTGGATATCAACTTCGTCAGGCTGAGAAAAGCCCAGTGTTGTGGCCACGGCTTCTTGAATTGTGCGCAGCAAAATCTCTCTGCGTTGGTCTGGGGCCGTTCTGCGAAGCACATCGTACAGAGCGGGGCCCTGGTGCTTCTGTGGTGTATCCCGGTCTAGGAGTAAGCGAAGTAAAGCTGGTATACCCCCTCGCTGGCTGCTGTAGCTCTGCAACTGATGCAAGTCGAGTGCTGCTGCTACGGTGACCCCGTGGCTTCGACGGGCAGCCAGCTCGAACAGGCTGATTGTATCATCTGGCGTGAGCGTCTTGATACCCATTTGCTGGAGCTGATCACGTATTGTGGGGAGAAGTCCCGGTGGTATGTTAATGTCTGGTAAAGGTCCGTAGGCCACGCAGACCGCGGGCAGCCCCTGTGATTGGCGCGTATAAACGAGAGAATCAAGAACCGCGTTCGCCGCAGCATCTGTAGCATGACCCGATGTGCCCATCACGCCCCAGAAGGAGGACACCACGACAAAGAGGTCTAAGTCGTTTCGCGTCCGAGTGAACTGATGTAGATACCACGCGCCAATTACCTTGGGCGCCAAAGCTCCGACACACCGTTGTGGCGTTGAGGTCCCCAGCATGCTTGTATCTCGCACACCCGCAGCATGAACTACACCACGCAGCGGCCGCGCGTGGGAGAACATGCTTAGGAGGGAGTTGAGATGGCTAGGATCGGTGGTGTCGCCAGAAACCACAGTCGTCTTCGTGCCTAGATGCGCCAGCCTCCTTACCAATGTGGCTGCCCCCGGCGTGTCCATCCCACGGCGCGAGGTCAGCACCAGATCGCGAATGCCGTGCGTGCTTGCTAGCCATTCGGCGATGCGCGCGCCTAGCCCACTCAGGCCACCGGTAATGAGGACGGCGCCGTCGGACCGGAGGAGAGTCTGGGTCGCATCCCCGAATTCGAGCTCCATGCGCTGCATCCGGGGCACCAGCACCATCCCCTGGCGAAGCGCACATTCTGGCTCAGTGTGGAGCATGAGCAATGGCGCAAGTCCACTGGCGTCGACTCTGTTCTGGTCGTCCCGACCTAGATCAATCAGGCGCAGAGATCGCTCAGGATGCTCATTTCGGGCCGTGCGCATTAGGCCCCACAACAGCCCAGCTCCCAGGGCCAGGGGCTGGTCGTCGCGGGCTGTGCCTACCGCCTGTGAAGTAAGCCAGACCAGTGGCAAGGAGGGTCGTGTGTTGGCGGCCTCTTTGAGCTGCGTCAGCCCTTGTGCAGCGAACTCGTGCACCTGTGAAATCACATCCCCATGGGAATCCCACAAGCACAATACGCCATCCAGCGTCTTCGTTCCCTGGAGACTGAGACTAGGTAACAAAATGCATTGTATGCCGCCCTGAAAAAGGGCTGCTCTGACTGCTTCCGCCCACTTCACGTAGCCAGAAGAGCATTGCAGGCCCCAAATTCCACGGGGCTGAACATGCTGAATAGCAAATGGCCGCCAGTCAATCTGGAATACCTTGTCATAGAAGGCACTTGCCTGAGGACGCGCTTCACGTTTCCCATGGTCTCTCTCCTTGGTGCCTGAGTGGACACGCTCCCGCTGAAACGCGTAGGTTGGCAGCTCCAGACGACGGCAGCCAAAGGGCTGAAAGTAACCTTGCCAGTTAACTGGGACATGCTGAACATGGAGCCGTGCCAAGATTTCCTGGATGGCGACCACCTCATCCTTGTTTGGTGCGAGAGATGGTAGCCATGTCGTCCTGTTCTCTGAGCCATCGAGCACGGCTGCACCCATGCCACATAGTACTGACTGAGGCCCCAGCTCGAGGAACACATTCATGCCATGGTCTGCCAACGCTTGAATCCCGTCGCTGTAGCGGACCGCCTCACGTGCCTGCCGGACCCAGTAGGTCGGCTGCTGGAGCTCACAGGGTTCTACTCGCCGGCCCGTGAGGGTGCTCACTATTGGCAGCGAGGGTGCGTTCAACTGCACGCTCTGCACCACCGCCTGGTAAGCCGTCAGCATCCCGTCGATGTGGTGGGAATGAAATGCGCGAGACACAGGCAACGTCTTAGATTGCCGGTCCTGACCCGAAAAATAAGCTATGAGGATGTCCAGAGCATCCCGGTCCCCGGAGATAACAGTCTGGCTGGGCGTATTATATGCCGCAATACCCACTTGGCCGCCAAGGTCGAGCGTTGTGATTGCCAGAGATACTTCGCTGGCGCTGGCTTCTAAAGAGGCCATTCCTCCGTGGCAAGGGAGGGTCTCCATCAAGCGACCACGCGCCGCCACAAGCCGGCAGGCGTCGGGGAGGTCCATGACTCCCGCAATATGCGCCGCCGTCAGCTCGCCGATGCTATGACCCAGGACCATGTCGGGCTGTACTCCCCAGCTCTGCCACAGCCGCCAGAGAGCGACTTCGAGGGCGAAGAGCGCCGGTTGGGCGTAGTCACTGCGCTGCAGCAGCGCAGCCAATGCACTGTCTGCCGCCGCATGCATGACATCCAAAAGTGGTTCCTGCAAAATCCCATAAAATTGAGTAGCAATCTCCTCAAGCGTCTCCCGGAATACCCGGTAGTGTTTCGCGAGGGTCTTCCCCCTCCCCAGTTGCTGGCTTCCCTGGCCGGCAAAAAGCATGGCGAGACGCGGTTCTGGACTTGAGCCCCTTGGGCTTACAATAGCCTTCCTGGGTAAATCCACCAGCTGAGCCACTAAATCTGTAGTGTCCTGGGCCAGTAGCACAATGCGTTGGGGGAAGTGGTTGCGCGTGGTTGCCAGTGAGTACGCGATATTGCCCGGGTCACCCTTGGACATGGACTGGCTGAGGTACATATGCAGCTTGTCGGCTTGTGGTTGGAGGCCCGCCTCCACTGGGCTTGACAGCAGGAATGGCACGGGATGCGGCAGTGGAACGTATAGTGTCGACTCTGTGCTGACACTACACCGAGGTGGTTCTTCAACAATCACATGGGCGTTTGTGCCCCCAATTCCAAATGAACTGACTCCAGCGCGGCGTGGGCGCTCGCCCCCCGCCAACCAGTGTTGTTTTGTTTGCACCGGCGCCATGTTGGCCCTGTGCCAATCAATAGCTGGTGTCGGCTGAGTGATGTGCAGTGTGGGTGGCAATGTGTTATACCGCAAGGCGAGCAGGACCTTTATGAGGCCGACCAACCCGGCAGCGGCCTGAGTGTGGCCAACATTGGTCTTGGACGAACCGATCCACAGCGACTGAGATGTGTTAGATCGGCTCCCGCCAAACACCTCCGTCAGCGCCATTCCTTCAATGGGGTCGCCGAGTCTGGTGCCGGTGCCATGCGCCTCGATGTAGTCGATATCGTCTGGAAGGAGCCTTGAAGACGCCAGCGCTGCACGAATCACCCGCTCCTGGGCAGCACCACTGGGCACGGTTAGGCCGGCAGCACCTTGTCCGCCATGGTTGACGGCAGAGCCGCGCAGTACACCATAGATGGTGTCACCATCTCGGCGGGCGTCGGACAGGCGTTTAAGCACCACAACGGCCGCCCCTTCAGCAATCCCGATTCCTTGCGCATCAGCCGCAAAGGCCCGACAACGGCCATCAGGGGCCACGCCGCGCAACCGGCTGAACTCCACATGTAGTCCTGGCGCGGGCAAATGAGTCACGGCACCGGTCACAGCCATGTCGCATTCGCCCTGCCGCAGCGCGGTACAGGCGAGATGGGTGGCCACCAAGGAGGAGGAGCATGCCGTGTCAATTGTGAGCGACGGACCTTCAAGGCCAAGGACATATGAAACACGACCGGACATCGTCCCCCCTGCTGTGCCCGTGCCTGTATAGCCCTGCAGGTCCGCCAGCCCGTGCGCATGGGTGGACGGGCTTCCATGGGCGACAGTGTTGTTGACACCGATAAACACTCCCGTTGAGCTGCCCCGGAGCTGCTGAGTCCTGTAGCCAGCACGCTCGAATGCTTCCCAGCTAGTCTCCAGCATAATATACTGGGCAGGATCAAGCGCGCGAGCCTCATTGGGCAAGAGGTGGAAAAATTTTGTGTCAAACGCACCAAATGAGGGGACAAAGCCCCCCCGGCGACAGTAAGACTTGCCCGGCGCATCTGGATCTGGATCATAGAGGGCGTCAGCATCCCAGCGTTCCGGAGGTACATCTGTGGTAGCATCTCCACCGCGCTCGAGAAGTTCCCAGAATGCCTCGGGTGTCTCAATGCCGCCGGGCAGTCGGCATGCCATGGATACAACAGCAATGTCATCGGAGTCGACATGATGCGGCTTGGGGTTAGGCTGATGAATGGACTCGTCTGCCGGTATGGGCCGGTCCATATCCATCAGATACCCGGCCAATGACTTGATGGTGTATTGCTGAAACAGCACAGTAATCGGCACAGAGCGGCCTAGCAGCTTCTTCAAGTCCGCCTGCATACGTACCAGTCGCACCGAGTCTCCCCCGATTTGGAAAAAGTTGTCGTCCCGCCCAATATGGTCATGGCCCAGAACCGTGGACCAGATAGCCGCGATGTCGCGCTCCAGTTCCGTAGCCGGCTGATTCGTGGTCGTCGTCTCTGCCATGGGAGCTGGCAGGGACTTGTGGTCGACTTTACCGTTCAACGTCAGCGGAATGTGATCCACTTCCATGATGAACGACGGTACCATATAGGCCGGCAGACGCTCGACCAGCCATGGACGCAGGATGCTGCTTAGTGATACCTTGGCCGGGTCGATTTCCACTGCCCTGTGCAGGTCCCGCACGCAGTACGCGGCTAACTGTCCCTCACGATTGATCACGATGGCATGGGCGACGTCTCCATGGCTGGTGATCGCCGCCTCGACTTCCCCCAGTTCGAGCCTCTGGCCCCGAATCTTGACCTGGCTGTCTGCGCGGCCGAGAAACTTCAGCTTCTTTGGCGTCACTAAGCACGCCAAATCGCCGGTGCGGTACATGAGCCCCTCATGGAAGGGGTTTGCCAAAAACCGTGACCGGGTCAGCTCTGGATTGTTGCGGTAGCCACAAGCGACTCCGGCCCCGCCAATATACAGCTCTCCAGCGCAGCCAAGCGGCATGGGGGACAGGTCGGCATCTAGCACGTAGAGCTTCGTGTTGGCAATTGGTGTGCCAATGAGCACCTCTTCCCCTGCCTGCACCGGCCAGAGGCTAACACACCCAGTGGCCTCGGTGGGACCATAGCCGTTGTACACCTTTTCGGCCGCGGCGAGTAACCGCTCGGACAGATGTTGGGATAAGCTTTCCCCCCCGGTTTTGATCGTTTTCAGGCGCGGCTGGCCTTGCCAGCCGGCGTGGAACAACATCTGCCAGGTGGCCGGGGTAGCGAGCATGCTCGTAATGCCATTTTCCCGGATCAGCTCAATCAGCGCTTCCGCGTCTTTCTGCTCGTGGGTCTGGGCTATGACGGTGCACGCACCACAAGCCAAGGGGGCGTATAGGTCCCAAAGGGTCATGTCGAAGGAAATGGTGCTCACCGCCAGAATTCGATCGTGTTTGTTGCATCCAGGGACAACTTGCATCGACAAGACGAAGTTGGCCACGGCCCCATGGCTGATTTCTACGCCCTTGGGTTTCCCTGTCGACCCGGACGTATAGATGACATAGGCAAGATCTTCGGGTTGGATGTCCCGACGGATGTTTGGGGTGTTGGCCGGGTTTAAGCTCATTTCAACTCGCAGTTCTTCTATGCTCAGTTGTGGCCCATTCCATAATGACAGGGTATCAAGCACGCTGTGGTCCGTCAGAACCACCTTGGGAGCCGTATCATTCATCATCTGGAGAATGCGCTGTGCAGGCAAGGCCGGATCAATAGGCACATAGGCCGCACCAGACTTCATGACCGCTAGCAGCACGACGAGGAGGTCGACCGACCGGTCCAGCGCGACACCGACAACATCGCCAGAACCGATGTTTCGGTTGACCAGAATCTGCGCTATAATATTTGCACGACCATTGAGCGTACCATATGTCAATTGCGCATCCCCGCAGATGACGGCCGTCCGGTCAAAGTGGGCGTGTGCGGCCTGCTCGAATAGCCAGGGGAAACACGATCCCAGAGTCGCCGCGTTGTCAGTAAGGTTGAACTCCTCGAGGAGACGCCGGGGATCTTCTTCGGCTGAACGGATGGTCATACTGCCGATTTCAATGCCTCCTGAGAAGTCGTTCCTGTTAACCTTTTTCAGCCGGTTTTAGACCCGCACTTTGATAATGATCACTTGCAACCCACCTCTCTCCGGTCCTGTGCGGCTATAAACAGCGTGATTTTAAGTCTTGTGGTTCTGGTTCTCTTCGGGGCGAAGATTACCGTTTTTCAATTCAAATATGAATGGCTCCGCTGTATCAGGTTTGGAATTTGACTATTCGCATTTTTTTGTATTCTGGGACTGAATGCCGGCAATGGCGAGTTGATAAGCAAGGCACCCCATTCAGTGACGTCGTGTCTCACAGATGCCGTCACCCCTCCACGCCTCCTTACCTTTCGAAGTTACATCACCTGGATACGTTTTGCTGAGGTTTTTTCACTGATGGGCAGAGAATGTAAGGCGCGGCCGCAATGTCTCTGCCGGGTTGGCAATTGAGGTAAGAGATCGTTGTCACATTACTACAGTACAGGCTCTATATTAGCTGACGCCATCAAACCACTTGAATGGCAGGAAAGTTGCTACCAAGTTTATGCAAGGAATGCCGTAGCGCATAATCCTGGGACATGTCGGACTGCAACTGGCAGGACCATTGTGGTACTCGAGACGCACGACAGAGTACAGCTGATGGAAAACTAGGTTTAGCTTAGAAATTCTGATAGGGAACACTTTATGCTATATCCACAAATTATACACGCTTCGAGTGTTTGGTAATTATTATGGTTCATCACAAATTCTAGCCCAAAAACACATCTCCTGTTACTATCTCCACGTATGCATTTACTCAACAATAGCTCGTGAATCAGACATAGTATCTGACCATAAATTAGGGTATCGGGGGCCCTATACCATTTCCAGCCTTGACCGTATACCTAGACATAGCCCGAATCCTTGCACCGAATATATAAAATGCAAAGGGGATAGGAACCATGGCAACCGATATGAATCCCAGTATGGTCGATGCCCAATCAACCCCGAGGTTATGATACATGGCCGTGGCGAAGAGCGGGAACGATCCGCCCAGAAACGAACGGGCCAGAGTATTAGCCGCGATGGCCGAGTTGGAAAGAGTCAGATAGACGTCAATCAGGTAGTTCATGCCCTGCATGAAGAGGACGAACAGACCGATGCCGAGGGGCACCCCGGCAATTGTCTGCACCATCCAGTGGGTGTGAGCTGCCCAGCCAAACCAAAAGAGACCGATTGGCATGGTGATCGAGGTGAGCATCATCTCGACTAGACGCTCCTCCGGGGCTACCTGTCCCTGCTCTGCGAGATGTCGCGCGAATCGCGTCCTGGTGTTGTAGATGATGATGCCGATGCCTAGGACCATGCCGACCAGGATACCAAGAAACGGGAGCCCGGCAATGCCTTTATTAGTCCAGTGTCGTTCTTCGGCGAAAGCGACGGGGTAAGCTTCGAGGAAGAGATAGAGAATCCCATAGATCAGCGACAGATAGACGGTGAAACAGATCAGGATCGGTTCGAGTAGGAACATCATGAACGGACGGGCAAGGTACTTATATCCAAACTCGGCGAGGGTCGGACGATGCTGGTCGAGGAACGAGTAGAGAGACTGGTTCTGCGTTGCACGGCGGAGCCGGCTGGCGCGCTGCTGGAGCAGAACGGGACTGTAAGTTTCGGGCACGATAAGGAGGGCGAGGACTCCGAAGAAGATTGAGGTGATGAGAGTCAGCCACGCAGTCCATCGCCAACCAAGCTGGGATTCCGTGATAAATCCGCCTCTATCATTCGTGTTAGCCATAGCTCGTTCGTGGTGAGAAACGCAACACAACGTACATAATGGGCCCGAGGATCGGGCCGAGCAGGTTGGCTGCGAAGAAGAAAGGGGTGGCAATACCACGATCCACCGGATCCCAGATGTCGGCCATGACACCTGGGCCCACTGATAGCGCTGAACTGCCAAAGACGCCCACGAAAAACCGGCAGACCATGATGGTCTGGAGGTTTGGGGCCACCGCCACGGGGACCTGGAAGATGGCAAACACCCCATATCCCAGAAATGTCGGCAGGCGACGGCCATACAATTCACTCAACGGGGCCCAGCACAGCGGTCCCAGGGCGAACCCAAAAATTACCAGGGTAGTTGCCAGCGGCATGACTTTTGTTGACACATTGTACTCCTCCGATATCGGGTGCGTCGCGACAGAGAGGACACTGGAGGAGAATGTGATCCACATGGTCATCGAGGCTAACGAGAAGGTGATGCCCCATTTCCGTAGCCGGGTCAGGTTCTGGGGGTGTTCCGGGTCATCAGGCCCATCCCAGTCCACGAGATTGGAATCCTTTTCGACATGGTCCTCGGCTGGCTGTTTGGTATCTCCCTCGGGAGTGTCGAGGGAAGGAGCAGCACCAATGTCGACGGCCGGGGCGTTTGGGGACATGGTAACTGAAGGTGAGGAAAGCATGACCCATTGAGACGTGGAGAGCAGACTCTCCCTCCATTTTCACCTCGCTTTTGGTTCAATTTCTCGATCCGGAGGAAGAGCTGACCACGCAAGGAGACCTTCCCTCACATGTAACGCATTGTTCCGGAGGACTGGTCCGTCATGTCATCATCATGGATAAACAGGATTCATGTAGCCCCTTGCGTTAGGAAGGGACGTGGCCTGCTCACTGTGTCTGCAATCCTTCATACCTCATGGCGCGTAGAACCAATGATATCGACCCATCGCACTGGAGATATTCCAGGGTGATCTTCTCCAGGGATATCCGAAAGTTCAGCAACGAGACCTCGCCAACACCCGACCAAGCCCATGGGTAGGTACCTACCAAGAACCTGGCCCAGGGGCGGATTTTGGGTCTCAGCCATCAAACCCTACCTAATGCCTCGAGATTCATATCCTTGTTGTATTTTTCTTGTGTATTAAATACAAAAAGACTGGAGGCCAAATATACATGCTCCTAGTTCACGTGACTATCCCAGGGACTGGGAAATCGAAGATGAAAACCCAACCCAACACGCCATTTCATATGGTCTACCAGCAGCCCTCCGAGATCACCTGGAGGTAGGGCGATCTCCAACATTGACTGTCATTCAACATCCGTCCTTCCCTTCTCTTGCCGTCTATACTTTGGAATAATCCTGCCGATCCCGTATAGTATGGCTCCATCAAGCAATCATAAAGTCGTCATTGTTGGCGCCGGCCCTGTCGGCTCTTTGGCTGCTTTGTATGCAGCCGCCCGAGGCGATGAGGTGGAAGTGTACGAGTTGCGTGGAGGTAAGCCTATCAATGTTACTCCAACAGTCGTAATCCAAGTCTACAGTCTCCGGTGCTGCTTCACCAATTTTCAGCGTCCAAATATTGTCTACGTTGACAGAAGCATATGAGACCCGGATCTAGTGACTCTAGAAGATGGAATATCTACCTGATTCTGTTGGTACCTTTCTCATGCCTCGTGACTTCATAGACCTCCGTGACCCATCTACCATCCCCCTGAACTTCACCAAATCCATCAACCTGGCTCTGTCTGAGCGTGGGATTAACGCCATGAAGCACACTCGTCGGGACAACATGATCCAGAAGATCCTCGGCGAGGCCATCCCCGTCTATGGGCGGATGATCCATGGCAGGAACGACGAGAAGCTTTGGGAAGCCTCTCAGGCTTACGATGTACACGGCCGGGTTGGTCTTTATCTTGGCTGTAATTTTACTTTGCTCGAATCCGGTTCTAACCCAATCATAGCATATAAATGCAGCTGATAGATGCCATTTAAATAACGCTCTCTTGGATGAGCTGGAACAGACGCCAAATGTCAAACTTTTTTTCAACCACAAGCTGACAGGAGCCGACTTCCGTGCCAAAAAGGCATGGTTCGAGCAGCGTACTCCTGCAGATAACACTAGTCGTGCCCCTGAGGTCGAAATCACCTTCGACTACTTGGTCGGTGCGGATGGTGCTCACTCAATCTCGAGATATCATATGATGAAATACGCCCGAGTTGACTACCAGCAGCAATATATCGATGCTCTGTGGTGCGAATTCCACATTCCGCCGACCGAAGAGGGTGAATTCCGCATTTCTCCTAATCATTTGCATATTTGGCCCGGGAAGGAATTCATGTTCATTGCTCTCCCGTCCGCAGACAAATCCTTTACCTGCACCTTGTTCGCTTCCACAAGTTATTATACTCTCTTAGAAAGCTCGCCAGAGAGTTTGTTGGAGTCATTTGATAAGAACTTCCCTGGCGTCTGTCCAGACCTCATTACTCCCGCGGACCTTCAGACGCAGTTTGAAACCAACCCTCACCTGCCACTAATTAGCATCAAGTGCAGCCCTTATCACTTTGGCTCGAGTGCGGTCATTGTCGGTGATGCGGCACATGCTGTTGTGCCGTTTTACGGCCAGGGTTTGAATGCCGGGTTGGAAGATATTCGCGTCTTATTTGAGTGTTTAGATCAACACGGGGTTTATGATCTGAATGCCAGTCCCGAGTCGCGTGCTTTGTCTCGTCAGGCAGCCTTGCAGGCGTATACGGATCAGCGCACGAAAGATGCTCATGCTATCAATGATCTTTCTAAGGATAACTACATCGAAATGCGGTGGGGTGTGCAATTGCCACTGTACAAGCTGCGCAAGTCACTCGAAGAAACTCTGGATCGTTATATGCCTAGCCTAGGCTGGCAAACCCAATATGTCAGGGTCAGCTTCAGCACCCAGCCCTACTCGGAGGTCATCAAGGCAGTTGAAAGACAAGGCACGCTTCTTCTGTATGGGTCTATTTCCGCGATCATTTCCAGTGCAGCAATTGTTGGAGTGCTCGCATGGAATTACCCTATGCGGGTTTCATTGCTTTCTATGTTGCAGTCCCCAATCCAGCAACTTTGGAGTGTGTGGAGAAATTATCACTGTTAATGATTTCTTTCCTCTTTTATCTCTTTCTTTTCTTTTCTTTCTTTTTTTTCTTCCTAGCCACGTCAGGAGGCATTGTGCCTCCGTTTCTTGAATATGTCAGCCAAAATCACCATGTTACTAGAGTTTCCGAGTCTAATAGGCATATTCCAGGTAAACATAACACCTACCAATACTTGGTATAGTATTGAATTTAGTATTATTAGATAGCACTGCCTTTCATGAGAATAATACATATTTTTCTAGAATTTTAAAGACACTGTGATAGCTATAAGAGTATATTAAAGTTAAGAGATTAGAGATAAGGGCTGTTGTCAAGACCCTAGGATCCCTTGATGCTTCTGCTGTACTAGTATTAGTAACTTAGATTATTTAAGATAAAGAACACCCTGTAATCTTCCTATTAGCTATTAATAATAAGTTTATACTAACCTGAGGCCTTATATAATAATCATGCTAATTATATTAATTAATAAAGTAATTTAATAATCTGAAGATAACTAATAAGTAAGAAGAAAAGTAAGATATATTAGATATAAAAACCTGATTACTTAATTAAGTATAAATAAGTAGAAACTAGACTAAATATATACTCAGACTTGAACTATATATTAAATATAATTAACTAAATTATAAATATAGGTAAATAAGTATTCTTATATATTCTTTATTAGCTATTTCTTAAATAACTCTTTTATAATTACTCTAGAGTTACTCTAATTAGATATCTTTTTAATATATACTTCTTTAGTTACTCTCTGGAAGTAGATATAGAAGTAGATAATTATATAATATAATACTTTTATAATACAGGAATCCTGATTTTATAATTTATTAATTAATATTAGACTTCTGCCTGACTATGTTATCTTTATAAAATATTAATTATATTAGATTTTTATAATATTACTCTCTTCTCTTTTAGTATTTTATTCTTAAAACTTATAAAGATAAGTTTCTCTTAGTCATGATTTTTAATAAATTTTACTTCTTTTCTTATTCTAGTACTAATATTATTATACTAGTAAATAATAATATCTAAAAATATAACTATCTTTACTAGTATAACTTTATTCTTGCCACTGGTCTTATTATTAATATTTCTTATAAATCTTATTCTACTTATAATATTAACTATATTATAAATTTAAAAAATAAAAACTATGTTAAGTATACTTATTATGATTAGAAGTATATAAAATAATTATATAGTAAATAAGAGTAGGAGTCTCTTGAGTAAGATAAAAAATATTTAATTAATAATTTCATTAAGATTAAAAAATAATAGCTTGAATATTCTTAATAAATATTATAGATTATATTTAAGATTCTTTAACTAAAAAAGCAAGAATAATTTCTAAAAGATTATAATAACTAAATACTTGACTATAATTTTTTTATAATAAAATAATTTAATAAAAAAAATTTATTAAGTATCAAGAATCTTTAAGAGCTTAATTATCTAGTTAATACTTAAGATAATACTTAGCTTATTATAATATTAGATATTTCTAGTTTTTCTTAGGTAATAAATAATTCTTTCTTCTAAATAAATATTAATTTTTTTACTAGTAATATTATTAAACTAGCTAGTAATAATCTCTTAAATTCTTAATAAACTCTTAAGTATTTTCTAAGATATTATAATCTTTTTATTTAATTAAATATAATAGTTTTTTATTAACTTGTTTATTATTTAAAATTCTTTTAACTTTATATTCTTATTTAATATCTTTATTAATTTTCATGTTGTTACAGAAACCTAACGTGGTCGACACCTCGCGAGGGCGGCACAGCCAGGCAGAAGCCCGACGCCAATTATTAGGGTCATTAGGGTCATTAGGGTCATTAGGGTCATTAGGGTCATTAGGGTCATTAGGGTCATTAGGGTCATTAGGGTCATTAGGGTCATTAG